TTAAAGTTGAAAGGTTAACAGTAAATTTCAATTATAATGATGTAAAATAATGATAATCATCATGAAATCATTTGAGAAATAAATCATTACCATGAAAAAATTTGTTTCCATTTGAAATATCAAATGAAAAAAGAATAGAGAAAAAGAAAAAATTTTCTTTATAAAATCATGATCATCATCATGAAGATTCAAGAGAATGAAAAAAATAACAATTTCTTTCAATCAACTATCATGAAAAATAATCATCATGAAGATGATCAACTTTCACTTTCTTTTCTCATTGATTTTCAATCCATTTTTCACTTGAGAATCACTGGAAATCTTTATATACATAATTCTTCCCCTGTAAAACCCTGGACGTTAGCAAGACAATTTCACCACCTTATAACTGTACTTCGCACCCCCACTCTATCCTCCAAGACCATCATCATCATCATCTTCATCACCTTTCTCAGATTCATGTATTATGAACAAAAAGTGAAGATTCAGAGAGGAAAACAAACAAACAGGTAATTTATCAAATTAAAGTGAAATCTTGGCTTCTGAGTGATTCCAAGGAAACCATCATGAACTCTGTATGGGTTTCAGAATCATGATGGAAGATGAACTTCAAGTTTACTTTTATATAACTTGTCTTCTTCATGATGATGATGATTGTTTATCATCATCATAATTCATTTGCTCTTGAAATTTCCACCGAGTGGTTAAAATTGAATGAGAAAAGAAAAACAAAATTATATCAAGAGAGAGAAACAAAATCTCCTCTTTCCATGAAAACGATCAGAACCTGAAACTTTTTCATCGAATTTCATAAACTATTAATTTTGAATAAATTGAAGATTATTTTTTCTATCACCTGACGGTAAATCAATCTGATTGAAATCAGAGAAGATGAACAATTAAATTTAATGAAGACAATTAACCTAATTGCAACGAGCGAAATGACTAATAATCAGCTGAGCCAGAATAGCGATAATAGTAAACATTTATTACTCTCTCTCTCTCTCTCTGAAACTATTGATTATCGTTTGAATTGAGAAAAGATTTCATCAGTTATCATGAATCAGATTGAACAACAATTCAATTCTTGGCTTTTCAAGGTTAATCAATAGAGAGAAGAGAGAGAGAGAGAGAGAGAGAGAGTTAACAATTTAAAGTTAATCATTAAATCAATAGACACTTAATGAAACAATGAATAGAATGATAAGAAAAATTAATGACAATCGAAAAGTTTTTCCTAAGATATTTTATAAGAAAATGTTCTGAGAATGCGAAAAAAATTAATGAACTTATCATGAAATGTGATTAAAGATCAACATGATACACAGTAAATAATCAATGTTTAATGATAACAATTTAATTCATTGTATAAATAGTAGTTACAGTTTGATTCCGGTTCTTGAGGGTGTAAAGAAGGTTAAATATTATCTCATCAGGAAAAGTACATGGAACAGGGGAAAAAGTTTCAAATCTCATGATGATTCAATTTCATGTCGTTAAAAACAATAGACACCAAAGATAACCTGAGGATATTTGAGTTTCATGAAGATGAAAGGTCTCAGGCTCTTGAAATTTTTGAGCATCATAAGAGAGCGAGAGAAAGGGATAGACTGTGTCATATTCATGGTTATCATGAATTCTGATCGATATAAACATATGATGAAATTTACGATATCATGTAAATTGTTGAGCAGAGGAAAAAATTGTGATAAAATTGTCTCCATCTACAAGATAATAAATTGCCATTGCTGCTCGATAGCTTTAAGGATTTTCCACCCCACCTCGATTTCCAGCCCACTCTCTGAGTTGAGTAAAGTTCAGTTCAATTCGTAATTAATAACTTGTTTCATTCCTCTTAAGGGTAATTCCTTATAATCAAGTAAACATATTATAACAATATCATTTGCGACATTGATTATACACTCACATGATAAATTAATCAACAATAAAACTAATCAGTTGACATTTAATTTAATTTGATGACTATTAATAAATGTCAACCACTAGTGATTATATCATGAAATGCAACAGAGGTTAATCAACTTGTCAAGAAGGTGAAATTGTTTTGGATTACAATTAATTTTCATATAAACTCAATTTGATGGTTATATTATTATTTAGTACAACTATGAATTTGGTTAATAAGTTAATTGTTATGATGATGTTGATAATGATGAGCAATTAGCATGAGAATAGTCAATTAGTTTATTCAAAGTGGAAGATACGAAGCAAAAAAGTAAAGCAAATGTTCAATGAAAAGAAAAGTTCATTTGGATGAATTGATTTTCATTTCAATCGATTTGGAGTGAAAATTATGCTTTCATTTGGTGAAATTTTCCACCTTCTCTCATGATAAACCACCGAGAATAAAAGCTTCAGAATCGCAGAGAGAGAGAGAGAGAGAGAGAGAGAGAGAGAGAGAGAGAGAGAGAGATTTTATGTTCTTATAATAGTTTTCTTCTGTTTCAAAGAGAGAAATGAAATTTATCAGAACTTTTCTCTCTCTTTGATGTAAATCTATAAAATCTATCATGGGAATGATGATAATGATCATGAAGTGGGGTGGAAATTGGATAAAGAGGAAAAGTAATATATTCTTGCATGTTGGTGGATTTAAAGTTCTGTCTACATATTAGATTACGTCTGAGAACTGGTCAAATATCAACAAACTTCAATCAATCTAATAACTTTCAATTCTCAGGGAAATTCATTTATTAGCATGATCATCATCATGAAAATGGTTCTTATTTTGTTTAAAAGTAAATATTATTGATCAATTTTAATCAGAATTGAAAATATCACTCTGGGACTTTGAATGTTATTGAAATTTTTGGCATATATATTTTATATTATTAAATAACTAATACTTTTTACAGGGTGGATCAGGGTAGATGGTGTCAGTTGAGTGGACAGGGAGGTGAAAGTTTTTGATAACATTTAAGTGGAGGGAAATGTTTTGAGGTGGAAAATATTAGATAATAATGATAATCATATATAAAAGTATCAACTGAAATCCATAAGCATGAATATCAGTTCATTTCTCTTTGATTAAATGTTTCATTTATCATCATGAGTGGAGAGACTGAGTTATTTTATCATGAACCCGCCGATGAATCATTCATTTTCATTGAAATTCCCATTGCATTGGATTTGGAATCATGATCGTTGAATGATTTCAGATGAGAAAGAGAAGAAACGAAAAAAGTTCTGAGAAAATGTTCAATTCAATCCAGAACTTCTCTTGTTTCTTTTGCTTCTTTCGAATGATTTTCAACTATTATTTGGTGATAATATGAAATTCATCATGTTAGGAATGAAATTTTCTATTGAAAATATTCATAGTTCGAAGGTCGGGGAATATTAACATCAGAAAAACTCATCAACTTTATCTCAACTTTTATCATGAACAAGAAAACGATTAAACTTTCACTGAACCTTAGGAGTTAACGACAACAATTTGGTCTAATTGTTATCGGTAATTATGTTGATCGTTAGTCAGGTAAACTTTAATTGCTCACAGTTAATTGTTAAAGATGAGAAAATAAATATTCCAGAGATAAAAGTAACATGACCATGAAAGTGGAAATCTTCATGATCGATTAACATTCTGGAACAAATTTCCAAAAACTAATTCAACTTTTACATCTTTCTCCTCAGCTCAACGCTATACAATTCATCAATTTGAGTAATTAGTTAATTCATTGATTAATTGCTATCATAATCTAAATGATAATTGATAAGGTTTCACTCCGATAACTTAGTTAACTTTTTTTCTCATCTCCATGTAAATACAACATGAAATTCAGTAATTTACCATGTAAACAGATTACTCTGAGTATTTCATTTAATGAATCAGAACTTTTTTTCCTCCGATTCAAGTAATCTTTTTCCACTTTCATGGTTATTATTATTACATGAGAATCAATTTTAATTGTAGCCGATTAATAAATTTAATAGTAGATCGATTCTTAAAATCAACCCAATTAATATAATCACCAAATCCTTAATCATTATTGGTTATTGGACAAGTTAAGATTAAGTTAATTAGGATTCTGTTCAATGATGATAATTTCATTTCATCAATTAATTCACGAATTCAATTAAGATTAAAGTTAACTAATTAATTCAATTGCTAATTTCATGAGATTGGAAATGAAAATGATCAGAATTTTGTTTTATTTTTTCCCTCTTCTAATATCATTGAATGATTAGTAAATTATTCTGATTACTTTAGAATTATTAACATTACATATAATCAAAAATGATCAACAATTAAGTCAATCATATTTGATTTACATTGATTGAAGGTTAATCATTAAATTTAATCCAATTAAAGTTGGCAATTTATATTATTACATGTAGATAAATAATTCATTGTTCAATTCAATTGATAATCATCTTAATCATCATCATGATATTATTATTAATAATTTAGTAATGATTACATGAGATTCAATCATGATTACCTTAACTAGCCTTAACATGATAATCAATTAATCATCGATTTGTTAGGTAGATTAAATTAAACTGAATTAGTTTAATAGGAAAGAAAAACAGAAATAAACAACCTACAAGAAATAAAATTTAAACCAATTTTCATTTTGTTTTTTCCTCTACAATTCACACCATTAATAAAATTATTAATGAAATTGTGATTGAAAAAGATGAAAAAGATGAAAAAAATTAATTAATCAATTGGAAACACAAACAAATTTTGTAGGTAAGCAAACACAATTGATGATTGATTAGTTGTACATAATATATATCGACAATATTCTTCGTATCAGCTTGGCGAAAGACTAAGCGAATAGTTACAGAAGCAAATAGCATTTGAGTACAAAAAAATTGATTTAAAAAATATTGTTTTATTAGGAGACATACAATTACAGAAGATATTCAAAGTAGCAAAAAGGTTTAAGAAAAATTCAAATTAGTTACCTCCTAACATATTTTGAAAAAATTGAAACCTAACAATCTACTGGTGAAGGATACAAATAATTGAGATTTTTTTGATTATTAAATAATCTTTTTCTTGTTAATTTATTTTTAGACTCTATTCTAGTTTCTCTATTATTTGTCTGTTTTCTACTGAGCTGAGAAAATGTCCGACGATTTTGGATCAGCCGGTGGTTGGGGAGATTCTGGCAATTCTGCAAAAAAATCTGATGTAACATCTTCTGGTGCTGGTAGTTCATGGGGAAATGAAGCTAGTGGTGATTCTTCAGAAAAAACTAGTTCAGGTGGTGGTTGGGCATCTGGTGGTGATTCATGGGGAAATGAAGCTAGTGGTGATTCCTGGGGAAATTCTGGTGGTTCATCGAAGAAATCTGGTGGTGCTTCTGGTGGTGCTTCTGGTGGTGGTAACTTTTGGGGAGCCAGTGATGCCGAAAGCTCAGACAAGCCAAGAGGTAAAGGTTGTTTCAAGTGTGGTGAAGAGGGTCACATGTCACGCGAATGCCCTTCTGGTGGTGGTGGTAGTCGTGATGGTGGCTCGAGAGCTAAAGGTTGTTTCAAATGTGGAGATAAGGGTCATATGTCCAGGGAATGTCCTTCTGCTGGTAATAGCAACGGTGGTAATGAAGATGGCTCAACACCTTTACTTGATGCTGACGGCAAACCTCGAGCTCCAATTTATGTTCCCCCTGATTTGAGTAAAGACGAAACACTCTATGAATCAGTTACTGCTGGTGAAAACTTTGACCGTTATGATAGTATACCTTGTTCCGTAACCGGAGATGATAAGCCCACAAACCCCGAAAAATATGAGACTTTTGAAGAAGCATTTACAAGTACAACTATTCGTGCTGGACTCAAAGCTACAAAGATTACTAAGCCAATGCCTATCCAAAAATATGGTATGAGAATCGTAATGGGTGTCGTGTAGCTAGTGGTGGTTCATCCGAAAAAACTAGTTCGGGTGGTGGTTGTGCATCTCTTGGTAATCAAGGTTCGTCAAAGAATTCTGGTTGTTATGCCAGTGGTTCTTGGGGTGCTTGACTTGGTGTTGACCACTATGATAGTATACATTGTTCCGTAACCGGAGATGATAAGCCCACAAACCTGAAAAATGTACAACTATTTGTGCTGGACTCGCAGCTAAGTGAAAGGGTCCCTGTGTGGCTAAAAGATGAAGCCGGTGGAGGCTCAGTAGATTACGATGATAGCTTCGGAGGAGTAGATTTGAGAAAAGTAAGTAATTTCTCAGATCTTGATTTCAGAATTTCTTCAATCATTTCTTATCAATTCTTTTTTCTCATTTCTTAGCTGAATGTCTCAGATAATTTCGCATCCTCTTCCACTACTACAAACGATGAGAGTTGGGATTAATTATCGCTAATTTAACCAACGAGAAATGTAAGTATACGCTGCTATTTCATCACTTCTCTTTACAAATCAATTAATTTTGTTTATCGCCTTTTAAAACCCTTGTCTCATTTTTGTTTTTCTAATCTTTAGGCTATCGATTATCAAGTATCTCGTTTATCTCAATTTTCAAGGACAATCTCTGCAAACATTTTATAATAATTTTGATAATCATCACTCTTTTCCTTAAAAAGAACATTCTGACCAGAGGACAATAAGTTCTCTTTATCTATTTTTCATTTTTTTTTGTAAAACCACTTCATGATCATTGTTATTCTACGAATAACATGAGCACATGCTCATCTTTTCTAAATCATTATTTTGACTACTTATAATTAATTAAATCAATGCGAGATTTTGTATAACGGATAATAAATTTATCAAAAAAAACCATAAACATTTTCAATATTCTCCTTTGGATTTTTCTTTACCAAAAAAACGCTTTTAATCCCTTAATCAAACAAAACCCATTGAATCACTTGAACAACTTTAATTACCAAAAAAATAGCGAAAAAAATTTAAGCTGATCAAGGGTCAAGAAAATGGTTATAGTCATCGGATTTATTTATTTTTTGAGCTTAGTAGAAAATCAGTAACTTACAAATTATAGATAAACTAAAATAACAAATGCACTAACAAAAAAAGATTATTTAGTATTTATTTAGTACTTTTTTCAAAATATGTTATAAGAATTTTAATGACCAAACAAGATGCAGTAGCTTGTGAATCGGATAAAACATAGGCTTTTATTTTACCAATTTTACAAGATTATTTTCGGATCCTAATACTACCAGTAAATATGGATATACATGCCAAGAGCCAAAAGCTATAGTTGTTTCACCAACCAGAGAATTGGCCATTCAAATTTATAGAGAAGCTTATAAATACTATGCTGACAGCATAGTTAAAGTTCAAATAATTTATGGTGGAATCTCAACTTCCCATCAAAGAGCTAAACTATCTGAAGGCTATCACGTTCTTGTTGGTACTCCAGGCCGAATTATCGATTTCCTAGAAAAAGGTTTTTTCTCGTTCTCCATTTTAAAGTATTTTGTTTTAGATGAAGTTGATCGAATGATCGATCAAGGTTTCATTCCTGATATTAGAAAAATGGCTTCTAACGCTACAATGCCTCCTGTTTTTAAGAGACAAACTCTTATGCTCAGTGCTACATTCCCTGACGAAATTCAATGAGCTAAACTATCCAAAGTATTTTACGTTCTTCTTGGTACACCAGGTTGAAGAATCGATTTATTATACATAATTATTTAGAAACAAGTATATTAACAACTAATTACAAGATTCAATTTGATTTGATTTCTTTCTCATTTTTTCAAATCTAACAAACTACTGAAAAAATACTGACAATATTTGGTAACTAATTTTAGTTTTTCTTAAACCTTTTGTTATTCTGAATAACTCCTGTAATTTTCTCCCAATCAAAACAATATCTTTTTCGTTCAATTTCTTTAATAAATGGTGTAAATAATTTTTTGCTTTTATATTTTCGTGCAGAAAATGATAATATCATGCTGAAGACGCAGAACAAGGATGATGATGGATAATGTTTTTGAAAATGGAAATTAAATGGTAATGGTAATTATAAATTTCTAGTTAAATTTATGGAGTAAAAAATTTGCTCCTTTTGAAAAAAATCTTGATGTTTATGGTTATATCAAATTAATCAGTTTCTTGCCCTCCTTGCAATTTAATGGTATCTTTTGTTGTATTAACATCATGAAGATATGATCATCATGATAACAGTTATTAAAAGTTGCGATATGCATATGTGTTTAAAGAGTGAAAGTGTGTGTTCAGCTTCTTGGAACTTTTTTTAGTTGAAATTTCTTTTTTTCTGAATTTTATCATGTATTTCACAACTTATAATGTGAATACTTCAATATCAATTCTGAATTCATGAATAGATGTAGAGAGAGAATGAGAGTGCCTTCATCTTCATTTCTCTTTCTTTTATTCTTCACCTTCTCATCTTACTCAGCTATTCCATGGTATTCAGAGTTATATCACCTTTTTACATATCATTTACTTTGCTATCTTTTTTTTCAGTTTCTCTTCATGATAATATTTTCTTTCATTTCAGAACTTTTTCTTCTTCCTTCCATCATCATCATAATTTTTTCTTTCTTTTTTACTTTCATTTTCATCTTTCTTTTTCTTCTTCATCCTCATCATCATGTACTTTCCTCAGAAGACACACGATGATAATAGAAGAAAATTTTATTTCGTTTTTTTACATTTTCTTTTTTCACTCTTCCAATACCTTTTCTCATATTCTGTCCTATGTCTATCTCTGTCTCTAACTCTCTCACTCATTACCCTCCAGGGAAATTCATGATACTATGTTGTAATATCATCATCATCGTTGGTGTATTCTTATTGATAATATTCCCTATTCGTATAAAAGGTTAACAGAAGATAAAGAAAATTTTAAGTTCATTGAAAAATCGACGAGAAAAAAGTTCAGTCCAATTTTACTGTTGATTCAAATTTGTACCAAATAAAGATATTGAAATGTTAATATCATGAGAATATCATATCAAGAGAGAGACAGTTATAACAAAATATCGAATCAGTTTTCGAAAAAAAGAAAATGATTCGAATAATTTTGTTGATAAGAGACACATTTCCAAGCCATAAACATTGAATTTAGGTGAGGGGAAATTGAGCATTTTGATAGCAAATAAAACACCACAGATATAAATCGTTATCATGTCGATAACTTTTTCTTTTCACAAGTAACATTGTTCAGATGTTCAGTAGCAATCATCTTCTTCTCACTCTCTCACTTACTCTCTCTCTCTCTCTTTACTATTTACCTTACACACATTGGATCTTGTTTTGATAGTTAGGATCATAAAAAAACGTGTTTGTTATTTACGTCAGAATTGAGTGAGTGAGAGAGAGAGAGATAGAATCAAGGTAAACCCAATTAACTAATTGACTTACCCACAAATCCAACTGTGACGGCGTCGAGTGCTCCCAGGTACAGATAATAGGATTGGCGCTAATCTTAAGCCTCGATTAGATTGTTCAACCTGAGGTTGACCTTCATCTTCATCCACTGTGATTGACGGTGTATTTAACCTTGGATGATGATGGCCTTTGGTGTCAACAATTGATTCCTGAATTGCCATGATGATGAAGATAAAAAAATTGATGATGTTTATGATGATGCGATGATATTTATTATTATATTGTTAGATGATTATTATTACTAATGGTGATGAGAAAACTATTAACTCTTGACAATATAAGAGTAGGTTATTGTTACAACTATTTAATTATTGTTACTTTTATTGCTGATGGTGTTGGTGGAGGTGGAGAGAGAGAGTGAGAGAGAGAGAGAGAGGTGATTGTGTTGATGAGAGAGTAGTGGTTGTAGTGGTTGTTGTTGTTGTAAGTTAATTGTTGTTGAATCAGATGAAATGAAAAGCACTAATTGTTAACACAATTGCTGAAGGATAAACAAAACACACAATTTACACATTTAGTTAAATTAAATTAACCACCACTCAAGTAACACTCACACTCGTAGCAAATTGAAAACTATTTTTCTTGTCAAATGTTTCCAGTTAACTACAACTTACATTGGATCATTAGTTAATTGTAATCAATGTGCTGCGATCTCGTGGTAACCATTAGTATGATCTCATTCATTTCTCTTTCTCTCTCTTTTATTATCTAATCATTTTATTAGTTAATTATCTGTGTTAACTTAATAATTACTCGTTCTTCTCAAGGTCTTCTCAAGGTCTTCAGGGAATTAATTATCTGTCTGTGGTCAGTTAATTATCAGTTGATTCGTGATAATGATTAAGTCATTGGCCGATCATTTGACTTGATTCTTATTTGATAATGTTTTCATTTCAATCTCTCTCTTTCTCTTCCTTTTTACTTTCATTGATTAATTGCTTTTCTCTTCTTTACAAAATAAAGTTCGTTTAATTGCTTTATTCGTTATTATTAATCTCATATTCGACATCATCAAAAGAGGAGCGAAAGCGCTCTTCATGCGTATCAGTTGTTGGTGATACTGAATGGGGACATTTACAAATTGATGCGACATCACTTTACCTTTTACTGTTAGCTCAAATGACTGCATCCGGATTACAGATTGTCTTTAATTTGGATGAAGTTGCTTTCATTCAGAATCTAGTTTTCTACATTGAATCAGCTTATTGTATACCTGATTATGGTAGTTGGGAGAGAGGAGATAAAACTAATCATGGTCTTCCCGAGTTAAATGCAAGCTCCATTGGTATGGCTAAAGCTGCTTTAGAAGCCATGAATGAATTAGATCTTTTCGGTGGTCGAGGTGGACCTTCATCGGTTATTCATGTTCTCGCTGATGAAGCTCAAAAATGTCAAGCTGTTCTTCAATCAATGTTACCTCGAGAATCAAATTCTAAAGAGGTTGATGCTGCTCTTTTATCTATTATTGGTTTTCCCGCTTTTGCCATTGAAGATCCTGATTTAATTCAACTTACACGTAAGGTAATATTGGATAAACTTCGAGGACGCTATGGTTGTAAAAGATTTCTTCGTGATGGTTACAAAACAGCTAAAGAAGATCCATCTCGACTTTATTATGAACCTTGTGAGCTTAAAGTTTTCGAGCACATTGAATGTGAATGGCCGTTATTTTTTTGCTATCTTATACTTGATGCTTGTTTCAGAGGTGATAGAGAAAGGGTAAGTTTCTAAATCGACAATGATTATCATTAGAATTTGATTGAAATAATCTCTTCTTCTTATTCTATTTTTGTAGAGTTTAGAGTTTTCTGATGCTCTGGATAAAGTTCTAGTCAAAACTGATGATGGACTCAAATTGGTTCCCGAAATGTACACTGTTCCTGCCAATCTAGTTGACGCTGAGTACAAGAATCCTAAAAGTCAAGATCGAATACCAATTGGACAATGTCCGTTCATGTGGGCACAATCTCTGTACATTTTGGGTAGATTACTTCAAGAAGGTTTTATCGCACCAGGAGAAATGGATCCATTGAATCGTAGATTAGGAGCTGATAAAAAACCTGATGTTGTTGTACAAGGTAAACATGGAAAATTGAATCTCAATACTAGGAATCATTTTATTCCTAGTATTTGATTATCGAAAAACAAGAAATTCGAGATGAAATTTTAAACGGTCGATTCTCAGATCGGGCTTGCATTTTCTGCGAAGTAATTGGCGAATGCCTGGTAGACCAACGGTCACTGTTCTTCTTCACCGATCAATTTTAGGTACAATTAACTGATTGTTCCAATTCTTTCCGCACCATTTCCAATGCAACTAATCAGTGTTTCTAAAAACCCCACATACTTTACGTTTGTTGTTTATCAATTTCTCTAATTACAATTATCGCCATTAATTCATTGTTTTCTTTTCTTAATTGTTGGTTTTATTTACAGAAAACGGCAGAATCCCTCCTTCGGTTTTGTCAACTATTAAAAAGCTTAAAAGTGGTTATATCAATGGTACAAGGTTAGTTAATCAGGCTAATTGAGATGATCAATCGTCTTATTTAGTAATAATTTAATTTTCTTTTCCATTCTAATTGCAGAGTTGTTTTTGGTCGATTAGATGAATTTCTCAGCACTTCATGTATAACTAGTCTTAGCTTCTTGGGTAATACAGAGGAAGGTGATCCAGATAATTTAAGTTCGAGTGTAAAAGAATATCTGGAAAAAGAACTTCGAAAACCTTTTGTTCGAGCAACTCAACATGGAAAATTGTATCTCAATACTAGGAATCATTTGATTCTTGATTATTGATTATCGAGATTATTAAGATAATAGAGAAATAAATAAGAAAAAGAAAACTAAAATTCTGATAATTTGTAAATTTTTAATATTCTGGTACATATAAAATCAGTCCTGTATTGTTACATTACTTAAAACATCTTTACGGCAACTTGATTACACGGAAGTCTCATTTTATGATATACATTATGTATATTACTGTAATTCTAATATTTTACTTAGATTTTTTTCTCCTCTATTCTTAGAGTACTTTCTTAAAGAAAATTAAATGGCCACTTTACTAAATATTTCTAATTGGCCCAACAAGCAACGAAAGGAAGAGAAACGAAAAATTCAAACTTTTCTTCACATTCGTAATAAAATTCTCAAATGTCAGATTACATTGAAGTTAAAAAATAGAGGAACAATGATTGAATAAGAATGTCTTTTTATTTAGCAGACCTGTTATTTTAAAGATTATTTATTTTCCATTTTAATATATTGTTAAAAATTTGCTTTTGCTTAAGATGTCTGGTTAGGTGCAAACTAATAAAATACGTTTTAATTGATAAACATTAGTTAACAGTGACGCGATGATAATTATTGCAATAACATTGTAATTCCTTATGAAGGATATCGAAAAAGAAAACGGTTAATAGTAATTGCTCATAACAGCGAAAAAGAGAAAAAGCTACTTATTGCTGTTAGCACAGTTTTAGATGAAAAAATATGATTAATAATTTTCACAGCCATGATAAAATTTGCTAATAATTTTATTATATGATAACCATTTAATTTATCTCAAGATGTCTGGTGAGGTGTAAACTAATAAAAGTCATTTTCATAGACATACAACAATTAATAATGACATAATAATAATTATTTTAAAACAATTGTAACTCCTTATGAAGGGCATCGGAAAAAGATAACGTTTCTCATGATCATGATGGAATTTTGATTTGACTCATCAAAACTTGATTCATATACATGATATATTAAGTATATGAATGTACATGTAATGTACATCATTAATCGTCTCAAAAAATTGAAACATTTTACTAGATAAGAAATCTGCTGTTAAATTGCCCCTGAGTCTAAATAAGTAAAATACCAATTAGGAAAAAGCTGATCAGTGTTCAACTTTTATTTATTAAAATTTATGAAAAGTGATCAAATATATAAGTGAAGAAATAAACAACTATTATCGAAAGTTTTGTGCGTTCTTATTTCATTTTCGTTGATGATCTTGAAATTTGCCTTTAACGATACTTTTTTATCCTTCTATAAATATTGATAGTTGCTGGTATCTATGGATTATCTGGTTATCGCAAATCAACTCAAATCATTTACAGTTAACGACAAAAAGTGAAAGATATCGGTCAAGTTATTGCTCATTGTCTTGTTGGTACATTTTTGGTGTCGATTATCAAAATCATCGAATCAATTTTCACCAATGATGAATTAATTAATCTTCAAATTTATCTCCACTTTTTACTCTTAAATAATGACTGTATAACATGAAGGGTTCAACACTGAACAAGTTGAAACGGAAGCTTCTGTGTAGCTTAATGTTACACCCTTAAATTCCCATTTACTTGCAACTTGAAATCTAGTAAAATCTAGTAAAATCTGATTAGTAACTTTTTTCTTTCTTTTTTATAGCCAATTATTTCTTTACAAATTCTTATCGTAAAATCTAATTGTTCACAATTAGGTTTGTTTCAGAGGTGATAGAGAAAGGGTAAGTTTCTAAATCGACAATGATTATCATTAGAATTTGATTGAAATAATCTCTTCGTTTTATTCTACCTTTGCAGAGTTTAGAGTTTTATGATGCTCTGGATAAAGTTCTAGTCAAAACCGATGATGGACTCAAATTGGTTCCCGAAATGTACACTGTTCCTGCCAATCTAGTTGACGCTGAGTACAAGAATCCTAAAAGTCAAGATCGAATACCAATTGGACAATGTCCGTTCATGTGGGCACAATCTCTGTACATTTTGGGTAGATTACTTCAAGAAGGTTTTATCGCACCAGGAGAAATGGATCCATTGAATCGTAGATTAGGAGCTGACAAAAAACCTGATGTTGTTGTACAAGGTAAACATAGAAAATGGAATCACAATACTAGAAATCATTTGATTCTCGATAGTTGATTATCGAAAAACAAGAAATTAGAGATGAAATTTTAAACGGTCGAGCTAATCGATTGAATGTTTTTTCTTTTTTCTTTTTGCTCTCAGTTGTTATTCTTGCTGAAGATGCTATCATGAAGGAAAAACTTTCTGCTCATGATATCAATATACAGACAGTTGCTGAAGTCTCTCCAATCGAGGTTCAACCAGCTCGTGTTCTAAGTCATCTCTATGCGTACCTTGGTCGTAATAAGAAACTCAAACTTTCTGGTCGACAATCGCGCGATGTTGGCATTTTAAGTACTAGTAAACTTTACAGTCTTCATGATAGGATTTTCGCTTTCATCCCTCAGGTAACTGAATTGGATTTTTCTATTTTCTCTAACATGAATTAATCATTTAATCGAATATAAAAAAGAGTAAAATAAGATAATAGAAAAGTAAAGAAGAAGAAAAAGAAAATTAAAATTAAAATTCTGATAATTTTTATATTTTGAATATTCTGATACATGTAAAACCAGTTCGTGGATGAGCAACGTTATTATTAGGCTGAGTAATAATTAATGTCCGTTTTTTGATTATCGAATCTTTGATTTTAATTATCTCAATGAATCTAAAAGATTTTAATTTGATTTTTTTGACTAGATGATTAAGTAGACTATCAACAATGATAATAAGCAATTAGCGCGACAATTAAAATTTTTTTAATTGTTCAATTAATTAACTTAATTGTTGACGATTTTCGAAAAAGTCGGACCTATTTTTATAAATTGGCCTAAAAATCGATCTGATTGACCTGAGGTCAGTCAAAATATATGGAATAATAAGAAATTTAAATTTTAATATCTACCGAATGGCAATGTCAATTTTCATTTTTGAATTTCGCGACGGGAATTATTAGGCCATTAAATTTCGCTAAAATTCACGTTTTTGGCCGTTTTTTTGGGCACTAATTTTATCAGATTTTTTAGGTCTAACAATTAAGGTCTAAAATAAATCTTTTTAAGAACAGTTTTTCATACTGTTCAATAATTTGAGGTTATTATTGAGAAATTTAGCCATTTGAATGGAATTTCAGGTCACTTCCGATTTTCCGTCGCGTTTCATAATTGGCCTAATAATTCCCGTCGCGAAACTCAAAAATGAAAATTGACATTGCCATTCGGTAGATATTAAAATTTAAATTTCTTACTATTCCATATATTTTGACTGACCTCAGGTCAATCAGATCGATTTTTAGGCCAATTTATAAAAATAGGTCCGACTTTTGTCGAAAATCGTCAACAATTAAGTTAATTAATTGAACAATTAAAAAAATTTTAATTGTCGCGCTAATTGCTTATTATCATTGTTGATAGTCTACTTAATCATCTAGTCAAAAAAATCAAATTAAAATCTTTTAGATTCATTGAGATAATTAAAATCAAAGATTCGATAATCAAAAAACGGACATTAATTATTACTCAGCCTAATATATTGCTTCAGATATCAATCTACTTTTGGACATTTTCAAGAACGAAATTGCATTCTTGAAATCGAACTGGAAAATGTTGGGACGACCTGTTATCGTTATTAGTTTAAGGTCAAAAGTTTTAGGTAGAAATTTCATTGCAATTTGTATTCCTCAATCTCACATATCACATATCGATTTCATTTCTCATCTTAAGCACTATTTATCTATTATTTACCATTTATATTATATTTAGGTTTTATCGCACCAGAAGAAATGGATCCATTGAATCGTAGATTAGGAGCTGATAAAAAACCTGATGTTGTTGTACAAGATAAACATGGGACATTTAATCACAATACTTTAAATATCTTTACGGCAATGGAAATTTCGTAATGATAACTTGTTTACACCGCTGTCTCATTTTATGATATACATTATGCATAACTGTAATTTACATATTTTACTTCGATTTTTTATCTCCTCGATTCTTAGAGCAATCTCTTAAAGAAGATTAAATGGTCACTTTACTTAACATTTCTAATTGGTTCAACAATCGTCGAAAGGAAGTGAAACGAAAATTCAATCTTCTCTCTATTCAAATAAAATTCTCAAAATGCTAGACTTCAATAAAATTTTAAAAAAGAGAAAAACTGAACAATAGAATAGATAAAGATCTCTTTTTATGAAGCTGACCTGTTATCTAAAAGATTATTTTATTTTCCGTTTAATACATTGTTAACCATTTAATTTAGTTTAAGATTTCTGGTGATTAGGTGCAAACTAATAAACAACATTTAATAGAAAAACATTAACAGTGACTTTAATTTTAATTTTAATAGCAATAATAGTAAGAGAAAAAGTTTTTTATTGCTATTAGCACAATTTTAGATGAAAAAATATGATTAATAATTTCCATAGTCATGATAAAATTTACTCATAATTTTATTATTATTATTATTTGATAACCATTTAATTTAGCTTAAGATGTCTGATGCTGAAGTGAGAACTAATAAATCACATATTAATATTAATAGACATACATCAATTAACAATGACATAATGATAATTATTTTAAAACAATTTTCATTGCCTATGAAGAGCATGGAAAAAAGAGAATGATTCCCATGATCGTGATGAAATTTTTGTTTGACAAATAAAGATATGACCATATAGGTGTTTTTGTCCATCTTCATTATCTTATCACCAACTTTATATTCATTTTCAAGTATTATTAAGCTACTTTACCAGCTTCCGTTTTTAACTTGCTCAGTGCTCCACCCTTTAATTTCGCTTTGATTGCAAGTTGAAATCAACTTGAGTAATAAATTTTTCTTTTCCATAACCAATTATTTTTTACAAATTCTTATCGTAAAATCTAACTGTTCACGATTAGGTTTTCCTAGTAATGTGCATTAAAGATTTTAAACTTTTAGATCAATTGAAAGATCAATGATCAACCTTGACTTCGAACTTGTTGTAGATAGACCTGAAACTCAACCAAGCAATCAAACGAATTTACCAATGAATATTACAAACAAAGTACAGCCTTGACCTGAGAAGGCCTTTTTCTAGTCCAAATTCAATAAATAATCAATTTGATTATCTTTTTTTTTTTCATCGAATTAAAAAAATAAACTAATCGTATTTCTATTAACCGATAGGTGGAGTTGTGGATTTATTTTGATTTTGTTAGAGAAAAAAAATTTTCTTTTCCAAAACCAAAAAGATTTTGTTTTGTTGTTTCATTTTGTTCCATCTCTTTGATAAATTAAATGTATTTTTAATCATGCGAAGTCGTAGTAATAGTGGCGTTCGACTTGATTACTATCAACGGGTAGTGTACAGAACAATTTTGGACCGTCAAAATCCAGTCACCGGTTTGTTACCAACAAGCACTGATTCCGATCATGCTTGGGTTCGTGATAACCTTTACTCGATCCTCGCAGTTTGGGCTCTTAGTATGGCCTACAAAAAGAACACTGATTTAGGTGAGTGCTAATATGATTGACTAATTGTCCATTAAATAATTGAGATAGAACATCTATCAATCTCTCCAATTTCTCTTTCTCTCGCTTTCTCTTCCTTTCTATGTATAAAACTGTGACGTACTTTGTATGTTTTTTTCTCTTATTTTTTGCTCTGTAAATATTTTTTTCTATTCTCCTTTTCTATTTATTTTATATTCTATTCTATTCTATTCTATTCTATTATTTATTCTTTTCCCTTTGTTTCTTTTGTCTCTCTTTTAGATGAGGATCGTGCCAAAACTTATGAATTGGAACAAAGTTGTGTTAAAATGATGAGAGGTCTTCTGATGGCTATGGTTCGTCAAAAGGAAAAGGTTGAAAAATTCAAGGAAACTCAATCACCTCTTGATGCTCTTCATGCTAAATATTCATCTTCTAACATGCTATCAGTTGTTGGTGATACTGAATGGGGACATTTACAAATTGATGCGACATCACTTTACCTTTTACTTTTAGCTCAAATGACTGCATCCGGATTACAGATTGTCTTTAATTTGGATGAAGTTGCTTTCATTCAGAATCTAGTTTTCTACATTGAATCAGCTTATTGTATACCTGATTATGGTAGTTGGGAGAGAGGTGATAAAACTAATCATGGTCTTCCCGAGTTAAATGCAAGCTCCATTGGTATGGCTAAAGCTGCTTTAGAAGCCATGAATGAGTTAGATCTTTTCGGTGGTCGAGGTGGACCTTCATCGGTTATTCATGTTCTCGCTGATGAAGCTCAAAAATGTCAAGCTGTTCTTCAATCAATGTTACCTCGAGAATCAAATTCTAAAGAGGTTGATGCTGCTCTTTTATCTATTATTGGTTTTCCCGCTTTTGCCATTGAAGATCCTGATTTAATTCAACTTACACGTAAGGTAATATTGGATAAACTTCGAGGACGCTATGGTTGTAAAAGATTTCTTCGTGATGGTTACAAAACAGCTAAAGAAGATCCATCTCGACTTTATTATGAACCTTGTGAGCTTAAAGTTTTCGAGCACATTGAATGTGAATGGCCGTTATTTTTTTGCTATCTTATACTTGATGCTTGTTTCAGAGGTGATAGAGAAAGGGTAAGTTTCTAAATCGACAATGATTATCATTAGAATTTGATTGAAATAATCTCTTCTTCTTATTCTATTTTTGTAGAGTTTAGAGTTTTCTGATGCTCTGGATAAAGTTCTAGTCAAAACTGATGATGGACTCAAATTGGTTCCCGAAATGTACACTGTTCCTGCCAATCTAGTTGACGCTGAGTACAAGAATCCTAAAAGTCAAGATCGAATACCGATTGGACAATGTCCGTTCATGTGGGCACAATCTCTTTACATTTTGGGTAGATTACTTCAAGAAGGTTTTATCGCACCAGGAGAAATGGATCCATTGAATCGTAGATTAGGAGCTGACAAAAAACCTGATGTTGTTGTACAAGGTAAACATAGAAAATGGAATCACAATACTAGAAATCATTTGATTCTCGATAGTTGATTATCGAAAAACAAGAAATTAGAGATGAAATTTTAAACGGTCGAGCTAATCGATTGAATGTTTTTTTTTCTTTTTTTCTTTTTTGCTCTCAGTTGTTATTCTTGCTGAAGATGCTATCATGAAGGAAAAACTTTCTGCTCATGATATCAATATACAGACAGTTGCTGAAGTCTCTCCAATCGAGGTTCAACCAGCTCGTGTTCTAAGTCATCTCTATGCGTACCTTGGTCGTAATAAGAAACTCAAACTTTCTGGTCGACAATCGCGCGATGTTGGCATTTTAAGTACTAGTAAACTTTACAGTCTTCATGATAGGATTTTCGCTTTCATCCCTCAGGTAACTGAATTGGATTTTTCTATTTTCTCTAACATGAATTAATCATTTAATCGAATATAAAAAAGAGTAAAATAAGATAATAGAAAAGTAAAGAAGAAGAAAAAGAAAATTAAAATTCTGATAATTTGTATATTTTGAATATTCTGATACATGTAAAACCAGTTCGTGGATGAGCAACGTTATTATATTGCTTCAGATATCAATCTACTTTTGGACATTTTCAAGAACGAAATTGCATTCTTGAAATCGAACTGGAAAATGTTGGGACGACCTGTTATCGTTATTAGTTTAAGGTCAAAAGTTTTAGGTAGAAATTTCATTGCAATTTGTATTCCTCAATCTCACATATCGATTCCATTTCTCATCTTAATCACTATTTACACTCAATTCCTCGCACTTACTCCCAGCATGATTGTTATTTTTTTCGTATACTCAAAGGTAACATTATCAGAATGTTATCTTATATTAATTCAACTCTAATTGTATCAATTTATTGATGATCATTGTGCTTTTGCCTCATTGCTTTTATATTTGAATCCTTTTGATTATTATTATTTTTTAATTTTCAACTTATTATTATTTTGCATGGATTAGCAACTTGATCGAGACGATTCCTACCTTGTGCACGATACTGAATTAAGTTCATCGATTCTCAGATCGGGCTTGCATTTTCTGCGAAGTAATTGGCGAATGCCTGGTAGACCAACGGTCACTGTTCTTCTTCACCGATCAATTTTAGGTACAATTAACTGATTGTTCCAATTCTTTCCTCACCATTTCCAATGCAACTAATCAGTGTTTCTAAAATCCCACTTATTAATACTTTACGTTTGTTGTTTATCAATTTCTCTAATTACAATTATCGCCATTAATTCATTGTTTTCTTTTCTTAATTGTTGGTTTTATTTACAGAAAACGGCAGAATCCCTCCTTCGGTTTTGTCAACTATTAAAAAGCTTAAAAGTGGTTATATCAATGGTACAAGGTTAGTTAATCAGGCTAATTGAGATGATCAATCGTCTTATTTAGTAATAATTTAATTTTCTTTTCCATTCTAATTGCAGAGTTGTTTTTGGTCGATTAGATGAATTTCTCAGCACTTCATGTATAACTAGTCTTAGCTTCTTGGGTAATACAGAGGAAGGTGATCCAGATAATTTAAGTTCGAGTGTAAAAGAATATCTGGAAAAAGAACTTCGAAAACCTTTTGTTCGAGCAACTCATAATCTTAAATCTTCAATTAAACGAAAACAAAGTGTATTCCGTTCAAGAAAATCAGGAATCGCTGGAATCATCAAGCGAACTCGATCAATAATAGTTGATCAATATGATCCAGGTAAATGAATATTTTCTTGAGATTTTTCTTACAAAAATTGGACTTTATTCTAATTTGGGGTAAAATTTTTAATTCTTTCCTAGAATTAGCTATTCTTCGAGCTGAATATGATGGTAAACATCCGGCTACCGATGAAGTTGATAAAATCTCTTTAGGATCAACACCAAGTCGAGAAAATAGTGAAGAAAAATCATCTCCAGTCTCACCTGGTGTACCTGAGATTGAAGATGAAACTGTCAGCAATTGGGCTTATGTTCCTGGAAATGAATCTAGGATTAAAGCGATGACAGAATTAAATACTTCAGGAGAGGATTTAATCGCTTTTCTTAAAGAAACTGAATCACTTGAAGAGCAAGGTGACATATTACATTATCTAGCTTATAATAAAGGTTTAAATTGGGACACTAAACTTGGTAATTCGACGAATGTTGTCTCAGTTAAAGAATTACTTAAAGATCTTTATGAGAAGGCCTGTCAAGAAAAAAAGTGGGCACTTGTCCGACATATCGCTGGTATTTTAGGTAAACGTGTTGAAGATTTAGCCAAAGCAGTGGCCGATCTATTGGTCCGACAGAAACAAGTGACCATTGGGATGCCACCACATCATGAGAAAACAATAACACGTCCCTTACCCTCTAAAGAAATTCGTGAGATGATCAACACCGCTCATGGTGGTGATCAAAGTACCGCCATGTTATCACAAGAACTTCTTGTCTATTTAGCAATGTACATACGAACTGAGCCACAACTTTTCTGTGAAATGTTACGACTTCGAGTTGGCCTAATAATCCAAGTAAGTGCCTCTGAGCTTGGCCGAGCTCTAAAGTGTTCCGGTGAGGAAGCATCAGAACATTTACTCAATTTAAGTCCCTACGAGATGAAAATGTTATTACATCATATTCTTAGTGGTAAAGAATTCTCAGTTAAAGGAGGTAAGTAAAATTGTAACAATTAACTTTTCTCCATTCAGTTGAATTGATGTTGACACTTTTTTCCATTTTAGCTCGAAGTGGCCATGTATCGATTGCAAATGAAAAGCTAAGTCGTAAAAGCAACTTGGATAACTTTATCGGTAAAGAACCAAGTATTACCGATGAAGTGACCGAAACAGAGCGACAAGGCCAATGGCTTCGTAGACGTCGGTTAGACGGAGCATTGAATAGAGTGCCTAAAGGTTTCTATCCAAATGTTTGGTCGCTTCTTGAGAAGGTGAATATATTCACTTATACTACTGAGAGAAAACTCGATTAATAACAATTGGAATATTTTTTTTCTCCGTTTCTCAGTGCGAAGGAATTTGTATCCAGGATAAAGTTCTTCCCTCGAAATTGACTCGTGAAATGACTCCAGGGGAATTAAAGTTCGCGTTAAATGTAGAGGAAGTTTTAAATTCTATCCCTCAACCAGAATATAGACAATTAATGGTTGAAGCTCTCATGATACTCACTTTATTGGTTGAACTAAACGCCGTCGGATATTTGGGTGGTTATATTAAAGTCCAAGAAATTGTTCATCGAGCTCATCAGTTATTTTTAGAAGATCAGGTAAATTAACTGATTGATTGAATTTTCGATTTGATGATTGTCAATTGTGATCATTAATTTTTCTTTCTATTTAATTTGTTGTTTTTCTTTTAGAAAAAACAAAATGGCGATTCAACCCTTTGCTGTTCTCTACTTTCTGGTACAACTAAATTAGTTAATTGCTCTGCCACCGCCAATATATGTCAAAACTTTTACGATTCCGCTCCAAGCGGGTGTTACGGTACAATGACCTATCTCGTTCGAGCTGTTTCCTGTCTACTTGATTGTTTACCTAATCAAGAACTTGATTGTACTTTAAGTTGAGTGAAAAAGTGAACAATCAACTAATCACCATCGCCATCATCCTAACATCATCTTACTAAATTGAATTGTTCTAGACAATTTAGTTTTTAACTAACAATCGTTTTCTTTTTGCCATATATACATAAAATTGATTAATTTCACTTAATTTTCCTATTTCCTTTTCCTCCTCTTTCAATCTAATCAGCTGTAATTTATATAATTAATTATCTTCTGTTATTGTTATATTAATATTATTAAGACTAATCAACCAATCATGGAAACTTAATGATCGTAATGAGAAACAATCAAGGTATAATCATCCTTTACCTTTCACAAATCAAGGATCTGAAAACATCAACAAGTTAATTGTTTTAAAACAAATCAATTTGACTGATAATTGTTAACCTATTTTACAATTTAAATTTGACCCTCTCATATTTGTCCCTCTAGTTGAATAATATTTAAATTGAACAATTAAGATTAATCATCAGCAATTATATTTTACGAGTAAGAGACTGAAAAAATTACTTTCACTCTCCACAATTGTGACTGTTGAAATCATTACAATTTACATGATGAAAACAATTAACTAATCACTGATCATATAAATTTGTCAAATTTAAATTAAGAAAAAAAAACTTTGATCAATTACATCAAATGATAAATTGATTAAAATACAAAATTAAATTGAATAACCTGATGAAACAAAGTAATTCAATGTAATTAATTATCGATAACGTGATTAACATGTGATAATTGTTAATTGTTGAACAAATGGAAGACACAACAATTAAGAAATCGTTTAGTGATGATCAAAGGTGAATTAGATAACAATTAACAAGCGTCAAGTTAATCAGTGATAATCTTGATTGACATTTACTGACAACTTGATTATCTATTGTTTTTCACGGTAATAGATTGACAATTAGATTAACAATAAAGACTAATTGTTGCAAATTAAAATCGAAAATGAGAAGAAAAAAAAGCAAATCAACTGATTTTTTCTTCTAATTGTTTCTATTTCTAACTCATCATCGTCAAGATCATCAAGGATCAATCGTAATTTTTCTTGATTTTGGAAATTAGTTTAACCACAAAAAGTTTAATTCGATAATTAAATTTAATTGTTGGAGAAAAACTCAAAATTCAGCGCCATCTGTAGAGAAAACGGTCAACTTTTAGAAAAGAAAAAAAAATTTTCTCTCTCATTTTGATTCTTTTCTTTCTCTGTTTTGTTTACAATTGTTTCTTTTTAAATTTGAGTGACAATTAAAGTTTCATCATTAACCATATAGTATTTAATTTCTTTTAATTTATTTAATTTATTTATTCTCTTTATTGTTCAGGTAAGTTGATTTCGCTGTTGATTTAATTGTTTTCCATTCACTGTTGGCAATGTTTTCTTATAAATTATTTTTCTCTATTTTTCTCTTTCTCAATGTTTCTGTCTGTCTTTCTTTTATTTCTCTTATTCTTTTCTAGCAATTTATTCATAATTTATTGTTTCAAATTCTCATGGCAAATACAAGAAGTTGTAGACCCAAAAGATATGCTGCTCAACGAGCTCAGGTTTGTTTGGTTTTCTAATTAACCTCGGAAATTGGTTTAATTCTTTGTGTTATTTTTCATCTTTTTCTCTTTGTGTGTGTCTTTCCTTTCTATTCATCACCGGTGGATACCTGAACCATTTTCTCTCTTTCTTTCTCTCTCTTTAAATTTTCTTTTGGGTTAACATTTCCGTTCTTTTCTTCTTCTATACATGTGCGTGTTTTTTTTCTCTCTTCTCTTCGGCTCATATTTGTTTTCTTTTCTTCTCTTTAGACATTTTTTTCGCAAGAGCAAACAAGTGCTCTCTTTTATAAAGAACAAAATGATTTAAAAAAAGCGTTACGAAGATCGCTCATTGAAGCTCGCCGAGCAGCATCCAGAGCGGAAAGATCTGAAGGCAGTATTAGTGATGTAAAGGAGTTAGATCATAATTCGGATCAGTCTGATCAATCTCGACCGAAAAGATTTGCTGCCCAAAAAGCTAATGTAATTTTCTATTCTCTTTGTCCCAATATTTCTATCATTGAATCCACTCTTTTTTTTCTTCAGTCACTTTAACCTTTAACAATTCTATTCGTTTTTCCAGGTTCTTTTTTCTCAAGAACAAACCAGTGCTCTTTTTTACAAAGAACAGAATGACATTAAAAAAGCTGTGAGAAGGTCGCTTATTGAAGCTCGACGTGCTGCTTCTCGTGCAGATCGAAATGAAAGGGTTTCTAGATATTCTCTTAATGGACATTACAAGGAGGAAAAAGCAAGATCTGAAGATTCGGAGGGACATGAACAAGATGAACAACATTGTAATGGCAAAGATTCAATAGATTCAACCACAAGTAGTAAATCTAAAAAGCTGAAAGTTCATGCACAACGGAAATTTGCTTCCAGCTCGGTCAACAATATTTCCGCTTCAAGTCCAGCCAAATCAGATTCCAAGAATTATAATAACACCGTAGCTGAACTTTTCCCTCGCAATCGACCATCAACTGAAGATTTTTTAACTTTCTTATGCTTTCGATCGACTAAACTTTTACCCCAAATCAACGGTAACTATTATGAGCAAGATTTTCTTAATCACGACGACAACGATTAGGATGCATTTTCTTTTCTCTACCAAGATCTACACCTTAGGCTGAGACAATTAACCTTAAAACTGATTGTTTTACTTCACCTTGAAATCTCCTCATCAATCACCCTTCCTTGTTTGTTTTCCTTCATTTCCCAACCCTTGATTGTTTACACTTGTTAAATCCGATCTTCTTTTTTTTGTGATTAACCCAATTATTTTCCTTTAAAATAATTTCTTTTTCTCATGTTACAACACAAATATTCCCAATTCCTCCAATTTACAATCACCTTTTTGATTGTTATTCCAACTTTTAAATTGTAAAATTATCCTCTTTTTAAACTTTTCTAATCTGTTGTCAAAACTAATCCACAACCTTCAGTAATTAATTTTCTTATCAATTTCTCCTCTTGCCAAATTTCCCAACCAAACACTCACTCGAAACATAAAAGGAATCACAGAGACTTTTCGAAGTTTTTTCGTCCGATGAAGACAAATCATAGAGAAAAAGAAACGAAAAATAATCAACGAAAATGGATCATTGGACTTGCGAAAAAAAATCAAATCAAAAATCGATTGACCAACTTGATCAACAACAACACAAATCATCCAGTTATCACAAACGTTGAAAACTAATTAAATTAAATCAGTTGATTTAGATTTGCGTTTGTAAATACAAGACTGAAAACAAAAGTTAACTACTGTACTTGGGGAAAGAAAACAAATTCATTTGTATTGATCAATTTTTAATTGTCTATATTCCAGAAGTTCAAACCCCTAATTTATTTTAAGAGTTTTATTTAATTTAATTGTTAACAAACAAACAAACGAAATCACAAAGAGCAAATCAATTCTATGATTTAAAACCTTAAAAATTGATTGTAAAAAAACGATTATAGTGATGGTAATTATACAATCAATTATATTTTTAATCAATTTACATGTAAAATTACAATCGTTTAAATAAATCGATAAAACTTAAATTGTTCAAGTTTCAATTCCATGCAAAGGTCAATTTAGAAAAGGAAAACAATCAAGAGAGAGAGAGAGAGAGAGAGAGATTTGGATTGGATTTCATGACGAATCAGAGAGATTGAAATAATTAGTGTTCGACTCCTGAGTTGGTTGTGTCGATGACGAACTCGGTTTGGATGTTGGGTCTAAGTGTTTGGTGTTGTAGTATCGATAAACTTTTCGACTTAAATTTGGTCCTAATTTCCTTTCAAAATTACCGTAGGTAATTTCGGATAATAAGAGTTGTCGCTCTTTCTCATTCTCACATAATTCATATGCTTCTAGCAGAGCGGAGACCGTTTGATAATAAGCGACAATGGCCTTTGCCTTTGGAACGGAAACTCCTTTGAATTTGAGCAAATGTTTTATGAACATTTCGTGACAAGTGAAATTAGTTATCTTTTCAGCGCATAGATTGAACTCGTTTAAGGTCATAAAATGATCTGAGCTCATTTTACCCGAGATAAGCTCATCTTTGGTACAAGAATAAAGTTGACGACAACTGAACATTGAGGTCAAATATTTGGTCATCATGGTGAGATAGTCGATCGTTTCATTGTAACTTCGAGTTTGCTTCACGAGGACATCGTCGATCACCATGGTGTTCATCATCGTTTGGTACATTGCTTGATAGAGACTTTCGTGTTTCCGATGGTAACCGAAATCCTCGATCAGGTACATCGGCCTTCTAACACCACAATGCAAAGGCGATACTTTTGCTCGCCAAGTCTTCCCGTCTTGATAGAAGCCGCTAAATCATCATAACGTTTACGTTCAATAACATAATCTAAAAGTAACTCTTTGCGATAAGACTGAGTTCCAGCTGATCTTAAATCATTGTCAATTCTTTCACGGGCAATCCAAGCGAAATCCCCGACCGGCAGTTTAATCATTTGACATTTAACTTCGCGATTCATAAATTCAGTTATGATTCCAGTTTTTCTCTGATCAGATCCTCCGCCAGAATATTGTTCCCTTGAATCGATCATCAAAATAATGTCAAAGGTTCCCGGTTCGAGGACAATCCGTCCATTAACGGGAACAAAATTTTCATTCATTTCCTCTTCCGTAGAGATCAGTCTGCTAGCGATCTCACGGCCTGGATCCGTTAGACGATAAGTTGAATATCGGTGTTTTCTAACCTCAACATAACCATGTTTAATGAGGGTATTCATTGATGACCACGATGAGTAGCCGATTCCATTGGGATTGACCATGGGTTCATCTGAATAGGGTTGAGCTCGTTGAAGAATCTCAGCTTTTGGTAGCATATCTAAATCGTGTTCGGCTTCAGCTCGATAAAGGGCCATTAGGATCGCATAACCACCTGATCGATATCTAGGTACATATTTCCGTTCGGTTTTTTTTCTTGTTTTCTTTTGCTTTGTTGGTGAACTTTGATCAGAAACAATTTGACTTGATTGTGACGATCCAATTGAACTTCCTTGTTCCTCAATAATCAATTGACTCATGGGGAGATTTTGAGATGAGGGAGCGGATGTTTGAGTGGAATCACTTGATGCAATTGGTAGATTGAAATGTTCAGCAATCTTTTTATCAATTCGAGCACAAATTTTATCACCGAAAAATTTCAATTTTCTACAATCAGAACCACTGTAAACATTTTCTTTATGGCTTTGTATTGATTTTATCGCTCGCAGGTAAACATATTCCATCTTTGATCCTATTCGTGCACAATCATTTTTCCAACTCATTAGCCAAGTTAATAGTAGTTTATTGATTGGCTCAGGTTCAGTCATGATTAGATTTCTAATTAAAAGTGGAAAAACTAAAATTCCAAAGCGAGAAAACAAAAAGTAAACAAAACCGATTAGAGGAAACAAAGAAAAACAATTGAATCAACTGGTGGTTGATAACAACCGATTACTTACCTAAGGATGGAGATTAAATTCACAATTTAGATGAGATAATAAAAAGAAATTAAAAAAAATTAAATCAAAATAATTAGAAAAATAAATTGTTACTTTTAAAAAGAATCAAAAACAAAACCAAATGAAAATCATTTTCTTCAATTGATTCAATCGGAAAGAAGAAAAAAATTCTAAAGGTTATTTGGTTTTCGACAGATGGCGCTGGTAAACTTCTTTCATTCTCTAAATTAAAACGATGATTAACAAATTGTGACAATTAGAGTTTAATTTTTTTTAATCATTTTGTTTCTTCAAATTTAATTGTCAATACAAAAATCATTAAATCTTATTTGAAATATCAAAGGGTTACAAGTTGTTAAGAAAAGTGAATCGATTAGATTCCAACTATTGAAAAGGGATTTTTGTTGTTTTCAAAGATAATTAATTGATTATAAAATAATGATGTGATTATAATAAAGAAAGAGTTAAAGATTAATTATAATAGAGAGAGAGGAAGAATATTATAATTATTAAAGGAATGATTGAGAAGATGGAGAAAAAATAAGGAGAAAGAGAGATTGACAATAAGATTACAATCTAATCCAATTCGTTGGAGACTCTCCCTTAGTCAAATATTAAAAATAAGAAACAATTTACAGTTGCGATAATTATAACTTATCAGCTGTTAACCAAAAAATATGTTTCGACTAATTGTCAACATGATTATTGCTGGTTATCAACAAAATTGTTATCGGAAAAGTCGTTAATTACTATTGAAAGCATCATTGATTAATTTTCTTTCTCCTTCTGCACAAATTAAATGAGTATCAACAGGATCCACAACGACCAATGTTAAAAGAGTTACCCTTTCAGTAATAACAATTGATTATGATGATAATGATGGAGATAAAGAATAATAATAATAATAATCAAGAAGAGAAAGGGAGAGATGGAGAGATGGAGAGGGATCACAATGGAGAGATTCATCTTCCAATATGGAGAGAGAAACATCAGGTCAAGAATTTAAAAGTCCAACGACAATTAAAGTCAATTTAAACATAAGAGTTTTCAGAAACAATAATATGATAAGTCAAGAGGAAACGGAACAAGGTGGTAAATCGGGCGGAGGGAGAGAAAGAGAGAGAGAGAGAGCTTTTCATGTGGTAATTGTGTTTGTGTGTGTGTGTGTGTAGTGGTTGTTTAAATCATTGATAGTAATGATTAGGTGATTTAATGACTTTAAAGATGAAAGTAATAGTAATAATAATCTGGAATCAAATTTAGACAACAACTTGATCAAAATGACTTCTTTCTTTAGTGATTCCATTATCATTAGATTCACCATCATCATAATCTAATTCCGAGTTGGGTGAATCGTTTCTTGAAGAAATGGTGGGTGAAGCATTGGCTCGATTCCTCCATTTTTCTTTGTGCTGCTCAACACCAAATCCTTCATCATAGTTTCCTTTAGACATGAAGAGTTGCTTGAAATGGACGATACAGTAAAATTTACCTGCAGCTAAAGTATAATTTTCCAATCTACTCAAAAGTGAGAGAGAGAGAGCAAGAAAAAAAAACATTAGTAAAGTGTAAAATTCATTAAGAAAGGTTAACATAAAAAAAAGAGGAGGTTAAAACCATCAAGAGGAGGAGGTCAATGAAAAATATTCAACAAGGTTCATCATTCATTAAGCATCACCATTAAATTTGCCCCATATTAACCCGGTTAACACAAAATTATCACCAGACTGTTACCGTATATTTAACAATATTGCAAATTGTTGCTCATTTTTGCAATTAACTTTTTTTACGATCAGTTCAAGTCTCAACAAAAAAGAAGGTAATTTTTGTCTTATTTGAATAGTAATGGTTTTAACAGGAGATGAAGAGAGAGCTCAAAGGGTGATTATAAGAAGAGAGTGTGAAAAAAATGCTTCTCGTGACTCTCACCCTGGGTTAAAGAGTATTCCAACCTTTTCTTTGAATTTAAATGTTGATTCTCATTAATGTAATAAGATAGAAGTTCATAATTTTCATGATATCGGAACAGGAAGAAGATGCTGATGAGATGAAAAAAAAACATCTTCATTCACTATCAACTGACTACGAATTCTGGCAACATTATATTTCTGTAAAAACTTCATCTGTAAATCTCTTTACTCATCATCATCATGAATCAAGAGCCAAGAAAGAAAAGTATTCATTATTGGATATGTATTCATAGCAACTTCTTAAAAAAACTAAATATAGAAATTCAAATTCAGTAGTCAAACTTTGTGATGATATAAAATCATTGAAAAGATTGAATCATTTGTAGACACATTTCCAATAATTGACAGCTACAATCATGATAATCATCAATATCATCATGATCTTTACAATGTAATAATAATATTTACTGTGTGAAAACAGTTAATGTTAAAGTTAATTGTTGAGCTAACATTAATATTCAATAATGTGGAATTGATTAATACATATATTCCAACACTTATTTTCCGTGCGAATTAGATCAAAGTGTAAATCGACAAACAATCAACTAACTTATTTCAAATCACGTTTAAACCTTTTCAACGATTAAATATTTACATAAATATCAACTTTCAATTAGTAATAACAATCAAATCATCAAAATAATTAGAAGAAAAATCAAATAAAGTTAAGTAAACAAGGCAAAAATTAAAGCTATCAAAAGGTAATCACGCAATTGATGTTCAACAGTAAATCTAACAGCAATTAACTGTAAAACTAACAATTAAGAACAACAATTAATAATACTCAAAGGTAATGCACATACAGATTGAAGGATTTATAAATAGATTACCAAGTGATTAAGATTAAATGTGAAATTCAATCATCATATATCAAACTAAATCGCAATAAGATTGATGATAATTTCTTGGTGAACCAGAAACTTGTTGATTAATTTTAACTTGTTGTCCTCTTATATTATTAACAAACAAGATGATCAACTAATTACCTTAATGATGAGAAACAGTGACTACATTTGAAACAATTCTTATGCAATTTCATCTCATTGAATTCAACCTTTTCCATGGGGTATAAACGCTTTCCACAGACGGAACAATCTTCACTTACGTTGGCTTCATTCTGGAAAATAAGAGAAAACATAATAACAGATTAGTCAAGTATTAACATGATATTTTTTAAGCTCCAAAGATTTAAGACAAAGTAAAGGAAATGGAAAGAGAGAGAGAGAGAAGGAGAGTGAGTGAGAGAGGATGATGAAGAATGATCAGTAAAAAGAAGATGAATGAAAGATACACATCCTCTTTTTTCTTGGTTATGCTTTTTCCCATTAATCCATAACAAGTATTAATCTCTATACATAAAGTATATCTCATTGAAAAGTTAATCATCTTCATGTTAATTCATGAAAATTATAACAACTTATTGAATCTAAAATTGATCAATGAAAAAAAGCATTCATGTTGAGAGGCCTTTGTTTATTTGTGCTCAGGGCAATCAGGAAATTAAAAACAAAATAACCTTACTAATTTTCAGTCAATAATCAGGGTTGAGTTGATGATAATGATGCTCATCCTGATTATCATCATCATCATCATGTCGGATGAAGATGAGAAGCAAAATTAATAGTAAAAGTAAAGGGACAAGAGTATCAATATATTAATGGCACTTGAAATCCGGGTAATGGTGACCAATCCTGTTTTCCAATCAAAACCAACCAATATCCACAATTAACTTTACCTGATTAACCTTTTTCTTATGTATGAATATGATAATGATTAATGTCAAATTAAATAATGGTTAGTTAATTGTCTTGATACCAATTAATTAACTTACAAACTATATAATGATACAATTTACAACAATAAAATCAAGTCATGTTTATGAGGTTTAATTATATTTCAATCAGCACCGTTAATCAAGATACAATATCCAGATTTGATTAAATCTTGTAAAATTATCAAAATGATTGGTTTCATATCTTAATTTAATCGCCTTGGGTGATTAATACTACGGAAGAGGATTACTAATGTAATTGTTAGTATAATTTTACCTCAGGAAAATGTAATAAAGATTAGTATCATGAAAAGCAGATAATTATGTTGATTAAATGTATTAGTAAATAAATCTGGACTAATCATCAACAATTTATTCAAATTTCATCAGATTATGGACAAAATTACAAGGTTATAATCGTGTTGGTTTTTAATTAATGATTAACATTAAATCACGAATTGTTTCAACAGAAATATAATCTGATATTACCAAAGATACTGTTTTGATTTAAAAGGCTTAAATTGTTCTTGAATTATTGAAATTCACTCTGATTGATAATTAAAAGATATTCATGATTAAGAGATGAGTCAACCAGATTCAATGGTAACATGAGATTGAAATTATGATCATCGTGCCAATAATAATAATGATTATCTTGATCAACATAAATTATTGACTAAACACAATTTAAAACAATCAAATTTGAGCCAAAATTGTTAATAATTACTGTTTAATTTATTGTGTATTATTATTACATTTCACTATGTTAATAATGGTTAGTTAATTAACTAATTGTTAGTTGTTAAAAGTTAACGGGAAAGATTCAAGATTGCATATGATTAGGTGAATGGGTGTAAACAGAATCAAAATATTGCAGAATTTGTAACAATCAAGTTGATTGTTAAGTTAACAATTAAACAAAAATAGTGTTAATAGTTTTTTACTTTAGCCAACAATCATAATAAGATAATTAATATTCTGATTATATTATTTGTATCAACAGGATTAAACTTTTAATCAACATCAATGAAAACATCAGCAACAATTTAAAGTATTACAAGTTAATTTCTGTGTCAACAATTAAACAAGTCAGCAAAATAAGGGAATTAAACATTTAACTGAATCAAGTAAATCAGTTAATCAATGACAAGGATAAATTGGCAGCTATGGTTAAACTTGATGATAAAAAATATTCCCCAAAAATATATTCCTATTAGTTAATCATTTGGAGATAGAGAGGAAAAAGTTGCAACTAATTTAAAGTTGATTCCAATGGATATTTTTAACTCTCAATTCCGTATCTCCCTGTGAAACCTTAATCAACATCATGATCAAGTAATCATAACAAAATGATAATGATAATGAAAAATGATAATCTTCATCATCATCATCATCATTCACTGGAATAACTTTCACTTAAATCGTGGGTGGTTTTTGAAAGATCATGATAATCATCAAGGAAACGGATGAGGAATCAGGTAAGCGACAAAAATATAAATGAATTTTTCTTCTTGTTGATCTTAAATGAGCAGAAACAAAAAGATTATCATGTTACTCAGGTTAAATGTGAATTAAGAATAAAAAGAAAGAATAAAATAAAAAATAAAACGATAAATAAACTTGAAACTGAACAAAAAAAGTTCAGAATTTATTGATTTTGTTTCCAATTGAAGGAAAAGGAAAGGGAAAAGTAGAACCAAAAAAAAACGACAAAAGACAAAAGGTAAAAGTGATATGAAGCTCTGATTGTAAATATTGAGTAATAATAATAATAATAATCGTAACAATAATCGATAATCATAATTAATCATAATTAAATAATATTAATTGCGATACGAAAGCTTTTCATTTAGCTATACATGTTGATTGGTTTTGTTGCTTCTGATGATTTTTGTTCATTGGATTGAATTTTGTCAAGTTATGATCAGTTAATTGCCTATTTTTGATTTTTTTTTGTAATTAGAAAATTAATTTGATTAAATGATAGCTGATTAGTTAGCAGGGTTGTTGATTGTTGTATGCAGCTAACTGAGTGTTTGTTAAATGGATGGAGTTAGTCAGACTCATGAGATTACTGAATATATATTAAAGAAGAAACAACAATAACAATTAAAATAAGTTAATTAAGTATTTTGAGATTAGATTAACTTTGGGATTGACTTAATATTCATAACGATAAAGTTTCAATTGGAAGTCCTTATTGTATCTTATTTGCATATTAGTCTTTTTTGTTGATGAAATTTCCAAAAGAATCAACTTATTGTTTATTCAATTGAATTCATCAAGTTAATCAATCAATAATAATCATTTAACAATATTGACATTGATTAACAATTGCTCATCTATTTAACAATTATGATCAGATGATAGATGAGGACTTCCAATAAGAGATAATTTTGGCTAATATCAAGTACACTTTTCTATTAAGAGTTAGTTTGTTCTGAGTGAAAGAGATTTAAAATTGGGTGTGAATGAGCAGAAATCTCAACATTGTAGCTTTTATGTTGAGATGATTTTTGGAGAAGAAAAAAATTCAATTCATGGAAGCAGCAGAGGAGAGAGAGAGAGAGAAAAAAAAAAGAATAGAGGAAAAGGAAATAGAAGATTAAAATGATAGCAACAATGTTCTGTGGATGAAATGAGAATCATGATAAAAGAGAGAAAAAGATTCGTAGAATTTGTGTCTCATGTTGACATATTGAGTGGATGTTGTGGTTGTTTATGAATGAAATTTTCGCCGCTCAATGACGCTCCATGTGTGTGTGTATATGTTTGTGTGCGTGCTAATCCTTTTTTCTGGTAAGCACTCACATTCCGTTCCGCTCATCTTATCCTTACTGGAACAGTGGAAGAGAGAGAGAGAGAAAGATGGGGAGAGGGAAATAAGGTCAAAAGACAGACAAAATGTTACAGATGACAATCAATCGGTCGTTTGACTTTCACACATTAGGACACAAAAAAGAAAACTTTTTCCAGGTAAAAACGGATGAGGAGAAAAGGGAAAAAATTATTCCAAAGTAATAACATATAACTCTGCATTGGATTGAAACAAATAGCAAATGCATGATAATGAAAAACGTTCAATTAACTAGAATCAATTAGCATGCAAACTAAGCAGGTAAAAAAGTGTTGAAATGTTAATTATGATTGACATTCAAAAATGAATCTGACAATGGTTAATAAACTAGCAAATATCCAATAGTAATTAAAATCTTACACAGTTGATTATTTATAATATATAAGTTCATGTCAAAATAAATCATCAATCATAAAAATTATAAGAATATAATTCATGTTAATTGTAGTTACATTTATGACAATGAAAATCTCAAGTTAACTATTGTAATATTTATACAATAATCAGAGAAATGAACTTTCTATTGATTAGATTGTTGATACAATTGTAATATTAATTGAATGACTGTCAACCATTGATGTTGCTTGAAAGGTTGATCAAGTAACTATTATAAACAATCAACAGTTTGGGATGAAAATCAACTTAATTTTGTAAATAATCAATTCTATGATTTCCTTAATTGTGCAGAGAGTGAGAAAAATTTACACCATGATTGTTCATGTACTTGGCCTGTTAACGAGTTTCCAATTTTATGGATATCAATTGTCAGAATTGTTAAGCATGAGAATCAATAAATTAACCATTTCATTGTAACAATTACAATTCAATGATTATAATGAGCTACTGTTAACAATATACAGGTAATCATAATAAGGTAACCACGCAGATGATTAAAAAGAAAACAAATCATCAACATCCTACGTTGATGATGCTATTCATTAAACACAAATGATTACTAACCAAGCACCAAGAGCAAATGGTAATCTATCCTTGATAATCAAGTTTAAATGAATCATTTAATTTTCAAACTGAATCAAAGTGCAAAATCAATTGTTCCTAATTAAATCAACAGTAATGAAAGAAAAGGAAGAGAGGGAGAAAAACAAATATGACAACAATTAAACAGATCATGGTGACGATTAACTAACACACTAACGGAAGCCAAGTTTACCAAAATCAATGAAACATGAAAGACAAAAATATTGAAAGATCATGAAAATTATCAGGAAACCTCATTTCCGAATCAATTTAAAGGATTGAATCTGTGAATTTATAGATAATCAGAAAGATTATAAATCTCATGATTATTGCTAACAGCGGAAAGAAACTTGGTAAAGATAATCATGATTATTGAAAATATTTTCTATTTCCAGTCTATTTCAAATTCTATCATCAGCTGATTGATTGAAATTATTTTAATTATTAACCTGATTGTGTTGAATAAATAATCAAAAGACGAGCTATTATTTAATGATATTAGATAAGTTAAGGTCGAACGAGACTTGGAATTGCTTGAGTAATTTTCATTCATTTATCATTTTAATGATAACTTTGATTGTTAAACTAACACTTCCAGATCAGGATTAAAGTTAATCAGTTATGATAATGAGGGTTACCATTTTTTCTTCATTGAAAATCTTGAAATTGAATCTAAACAATTGATTAGAATTGGTTAATTGGCAATGAATTTGAATGGAAGAAAAAAAAATCTAATAACTCAAATAGTTTAAAGATTAATAATTCTGACCTGAGATAATGATTATATTTCATAATAATTATCATGATTATCAATGAAAAAAAAGTTCATTTCCCTTTAAATTAGAAACATTAAATAAGTTAATCGTTGAATGAGCTTTTGTTGTGGTTACCCTGTGACTTGAATCATTTTTTGTTTTGTTTACCATGATTATAATAACTAATAGTTAACTTAATCAGTTTGATTGAGAAATGTATTTAAAAATCAAGCCTGTTAATCACGAAAACAATCAGTTATGGTTTTCACAATCAATTTGATTCCAGCTCATCATCATCATCATCAGAATCAGAATCACCGTCATTCAAGGTAAAAAAAATGTATTAATATAATAAAAATAAAATAAAAATATTCTTGATAGCAACAGATCAACAAGCATCATTAAAGTCTGAATGAGGACAATCAATTGAGTACCACAATTAAATTTAACTAAACCCTAGTTAGAGAATAAAGAAAATGCTAATCAAGTCTAATCACTATAATCAAAAATTTCCAGAACAAATACAATTAAGACGTAAAAAGATGAAAAATGATAATAATGATTCTGAGAAAAGTCAGAAAAAAAGAGACTCGAAAATTAAATTCAAAATGAGCTGAGAAAATGTGAAAATTTGATAGTAAATCAGATGAATGGACATTCATACATTAAGTGTTATGATTATCACTTTCAATTAAGTTGATTTCAATTTTAGACTGACAACAATTAACGGTCAAATTGATAATACAAAAGATATGGAAAAAAAATAAATTCTTATTATATTGTCATGAATGTAAAAATAAAGATTAAAAGTATTCATGCTTGTGTGGTGAAAATTGTTATGTTTAAGGTTGTGAAGAGATGAGGCAAATGCTTTATAATCATGCCAGAAATTTAGCTAATTATCAACAATTAAGGGAAAATAAATTGAAAATTAAAGTAAACAATCAATTTGAAAAGCGCAATACACACAAAGTTAGTAATAGATGAAATAAAAAGACACACCAAAAGCTAAGCTCGTGTTTATACAGATCACAATTTCTAATGCCGATCATAACGAAACCGTTATATTGGATAAATAAATTGTAAAAGGTGAAATAAAATTGATCATGTGGTTAAATTGTTCAAATTAATTGTGGATGAAGCAGGTTGGTGATTGATTAAAAGAAAAACAGGCTTGGTTAAGATTGGAATCAAATAAAATAATGATAATATTGATTGTTAAGTATTAACAGCAACATAGTATATAAATATTTGTAAAAGTGACAATCAATTGATCATCGTTAATAAAAATAACAAGCATGTCAAGCTAAATACTACGATGCTATTAATTGTTAACGTCAAATGAACATCAACAAAAAAAAGGTTATAAATGCAATTATAAGATTAACGTGTAAGGTTAATTGTGACGAAATTAAGTATCGTAACTTACCACAAATCGATTGACTCGAGGTTTGGTCTTTTCAATTGGCTTGGTTGGACTGTCATCACGAATCGATCCAAATTTGGCAACCAAATTCTTAGTTATTCCCAATGCTGGTAAAGCGTCTTCTTCTACGTTAATTATTGAATTTCGTTTGTTTTCCTTTTCTTCAACCTGAGACCAGTTCTCAAATTTAGCGGTTAAACTTCGTGCCAATTTAGGTTCAACTGGAATCACATCTTCAGTTTTGTAGCTCGATTTTACTAAGAGGAAAAAGAGAGAGACGGCAAAAAAGTTTATTATCATTTACCTTTGGAAATTATTATTCATATTATTTTTGGAATAAATATTGTCAAGATAATTACCAATATTAGGATCTCGCTCAACTTGAGGTTCATTTTCAATAACATCCTTGGTGAACTCTCTTGGTGGGGTTATACGTTTGAGTGGTTTAGGTGTGCCTCCGATGGGTTTCTTTGATGAGATGGTGTTTTCTTGGTTCATTTGATTCTCCAATTGTTTAAATTTATTCAACATTTTAGAGGTTGTATCAATTTTTGGAATTTCAGAGTCAATATCATTATTTGCGATGACAATATTGGCATTTGGTAAAATTTCAACCCTTGGTCCACCATTACCACCACTAACACCGGTACTATCAAGGGTATCGTCACCATTATCATTTTCACTTCGAGGTGGAGTCATTTCTTTTAAAGTTTTACCAAAACCATTTTCTTTACCACCACCAACACCATTTAATTCACCATTATCTTTAGCACCATTGTTAATATTATTTTGATAACATTCAAAGAATTTGTATCTTTCCTGAATTTCCTTTGTCTCAATGACAACCTCTTCTTTAACACTTGGATCACTACATTTAATCACTTCCATGGGTTTACCTGAGGTCAATGTTTCAGGTACTGGTGTTTCTCGATTACTTCGAGGTCCATTATTATAGTTGTTATTATTGTTAATATGATTATTATTATGGTTATTATAATGATGGTTAATTGGTGAAACAGCTGATTGTTTAGAAAGAGTTGCATCCATTTGTTTGAATAAATTTTTAGCCTCACGAGCGGCTGTTTCAGCTTCGGTAACCAATTTAAGATCTTCTTCTTTATCCTTTCTTAATCTATCTAATCGTCCATCATCTGAATCATTTTCAATTTGTCCTTTTTCAAATTTCTCTTTCAATGAGATTGCTTTAACAGAAGATTCAATTTGAAGAGATTCAGTTCTAGGTGATGGTGAAACTGACAGGTTACCACCTTTCTCGTAAACTTGTCGCATTGAAGCAGATCGACCAAGACATATTCTCTGTCGTAATTTGTATAACTCATCCTTGGTACCATTATCCTCTCGAGCAGGTTCATCAACATTTTCACCACCCCCACCACCAACAACACCACTACCACCACGAGGAACTGAACCATTTTCCCATTGAGATCGAAGAGCAGATAACCCAACAAAGGGAACCTTTTCTTTTCTCTTAGTTTCTCGAACTAATGTCAATTCTCCTTCATCATCACTTGAATCACCTGAAGATGAACAAGAGTCGGCTTCTTTTTCAGTCATTTTTTCACCTGATATTGCTGATTGATATCTGAGAAAAACATACAATGTACATATTATATTAATGAAAGTACATATCTAATTATATTACAACAATCAGTAAGGAACAAAAAAAAAAGAAACCAAACCATGAAAAATCAAAATTTTACACTAAGCTGAATAGTTACATGTAGATGGTTTTTATATTGTTGAGGATGAAACATGTTGCAGATGATGATGATGATATATATTTATTTATATCAACATAATCATCATAAACAATACATTATTATTAAGGTGGGTATGGAAGTGTGTTAAATGACAATGTTAATGGCTTTTGGTTAAGATTATCTTTTGCCTGTCTCTTGATTTCAATCAGACAGAATTGAAATAACACCAAAAAGGGATAACTAACCAAAATTACCTTGTAGATTGTGATCACAATGGTTTCTACCTTTTTCAATGTATTTAGAGAGCAATTAACAGTAGCAAGATAATGATTATCAATCCAATAATAACATAAACAAAACAATTAACTTTCCAGAATCAAATTTTCAAAACGATTACCTGAATGATCACAATTACAATTTATCATTACTATTGAAATGACTAAATAATTAAATGATTATAACTTTCTAATTAGATACTTTTCTTCAATAGGAATCAGTAAACATTCACAGTTAATTGTAATTGTAATTGCAATTGTTTTTAACCAAATAAGCAATTCAAAGGAGTCAGGGGTGGGTGGGTTACTACTCGATAAAATGAACTTGAATTATAATCTAAGGACATTATATAGAGTTGAATCTTTAAAAAAAAAGGAATCAAGGTGAGAGAGAGAGAGAAAGGGAGAGGGAGAGGGAGAAGTCAAGTATCAGTAACAAGTTTGATTAATAACAAATGAAAACCGTTACAATTGAATCATCATACAAACAACAGGTATGACAAATCTCTGTGAAGATTTTGATTTGTGTATAAAATGAAAATTGAAAAAAAAATGAATCCATTGATCATTCAAAATGTTAACAATAATGATGATAAAATATCACAATCCAATAATATCCAATCAATTATTAACTGATAATGAAAGCAACAATCTAATGTTGAAGTTGAAATAAACATCAGAGGATATGAAAGAAATCATTTCAATCATTTTTGACATGATGATGAGTGTGATTTGAGAACAGATTTAATTATTGGTAGCAAATTATTGCGATTGAGTGAAAAAAGGTGAGGGAAAGAAAAGAGGATAGAATAGAAAACTAAGGTATTAAAGAAAAATAGAGAAATAATCTTACCTTTGTAAACGTATTAAAAGGCTTTCTGATCGTTGAAGAGCTGATTTATCTGGAACTGGTGATGAGATGAACCTTTCGTCTGATACTGATTCAAATCGTTGTCGAATGCTGGTTAAATCAACTTGAATGTTACCAAGACCATCATCAACTTTAGAGTCACCTAAACAAATCAACAGAAAAAAACAAAATGAACAATCAAAAAAAAAGAAAGAAAGAATTGAATGGAAATGAGTAAGTTGAGTGAGAAAGATGATGAAGTGAGAGAGAGAGAGAGAGAGAGAGAGAGAGAGAGAGAGAGAGAGAGAGAGAGAGAGAGAGATGAAGATAACAAGGGTAAAAAAAGGAGGGGAAGAACAAGAAACCCAAATAAAGTGAGTATGAAATATTTGTATCTCTCAAGAGAGGAAGCAAAAAGGAAACATAACACACAACAACACTTTGTGTATATTAATCTTTGTGTGAGTAATATCATCAACAAGATGATAGTTAATGAAGATTTTAAGTATAAATCTCGATTAACTTGATTAAGAGTTGAATGAGAGAGTAGAAACACAAGGAGAAGATGATAAAACAAGTTGAAGTAACCAATGGTTCCAGGGCAAGCCTTGCTATATTTACCTTGCAATCTACACTCAAAACACCAAGAAGAAGAAGAAGAAGAAGAAAATGATCAAAAATCAACAAGAAGATGGAGATGATAAAAATAAGGAGAAAAAACTGGTTGATTATATTACGAGATACCCGGTAGATAGACACATGAAGATGGTGAACAAAAAGAGCCGGGCTTTTGTACCTTGAGATACACAAAAACAGTAAAAGACAAAACAAAAGGCCCAGGGCCAAACACACACACCACTAAGCTGTAACACAGAGCATACACCCTAACACAGTAACAACGGTAAGAGAATAAAAATATGAAGAGAAAGACAATATTCTAAAATAGACAGAGATGAGAGAAAGAGATGATGAAAAGAAAAAAAGGAAGTTCTCTAAAAAGAACAAAAATAAAAAGGTACCAAGGAACCAAACCACCAAAAAGAAGAGGGAGAAGAAGAGAAAATCCGTTTTGATTATGGAGAAAGAGTAGAGAATTGTTATCATGGAAAGAAAAAGAAAAAGAAAAAGGTGAACACTAAACAAAATCAAGAAATTAAGGTTAATTGTGATGGAACAATTATCAACAATTAATTACCAATAATCGTTGGTAATACTTACAGAAAATAACCAACCCAAAGTAGAATGAACTTGGAACAAGACAAAAAGAAGGAGAGAAGAGAAAAAAAGAACAAAAAAATATTCTTTTTTAATGTTACTCTTTTTCTTCTCAATTCTCTCTCTTTCTCTCTCTATCTAAATCTCTTGTTACCAAGGTAAAGATGAGAAAAATAGAAATTTAGAATAGAAAAAAAAAGTAAAAATAGAATTTAAGAAAATAGAAAACAAAATGTCCTCTGACTTGTTGCTGATGGAAAATTAATTGTCAAAAGAGAAACTGTAACCAAAGACACTAATCAAAAACACCCAAACAACATTATAATTTGATGGAAAGGAGAACAATTAACAAATTAAAGAAACTGGATAAAAATATTAAAACAATTAGATGATCTAATCCACAGAAAAGTAATAATTAACTTACCTGGAAGATGAAGTGAAAACAAAAAGAAAGAGTGAAAATGACAAACAACAACAAAGAAAAAAAAAAGATCGAAAATGATAATCGGTCAATAATTTTCGCTGCGGGTGTTGGAATAACCGGCGAAAAATTGATTCTCTTTTCAAACGATAAAATGATAGAATAGAAAATTGATTCTCTTTTGTTATCATTACGATTAATTAACACCCAAAACCTAATTAGGTGTGTGATGGTTAACAGATTAATTGCAATTGAAATAATATAATTAAAAGGGTTGATCAACTTACACCTTACAACATCAGGCGGTAATTCAATGGGAACACTTTCCCGAATTATCATCTCATATCGTTTAGAGCGATCTGATTATCATCATCATCATCATCATCGTCATCATCATCGTGTCCAAATGAGAGAGAAAGTGAGAGGATGAGGGAGAAAAAAAGAAAATTGAAATGAGAGAGAAAAAAATTGATAAGTTGTCAATGGATTAGGATTAAGATTAAGATAAAGATGGATTGATGATGATGCGGATTAAGATGATGATGATGAGCTGTTAGTTGGTTTAATTGTTTTAACTATCATTCTGTTAATTAAAATTGTTTCCTGATAATTAACATTTCTCTTGATTGTTAATTGTTCAGTCAATTCAAGTGAAATCAGAGCAGGTAAAACGATTAAGATTATTAGTATTAGTGTTTAGTTTTACACAATTAACTGTTGAAAAAAGTTAATAAATTGTAATTGTAATAATCAACAATAATATGAATGTTGATCAGTTGTTGTAAATGTTAATAATGAGAAAAACAATCAAAACAATTTAAAGAAATGTGATTAGTTAATTGTCATTTTCCGGATGGGATAACATTCAATTAGGTGGATCATGATTCCAACAGATGAGATCATACAATTAAATCATTTTAAAGGTATTCACAATTTATATATTTATATGAATATCTGTTGACAATTGTTAACAATTTACTTCAACAATTAAGGTTAATTCAGTTAATTAAATGAGGGAAGAAAAAAATTTCAAATCAATTTGAAAGAAATGAAAAAAAAAACAATCCAATGATTTTGGTTATGTTGTTGTTGTTGTTGATTGTAAACAATTAATTGTTAGATTGTCTTGATTAACACAGGCCATTAGAGGAAGATGATTAACTAATCATAGAAATGAAATTGCCAAATTGTTAATTAGTTAAATAATCTATTGATGATCAATTGATTTAACTCAATTCCAATGATGAATCAATAAAATTTTCTGATTGAATAAAAACAAAATCAATAAATCAAATTGTTTTATTCACCTTTTCGGGATAGAGATTAATTAGCAATTAATCTAATCAACTGGATATCAATAGATTATAATTAGTTAATCAAGTGAACTCTAAATTCAAAGACAATTTGTTAATTGTAACAATCAAATCACAAAGTCACAATGAAAGAAGCCATTGAATTGAGATTACATGTAATAGTATTAGAAACAATTGAGTGTTGATTGCAAGGTAAATTAACATGCTGTTAATCCAGTTAAGAGATTAAGATAATCTCAATAGTGTAAATTGATTGTAATGAGGAATAAAAAAAAAAGGTTGAAACAATTAACTGAACAATTAACTTACATGGTCTGGTTTCTTCATCAATATCAAATCCCGGTTTAGGCATTGATGTTATGGTTTGTAAATCCTTTTCTTTGCTTGAAAGATGATTAAACAATCAGAGTGATTAACTAATTAGATATCCACGGATTCCTTGAAAAATGTAGATATTAATGAATGGATGTAATGGTAAACACAATCGATGAGAAATTAATTGTAACAATTAACTTGATGAGAGAAAAACAATAACAAAGAGAAACGAAAATTATTCTTATGGTTTTGATCTTCACTGTTTCTTGTCTCCAACGTCAGTGAACCTAAAGAGTGAGAAGGAAGAAGAAGATGAAGAAAGTAAGTAAATGGAAGATAAGGAAGATAATATTTCTCTTCTTATTCTTCTCTACTTTTACTACGAAAGAGAAAGAGAAAGAGAAGAAAGATGATGAAGATAAAAAAGAAAGACAATGTTTGGATTATCATGCGTATTCCAAATTGAGAATATTGCTCATGATTTCTACCGAAAAAGAGAAAACCAGAATTGTCACCACAACGAATTCGATGAGTTCGATGTAACATCTATTTCGAGTTCTAACCAATTCCTATGGATAAAAATACTTGTGAACTTTTCCCTCTCTCATCTTAATCATCATCAACATGATTTTCTCAGGCAAATTGCCAAAAAAACGCAAGAAATTAATTCTTAATTGTTACTGTTGGTTCCTCTTTTTTTGGCTTAACATTTTTACCATTTACAAGTAAACAAAAACGTTCAGATGATTATCGTTTTATTAATTGTAATTTAACAAGACATTTCCAATTGATTAAGATGGTTAGTTAATCATGTTAATTGATTGTTTTGCTTTTGCGATCGGTTAATTGTTCAAAAGTTTGTAACGATCGTTGGATTGGTTTGTCATTTCGCTGCGAGTGTTAAGTGTTGGCTGAACTTTTTCAGGTTCGATGAAAGTGAATTAGTTTAATTGAATTTACATTCATGGGTTCATTGTGGGTGGAAATTTTCAGATTCTGAAATTCTGAGATTTATCTCTTTGTTTCTGTGTTCCGCTTTTCGTTGGTGAGTCTAGACTCTGGAGATATTGTTACCGGAAATAGATTGATTTCTATGAGGATTTTATTTCCTTATGAATTTTTGTTTTTGCTTCTTTCTCGAAGTTGATTCAAAGACATTACTGAATTCTGGATGGTTGCCAATGTGGGAGACGATAAACATTTCATGATGATGATAGTTTCAAGTGGTGATGGTTGCATGATGAAGATGATGATGATAATTATTATGATGATGGAGATGAAGATGATTTCTTAGGAAGTAAACATGTTGATCCAACAAAACATTAACCATAACAATAATAAGCACGATAAACAACAACAATGGCTCTTCCTCCATTCATCTACCACCTCCACACCATTGGCATCATCTTCATCTTCATCTTCATCCGCATCTTCATCCTCCTTCATCTTACATCATTTTCCATGCAAATCATTCATTGCCATCACTCTCAAAGTTGATCAAAGTTTTTAGGAACTTTTCCCACTCCTCTCTCTCTCTCTCTCTCTCTCTCTCTCTCTCTCTCTCTCTCTCTCTCTCTCTCTCTTCATGATCACCAGAATCTCTCAAGGCATCGACCAGAATCTTGAAGATCGATGACTTTTATTTTAGAAAAATAAAACACCAGAGAAACGGAAGTTAGTTAATTGGAAAACAATTTACCGGTTAATTAATCTTAACAATTTGTGCATCGACAATAATTCAACTAATTAACTGATTATCACGAAAAAAAATTCATACATTTTTTTGTTCAGTTGACAATAAACTTGATTATCAATTTAATCTGATAAAATCAAAAAAAAAACTTACTAATTAATAATGAAATCAATACTCATTTGGGTTAATTAATCATTAAAATTAGATTAAAATAATAGTTACTTTTTATCAATCCTGTTAATTTAGTAATCAATATATTAATGTTTGAATATATGATAACAATCAGGAAGCAAATTAAATCAATTGAAATGATTAACATGAGCCTATCAACTGCCTGTGGGTTTAAACTTACAGTTAATTATAATCTTAATGATTAATAAAAACAACAAGCAAATCAACAATCAAATTAAATCATGATTAAAATCATCTCTCTGTTTGTCCAACATGATTTTAATAACTATTACAGTTAATAATATAAATTAATCATTAACATGACCCTTAACTATTTGTATGATAATCAAACTGGATTAAAAGGTTAGAATCACAATTAAGAACCAGAATTATCATCATCATAATAATGATTTCCTCCATGATGATAATCAATTGATTGTTGGGTAAATTAGATTAAAAAACTTATTGCCATCCTTATTAGTTGATTGTCTTGTCTAATCAAATAGTCAACAACAATTAACCAGCATCACAGTTTCAATTGTTGAAAAAATTAACATCTTCAGCCTTAATCACTGACCATTTAATAAATTGTTTGTCAGAATTTAAAAAAAACATATTATTAACTATTACAATCAACTTTATAATAGTTTGATAAACTTAATTACAATCAACAATTCATTGAACTGATAAACTCAATTAAATCAACTTGATTAAGATGATTAACCAGAAAAAAACTGGCCTAAATTATTTTAATCACTTTTTTTGTTATAAACAATTTACAATAATAAATTGATCATCAATTGATTGTTGTGATTAATAACAATTTGGTCTGATAACTTTGTCACAATTAACAGTCAATAAAAAACAACTACAGCAACAATTTATTATTATAAACAATCAAAAAGTTAATCACAATGAAAACCAATTGATTAAATTAAGGTAAAAGTTTACAAGTCTAATATTTAATTGTAACTTAATCAATTGAAATGATGAAATAATAAAAGGATAATAACAAAGTGTCAATAAAAAAAATTGTTGATTAACTGATTAAGACGATTAAGGTGTTTAATCATTATTGTAATTAGTTAATCGCGTTTTAAAATATCACATTTAAATGTTAATCATTCACTAATCAAATTAAATCATCATGATAATCAAATTATCAAATGATTAATTTGTAAACGGAAAGGATTAACATGATAATCATTGTTGATTAGAAAACTAAATTAGATGAAAATTGGTGCCAACGTATTGATTGTAGATGCTGTTAATTAGGATGATAATTATGATGAAGATGAAGATGAAGATGAAGATGGAGATGAGGATGAGGATGAGGATGACGAGGATAAAAAGACAAGAAGATGAAAATGATATTAATAATAATGGAAGATAAATTATATGAAAGGGGAACAAGTCCAAGAATCAATCGCAAGCAAATTTATCCTAATTTTTGGTTAATCATCTTTCAATATCTTCATCTTCATCTTTATCATCCTCATCCTCATCATCTCTTACTTTTTGTCTCTTTCTTTTCTCTAATATTAACTTAATTGACTTGAATATAACCAGGAGATGATCAAGAATCCTCATCAACAGGTTGACCATCATCATCATCTTTAGCATCCCGATCATCCTATTGCCCTCTTTTCACAGCAAATTATTTCTCATCTTCATCATCATCTTCATCCTTTTGGACATCATCTTCATCATCATCAACATCAATATTATCAACAGTTAAAAAAATCATCAAATACTAATCAGTTGTTTCAAATATTCAATGATCACCCTGAAAATAAAACAGTTACATTAATTTAATTGTCTCATCACCTTTGTAATATAAATTATATAAATAAGTTTGTACGCAATCAGATTAATAATTAACGTTAATTTTTTTACGATTTAATCAATAATCAATAGTCATTTCTATTAATTGTTATTGAATTTTAATTTTCTGTCAATTAATCAAATTGCTGTTTATTTGGAAAAACAAAATACGTGATAAGTTATCAACTGTTGGTTAATTTGTTATTACCTAAATTAGTGATCAACTGATACAATCAACTAATCACAACTCGATTAAGTGAACAATTTCATCAACACAGTGAATCAAAAATCAAATCAAATGAAGGTTTGTATTAATCTTAATATGTTTTCCTTTCCATATCATTGATAATCTCCCGTAGAGGTCAACAAATCCTTCAAGATATTTCCTCTATCATCATCATCCTCATCATCATCTGGATACTTTTCCATAGGTCAATTGATGAAGATGAAGATAAAGATGACCTAAAGTCATCTCTCCACAGGGAAGATAACCAGAGATACCCTAATGATAACAAGTCTATTACTTTACTCATTAAAATGATTTCTGGTTTTTCTTTGGAAGAAAAAAAAACGAAGATGAAAATTTTTTCTATTTCATCCTCATCCTCATCATCATCTTTCTCTAGACGAAGAAAGTGTTTTTTTTTTCTTGGGTGGGTCCTTATTCTTGTTTATCCTCATCATTATCACTCTCTTGTTATCCTTTTCTGTGTCTGTGAGTGTTTGTAAAGGTAAGGCCATTGATGGAGATGAGGATAAGTCAAAAAGGTAAATGACCCAAACCAGAATTGACCCTTCATCCTTTTGTCTCCTTTTGACCAATTGTATGTCATTTGTTAAATTGTTGCTAAATTGTTAACCACAAACTATTTAGACAATCAGTACATTAATCAATCACCTCTTTTTTTTTGACAATGTAAATTGTTTACATAACAAAACAAAAAAGCTCAAGGTCACTTCCGTTGTGTCCATTGACAAAAAGTGATTCATTAAAAATGATAAACATAAAGTTTACTATTTATCTAATGTAATCATCAAAGATTTAGATGTTTCCATGATTAAGTTAATTGCGATAATTGTAATTGCTTTCAGGGTGAATGATAAATATTGTATATTGATGGTCAACAGGTATAAGGACAGTTACGGTTTAGACTCATTGATAAACTTTGTTGTTGTTGTTGTTGTTGTTTTCATTATGAAGATGAGGATGAGGATGATGATAATTGTAATGATTTACTTAATCATTTGCATTATATATTATTAATTTGAGGTCATTGATCAACTTTCAGACGAATAGGTTAAAAGTTGAAAAGAGTTCAAGTTCGAGTTGATTATTAGTTATAAGAGAGGAATAAAATATTTCAAATCCAGATAAACAACCTGAATAAGGTCATAAAAACAATTTATCATGAAATTAGCGATCAAAATAACAAGAAGATGAGGATGATAAAGAAGAAGATGAAGATATTGAGAGAGTAATCGGTTGAGAAAAATAGTATTAATCGAATTGTGAATAATTCATTTTCTTTTTCATCGATAGAACTTTTTTCGTTCTCGATTCATAAGTTTATCGAATGGACAAAAATATATTCTCATCAATGAAAGGAAATTCAATTAGTCATTTGATCACAAATGATATTGAAAAGAATATCAATCATGATGATCAATTGATTGTTGTGACGATCATGATGATCTCAGAATTGAGGATCATTGATGATTAACCTTTTTTGATTACTCATAGTAAATGCATTTTGCAATTTAATGAATCGCCATTGATCTTGTAGTTAATCAATGAACAATTTAAGGAGTTAAAAGTTTTCCTTGGCAGATCCTTGAGCTTTTCAATAGGATTTTCATATTATTGGGCATCAAAAGTTAATGATGAGGGTGAGAGAGAGAGAGGGAGAGATTTTCATCATTATCATCATGAACATATTATGAGCTTATTCATGGGCTTGGAAATTGAACATTGGCAACAATCAACCAATCTGTTGATTCTTTTTACATCATCTTCATTTTATCATCATTTTCCATCCTTTCTAAACCCTTTTAACCATCATTTTCATCTTCATCATCCTTGTAAAAGTAAAGGTTTCCTTTCATTTTCTTGCCAACATTTTCAAACTAATTGCACGTTTGTTACATCATTTTGATAGAGAGAAAAGAGGATGAGGAAGATGAGATGAAATTAACATTCGTAAAAGTGTAATCCGAGTTTAAGATGAACATTAAATCTGCCAATGAATCTGAATGATCGCAAGTGATTGTTGGTGATAAAACCAAACCCATGGGAGAGTATGAGTAGTTTTTTTTTTCGTCAGAACTTTTGGTTCAACACCTTTCGAGACAAGAATTTCAATTCTGAGACATTTCTCTCAATGAATTTTCATCGTTTTCTACAATAAAAAAGTCTCCATCCTTTTTTCCTTCATCTTCCTCAGACTGTTTGACTTTCCTTTTCTTTTGGTATCTTCTCCCTCTTCCTTACAGTTTCTCATCTTCTCATCATCATCATCATCTTCTTCTTCCACTGTGATTATTACTATAATGATGATAATGATGAGTATTATTATTTTCATCATGGATATTTCTCTCTCTCTCTCTCTCACTTTTCCTTCCCATGATTCCGTTTGAAGCAACTGACGGGTTGATGAACTGAGTATCTCAATTCTGTTGCATTTTCGTCAGTCCAAAAGTTACAAATAAGAAAAAGAGAAAAACAAATTATGAGAGATTGTAGATGATAAATAAATGATGATGATGATGTTACCCCACTGATGGTAAAGATGAGGGATAAGATGATCAGATTAAAAGATTATTAAAATTGTGTGTTTGATGTTTTCAGGATAAAAATGAAACGTTGAATCCTTGAAGATGAATGAAGAGCTTGAAAAATGACAACATCGTTATGATATTATTGTTGATTGTTGATTATGATGATGATATTTAATAAATAATCGGCTAGTTTTACTGCATTCCCATGACGATGATGAATTTGCTCAGTGAAATTATCTGAAAATTTGTATATTTCTCTGGATGAAGCGAAAAGGAATCAACAAAGTTAGTGGTTAATTGGGATGATGAAGTTTCAATGGGTTGATATATGTTGTTGTTTCCTCTCCATCAACAGGTTAACAATCAACTGAGCAATTTCAATGTAACGATAATCATCATCAGGTCCATTTGAAGTTTCAATGCCAAATCTTTGAATAGCTCAATTGATGGTCAACAGACCGATAATCATTAAAAACGATTGTGTAGCCCATGGATTCACTTGCATCTTTTCATTTCAATTTTTATCGTTCTATTGGCCATAAAGTCAACGGTGTAAACATCAGAATCGCTTTTTTTTTCATCAATTTGGTTAAGGGCATAGTTGAAGTTTCCTCTGAACCGCAACCAAATTGAATAAATTATTTCATGATGGTGATGATGGAGTAACAAAAAAAGTCCAACCAAGAAGGAAATTCATTGTTAAGGTCATTTCCGTTGTCCACAACCTCTCATTGTTCACCGGTGTGAAAAAAGAGCCAATGACACTTCGGTTGATTAAAACTCTTGGTCCATTTTTTTTTCTTCACTCAAACTGACCAACACTTTAGGTACAATTTGAGGTTGATTAAATTACCGACTTGTTGTTGTTTAGGATTTAAACGAATTCTACCAAATTGATTGACCATGACGATGATTATGAGAGAGTAAAAATTGAAATGACCATAACATTTGTCCTTCCACATTCACATTAAATTGTTTATCTTTGATACATAACAATCAGATGATTAGATTTAATTGTTTGGACAATAATAATAATTGTTTTTTTCTTCCTTCTCTTTTCGTTCCGACTAATCCAATTTGTTTCATTAAAATTCAAAAGGCAATCTGGTTAATCCATTTGATTATCACTACGATCTCATTGAATCTCCATGTAATCGGTGCAACAACAGGTCATTCAAATGAGGCATCATCGAAATCACCACAACCAATATCGAAATCTTTATCCCCAGAGGCGAAAATAAGTTCCGATAAATCATCCCCATCTTCTTCATCATCATGGCTTGACACTGGTCTCTATCAGAATCCATTGAAACCCAAACTGTTCCAGTTACCATACGAAAAAATCACCAATCCATTGACCTCATTTATCTCTTGGATTACACAGAACGAACGAAATGAACGAACATATGACCAACTTTACTTAAGCGGTAAATCAACAGGTCAAAGGTCCCCCGTAGTTATGGGGTCACCAGTAAAATCAAATAAAGAAAAAGAAATCACGAAAACAACAACAACTAGTTCATCATCATTATCTTCACCATCTTCTAGTTCAATCATGTCGTCTTCAAGTAATTTAAATCCATTGGCGGTTAAGGCTTCATCATCACTGGTCGATTCGTCATCATCATCATCATCATCTTTGTCTTCATCTTCTGCTTCAAGATCTTCTTTATCTTCTTTATCCTCTTTGTCTTCAGTAATGTTTCCCTCTTTTAAATCTTGGCCTGTTAATCACCGGCGACAAGATTTACTTTCATCTTTCTCCTTTGGTCGATCATCTTTGTTACCATCAGCATCGATCTCGTCATCAATCAGGTCAAATAATATGTTCAAATCTAAAGATTTATCACCATCGCCACAGTTTTCGGTCACTTTTCCTCGGTCAACACCACCCAATAAACGCCAATTATCACCAGAAACACTTGGGATTATCTCCAATATAATCCTAATCCAAAGGTTTTCTTTATACCAAAATATTACACTTCACCTTATTCAGTTTCTGTACCTTTTATCACTCATGCTGATAAATTGTTATTGGCATCAAATCACCGAGGCAGCAGAATCAATGGTGGCGGTGGTGGTTCCAGAGGAGATGATGTCGATATTGATCAGGATAATTATGGTGAAGAAAGTGTAGATCGTGATTATGACAGAGATGAACATAGAAATGAGTCAATTGACAACAATAGTATGACACCAAATGAAGATAATTATCATCACAATTCAAATAGAAATGGAGATAAAAATGATCGATTCCGTCGTAACCATCAGAGACGCCGAAATCGTAACAAAATCGGAAATCATCCAATAAACATGGTAATTCATTCAAGCCAAATGGCTTCATGAAATCAGGATATTCAGTTAATCAGATTACATCCAATGGTGAGAATGGGTTAACATTGAAATCACCAATGTTGTTACCAAGGGTCAAGACAAACATCAATAACAATCAACAATCAAAAAGATATCGATCAAGAAATAAACCTTCATCATACTCATCATCTTATTCATCATCATCTTCACCATGGAGAGCAATGAACACCCATGATGATGATGGTGATAAAATTCACAGGCCTGTTCCTTATACCGGTAAAGCTCAATATTCAACTATCGACAATAGTTCAGATCCAATGAGCCCATCGGCATCTCGATGGATCCCTTTCTGGACCAAACGGAAACAATGATTTATATAAACAAAAATCTCAATCAAGAGAAACTAAATTGGTTAACAATTAGTTGATTAGTAATTAATGAACCAAGAATAACAATTAAGAAATACACAAAAAGAAACCACCAAAAGCATAACCCAAACGCACAAGTTATTCAATAGATTTTATGATTAAGCCTGAAAATCAATTTTCTCATTTTTGTCTTATTATTATTTTCATCATCTCGTTGTACAGAAAACAAGAATTAAACACAATTAGTTAATTGTCTTACCTTTAATACGTGAAGATGGTTAATCAAATCGGACAACAATCAAAGAATTGGCTTCTCACCGGATAATATAAACAATAACAATCCAAAAAGAGTCACTTGGAAAATGGTAAACAAAATTGTCTCACTTCAAGTGTCCGGTCAGAGTGAAGATGATTAGATGATTTCTACTTGACCAGTGAAGGTCGAAGGTTAATATTTAGATGTATTGGTAAGAAAAGAATGAAACAATTAAGATTATATTGGAGAGAAAGGGTTTGATGGTTTTTGTTTTTTTTTCTTTAAAAGGAAAAATAGAAGAAAAAAAAATTCTTCTCACTTTTATTCCAAACGAATGAGAAAAAGTTACTGATGATTATGATTGTTACTATTTAGTTGATGTTATTGTTGTGATATTGAGAGAGAGAGAGAAAAGAAGAAAATAAAATCAGGTTTGAATGAGAGAGATAAAAAAGAGACACCAAAGGAAAAGAGAGACACAGAGAAAGAGATGATAAATAAATTCTCTAAACTTTATCCCCGCCAAATCTCACTCACTTTTCCCTCATCCCATCGTTCCCACTTTTCCCTTTTCTCCCTCTTCCTCCCGAAACCCACCCCACAGAATGAAACCGGTCTTCATGCTCTCTCTCTCTCTCTCTCTCTCTCTCTCTCTCTCTCTCTCTCTCTCTCTCTCTCTGAACGTAACACAGAGAGAAAGATAATAAGCTGACCTGAAAAGTGGACTGGTCAGTTGGCCTCCGCCCATGGACAGAATTCCCTCTTAGTGTTACACGATTTTCACAATCGTTATCACAAATTCATCAACGAAATTCATCATCATCACCAATCCACCCTCACGAACACCAAATCCTCTCTCTCTCTTTAAGGTGGAGACTCAACCTGATTTCTCAACTTTTTACCACCGAGATACTTTTACCCTTCAACAGAATCTCTCCCTCTCCCTCTCCTCCACTCTATCATCATTTATCATCTTCTCTCTTTCTCCTCATCTTCCAACCCTTTCCTTTGTCTTCTTACAAAACTTTCCACCGGTTCAACTACTCCAAACTCACCTCCACCTCCACCTTATTATTTGCATCCATTCATATGAATTTCTTGAAACCTCCAATTAAATTGCTCATTTTAATCTGATTAATTAACTTGATTTCACTTCTTCAGGTTTTTAATTAACTCCCTGATTAATTGATTTCGTTTTATTTCAACTATCAAAACAATCAATTAATTTTTTTTTGATTTATCATCAAATTAAACTTAACTATTTCGCTAATTTAATTACCATATTAAAATTATCAGTAATTAACTTTTCCCAGTTAATTAGTTTTTACACACAAAGTAATAGGAATAGTTTTTATCAATTGAATTTAATGTATTGATATGAACAATTAACTAATCGTTTTGATCCAAAATTGGATTTAATTCATTTTTTATCAGATAAATTGTTACAACTTTGATTAACTGTCAATGAAGGTTAATCAACTAATCCAAACGTTTATTATGTAATTAATATTTCAAATTGGAAAGCAACAGGTAAATCATTTTTCATCTTAAACAATTAACTAATTGTGCAACGAGTTGTATGATCAATTGTTGGCATTACGATTAATCAACTGGACTTTTGACCAGGATTTAATTGTGATTTAGGATTTCATCAAGATTTTGTTGACAATTAATGGATTTGATTGAATTGTTGTTACTAATTAAGTCGATAATCTCAATTAATTCAGTTGATTATCTCTTATCATCATGTTGATCATGTTAATCTTCATGATTCTTCATGAGATTTGCCTCTGGCAATTTAATCCTCACATTCGTGACATTTAATCATTTGTTTTCAAGACACTTAATCAACTAATCTCGAGACGATAATAATTAATACAATGAGTTAATTGTTGAACCAGAAAAATTTAACGACAACAATTAATAGATGAATCAACTAGTGTCCTCTAGTTTAGCTGTAAGCAGTTAAATACAATTCAACTAATCAGTTAATTCAGTTACAACTCATGAGATGACACTTCTAGTCAAGGCAACTTTAACAACAATTAAGATTTAATTACTACTATGGAAGTTTCAATTAAGATCATTTCGTTTTAAACCTTGATCCTTGACCAAGCAATGACCCCAAAGCAAATTTAGATCCCAAGTGAGATTGATTTCCAAGTGTCAAACTAAAGAGAAATTCTAATTAAAATTTGATTCTTTGATTCTATTAAATTATTAGATGAACAGTAGATAAAATTAGCATCGAAATCACAATTAGGACCCTTGGTAATAAGCGTTTAATTGATTTCTAAGTCTTAATCAATCGATAATTAGATTTAGAAAAAATTGTAGAAACAATCAAATTTTTCGGATTCAATTTGTTTCTCTGGCATTTTGCCTTATTCATCTCTCTCTCTCTCTCTCTCTCTCTCTCTCTCTCTCTCTCTGGGTTGTTTATGATGATAATGAAGATTAAGAAGATGAGGATGAATATTGGAAAAAAAAGTTCGCAAGTATTTATAACTCGAATAAAAAGTTTCCCGAAATAGATGTTACAGTGAACCTAATGTTCAATGGTGACAATTCTGATTTCTCCATGAGAATCATGAGCACTCATATGAACTGAAATACGCATGATAATTATCATTGTTTTCATCATCTTCCATCATCATTATAATTTCATCTTCATCCTGATTTTTATCATCCAAAAATTTAAGAGAAACAAAAAAAAAGTGAAGAAAAAATTTTTCCTCATCTACTTTTCCATTATAATCCAAGTTCACTGACAGAAATATAATTAGGATTCTGTTGATTATTTATCTCATTTTCTTCATTTTAATTTAATTGTTTACTAAATCAACAATTATATAGCTCCATTAATTAACTGTGTGTCTATCGTATATTAATTAACTTAAACAAAACCAATGATCATCTTATTATTTCACCAAGAAAAAGTGATTTACTAAAGTCGTCCAGTGATTTAAATCATTTCCATTGGTAAGTTATTGGTATTAAGCTAATTACCTTCATCGTTACAATTTGTTGATTTTCAATGTACATAAATTGTTGACAATTTCATCTGAATTATGAAAGGATATCAGCAATTAGTTAATTTCTGTGTCTTGTAGTTACTGTCAAAGTGTTGGAAATGTTGATCACTCAATCAACTGAATGAATCGAGAATCAGTTTTGATCATTTTCTGTTTTAAGTTTGATGATTAGTTTGTGCGATTTAAATTGTTAATTAATTTTTTCTAATTGTTATTTACACATTTGGTTCATAGTTAAATTTAGATTTGTTCAGACAATTAAATTTATCCTCGACAATTAAACAAACAAACAATTTAAATCAGGTTACATCGACTCATTTAGTTTAGTTAAAGTTGCCAACTAACAACAACTAATCATTGTTTATGGTGATAATTAATCAATTGTGATCAATTAATAGTAACAATCAAATTAAAGTGTAAAACCATATTGATACGAAACAATATTTTATTAGTATGATTAGTTGATTAGTTGATTAGTTGATTTTTTGTTTCCTTCTAGAATCGTGATAACAATTAATCAGATGATCAAATTGGTAGATTATCATTATTATTATCAAACAATCAATTCTAATCAACTTTCTCCTCTATTTCTTCAGTTAATCATTTTACTTAATCATCAACAATAAATCATAATCATCATCGTAAAACAATCAACTTTCATTTCCAACTTGATTGTTGGTTTAATTTTCTCATTCTCATTGTGATCAACTAACAGTTAACTTGTGATTATTGTGCTCAGAGAAATCAGAATCATCCTTAATCAACACAATCAACGGAACCACAATCAGCAACATTCAATAACAACAATTTACTTAGTGATTAGTTAATCATAATCAAGAACAGCAACAAAAAAACGTAACAACCATTGAATCAGTTGTTTACCTTTGAGTGATTAATGAGTTAAGTGAATTGTGAATCTAAATTACAAATCTAATGGAAACAATTAAGGAAAATCATTTGATTAAATTGATAATTAACTAAATTAGAAACAATTTACAATTAAGTATATATATTTTTCTGTTACCAACTGATAAATTCAATAAACTGTCTTGTTAATTGTTGACAATTAAATGTCAATATGATTTACGTTAGTGAAGCTGATCCAGATGAAGAAGGTAAGAAATTAAATTGTTATTGTTAATCATTTACACCTGGAATTACACCTCAAGCCTAACAATTAACTGTCCAGTCAACAATCAACTGTTGTAATTGTCACAATTAACGATTATGAATACAATAGGAAACTATTTATTAATCAATACGATTAACTTGTTAATTTTTTTTACTACAATTTGAATATAATCATGATTGTGATGATTTATATTTCGATGACCTTGATTATTTTATTATTACAATGATTAAATTAACAGCAATTAAGTTATCAGCCTACTAGGAATATAATTTAGACGCTATCGTTTATCACAAGTAATTGTAACCATTTGGTTTATATTGGATTCTCTTTGTTAATTGTAACAATTAACTTAAATTTCGATAATCAAATGATTGTTACGAATTTTTTTTCTGTTCGATTGTTTTTTTTTTCCTATTAAGGTTATGATTTAGCCTTCGAACCTCGAAACGTTTTCGTCAAACGAAAAGATCCAAGGAATGATTACAAACTGGGTGAAGAATTAGGAAGGTAAGTTAATTGTATTCGAACAATTGAAGATGACAATTAATAAGCAATCTAATTAGCGAAAAGAGTAAAAATCGAATGGATCACTTTCGTTAGGAAGTAATTTCTATTTGTTTGTTTCTTTTACTCTCTCTGTTGGTTTTTCTTTTCGTCGCTCTAATCATTTAACACCTTAATTGTTCGTAACAATTAGAGGTAAATTCGGTATTGTGTATAGATGTGTAGAGAAGAAAACATGCCGACAATTTGCAGCGAAATTCATTAATACCAATCGTAAAGAAGATCGACTTGCCGTTGAACGCGAAGTCGACCTAATGAGACAATTACAACATCCTCGAATCCTTCAACTTTACGATGCTTTCGATGATGGAACCACTGAAATGTGCTTAATCCTTGAACTGTAAGTATCATAACAATTAATTAATTGTTCCATAGTTGTGATGGTTATTTTTAAAAAAGAAAATGTCATCGTCATTTCGAAACAACAAGAGAATAAAAAGTTTTCAAGGTCAAGGTTTCGAACTTTTTTCAGCAGAGTTTTCTTCATTTTCAAAGATGAAAAATTTCTTTTTCGAAACTTTTGAACAAAAGATAAAAGAAAAAGTTCTGATTTTTCATCGATTTTTCTTCTCTTTCTCTAATTGAAAATCTCTAATTTATGAAATTAAGAATCGAAGGTGGTGAACTTTTCGAACGTGTTATTTGCGATGATTTTGTTCTAACGGAAAAATCGTGTTCAATTTTCGTGAGGCAAATTTGCGAAGGATTGGAATATGTTCATGCGAAAAACATTCTACATTTGGACATGAAGGTGAAAGAGAAGAAGAAGAAGTTGACTGTCGCAATTTACTAATTAGAGATTTTTATCATTACCAATTGAAGCCAGAAAATATACTTTGTGTTAGTAGAACCGGGAATCGGATTAAGTTGATCGATTTTGGTCTAGCAAGGAAATACAATCCAAAAGAAAAGCTTCAAATCTTATTTGGTACACCCGAGTTCGTGGCCCCAGAAGTTGTCAACTATGAAGAGGTTGGATTTGGAACTGACCTTTGGGCAGTCGGTGTTATTTGTTACATTCTGTAAGCATTTAAACACTTTTTCTCTCTCTTATTTCATCGATGATATCGAAACTTATCAAATGTTCAATTGACTTCGTTCAGTTTATCAGGACTTTCACCGTTCATGGGAGATTCTGACCTCGAAACTATGGCAAACGTAACAAGTACCAAGTACGATTTTGACGATGAGGCTTTCGATGCAATTTCAGAGGAAGCCAAAGATTTTATCAGTAAACTTTTACTCGCTGATATGAGGTAAATTTCTTGATTTAATCAATCTCGTTAATTGTGATTCTTTGGTCTGATTAACTTTTCAACTGCTACAATTTACTTGATTTGTCCAGAAAACGTATGACAACATCCGATTGTTTAAATCACCACTGGTTAAGGGTAAGTGATCAGTTGTTATCATGTTGATTAAGTGAAGATTTTAATTGTTCTAATTGCAATTTAATCATTCTAATTGTGATTACAGTCAACTAAACGCCGATCCATGGCTGTTCTTGATAAATCAAAGCTCAAAAAGTTTGTCATTCGCAGGAGATGGCAGGTAAGTCGTTATAACCTTTTAATTGTTTACAATTAACTAACTGTCAATGATTAAGATGAGAAAAAAAATACTAATTGAAAACCTTAAACTTTGGGTGGAAAAATTAAAAGTTTTATCTACATGATTAATTTCAATTGTTAACATCCAGTTGTTAATAATGAGCAAATTAATCTTTGTTTAATTATTAATACTTAGGATAATTAATGATTTAATTCATTCAAACAATTTAGAGTGAAAATTTTGAATGAAAAGTTAAGTTTCCAATAAAATTATTGAATCAATTTCTTTATGATTAGTTTACTATTGACTTATTTATATGGTTTAATTGTTTCAATTAGTTATAGTTAATCAATCGCCTTGACCTAATTATCCGACCTCATCCCAATGTGTGTCCAACTTTAACTGTCGTTAATTATTGTGATTAATTTATGTTTATATTGTCCTTGATTATTTGTTTCCAGTCTTGGCCATTGACATTTTTATAAGTCAAACTACAAAAAGTTTTCCAGTTTCAATTATAAACAATGAGTTACAATTTACAATTAACTAAATTGATTGCGTTTGGAGGATTTAATTTAAAGATGAAGATGATGAGTGATGAAAATTAAGAGATAATTAAAAATTTAGAATCGATAATTAATCGTAATTGTCATTCTATCTCTCTCTCTCTCTGATCGCTATCGAAATGAAATCAGCTGAACAACATTTATCGCCCTTAAATGTTGTTTAATCAACTTTATCAATGAAACAATTGACAATTAATCATCATGAACCATTTTAAATTGTAACCTGATCATCAAAATTGTAATATATATTTATTTAAATCAACTTAATTATTTCCGATTATAAGATTATTATTATTATTGCCAATGTATTTTTCTGTCTCCATGTTAATTGTTGATCTATTTTTTGTTTCTTTCCTCTTATTATTATGATTATTGTGAATTTGCATGTTGATTTAGATGAAGCAAACAATGAAAAGCAATTAGTTAATTGTTGATAAATTGTAATCAAATTCATCCATGTTCAATATGTGTTTTAGTTTGTTAAAATTTTGTTTGTTTTTCTGTTTTTGTTTGCTTGCATTTACCTAATCATTTAATGTTAATTGTGTATTAATCATAATAATAGTTAATCATAATAAATATAATCTCACAAAATTGTAAAGATTTGTTTTGATTTTTTATTTTTCCTTGTGAAAATTTTCAATTTAATTTCACTTGATTGGCATTGATCCAGTTTCTTTTATGTTTTGTTAATTGTCTTTTCTCTGTATATATATTTCTGTATGTGTTTCCTCATATGTTCATGGTGATGAAGATGATGAAGAAGATGATGGTTGATGTTATTAAAGCCAAAGATAAAAATGAATAGAAACAGAACTGTTCAACCTACGATTTTTTTACTTTTTGCTTTTCTCGCTCTCGACAACCAAAGTAACTTTTTCTTATTTTCTTCTTTCGCCTCAGTAAAGTTTATCCTCTAATGTGCATTAACAAGCAGTTTAATCTACTCTGAGAGTAAAAAAAAAAAATTCTGCAAAAACAATTAATTAATTGATAGGAGGAAAAAAATTCCAACTCCAAATTTGATTGATTCGATTTAAGAAAAACAAAACTTTTCCAACTTCGAGATTTTCTAAATTCTCTCAACAGGTGGCGCCACTAAGGTAAGAAAAGAAAACAATTAAGTTAATTGTTTATCGATTTATTTTCAATAATTATTGTTCAACAATCACCAATCAATTCACTATAATAAACGATAGTATTAATTGTAGTTTGATAATGATGATGATTCCTAATGGTTAACCTTGAGCTAATTAGTTTGTGATGATTGATGATTAACTTTTCAATGGTGTAAATGATTAAATTAAAACTTGAAATTATGTTACAATTTAACTAAATTAAACAACATGATAAACTAATGAAGATTCAAATGGTAATGACATTTAAGCTAAATTGTCATCAAAGATTATGATTTAAATTATGTTAAAAAACTCATGAACCATTAAATCAAAAGTTTTGAAGGCAAGAAAAAAAAAGTTAATTGTAATTAAGTTTGTCAACAATATTGGCATAGGAATTAAGTTTAATCTCAAGTGAGCAATTAATCAGTAAAATTAAACAGATAATCAGACAATTGGTAGAAAATAATCGATTCCAATATAAACTGTTAATTGTTACAATTTAAACTCGAATCAATATTCAAATTGAAAGTAAAGTTTTCCAATAACTTTGTGAATATTTAAATGAATGAAAAGTTAATTGTTGCTGTGTTATTGAAGTAAATCAATTAAAGTGTAAACAATTTGCTGCCCTTGACCAAATCTGTTGATTGTAATCACAATTTGTCACACTTAGACACTCACAAATTAGATGTAAATCAGTTCTAATTCAGTTCTAATCACTTTCGAGTCGTAAATTTAATTTTTCTCACATGAAAAAAAAGAAACACAAATGAAAGAGAAAAAGAAAGTAACTCTTTTCTCTCTTTCTTTTCCACTCTACACTAAATTCACAGTCAAGGTTGGTTAATTGCTATGGTTTAACCCTGATAAAATTAACTTTTGATTATAATCATCACCAAGAATCATCACCATGCTCAGAATTGAGAACTCAGAATTTTTTTTCTCGAAAAAAAAAACATTCAGGAAGAGTTTATATCGAGAGTTACATTAAACTGATTCTCTATTCTTATAATGTAACAAGGTAATTAATCTGTTCTTGGTCTTAATCCAATTGTAATTGAGATTCTAATTGTAACTTGATTAACTTCAATGTGATTAAATTGCTTAATTTTCTTAATCCATTCTAATCATCCAACTTTTTAACCTTTAGCTGTGATTAAGCAAAAAGTGACAACAACAATTTAGATCATCTTTCAATTCAGACAACGAATCCTTTTGATTATTATTATTAATTATTATCGATTATGATTAAGTAAAAATTTGCTCTAATTGTAATTAAATATTACGAACCAGTAACACTTATATTGGATTACATTTAATCATTAATCAACTAATATTGTCACAACTGTTAACCCTTTTCTAATTGTTTGAAATTTGATCAACTTTTTGATTGATTACTAGTTAATTGCTGACGGAAAACTCAATTAGATCTTGATTTATGTTAATCAAAATGTTTCAATTATTATTAAATCAACTTATTCTTAATAGTTAATTGTTCACTTTTCTGTCAAGTGTAACAATTTGGTCAACACTTTGATTCCGATCTTTTCAATTGGTTAATTTTTTTCTCTCTTCTTACCTTGATTGTTAGAATTAGAGTTTAATTTGTTCACAATTTAATCGCAATTTAGTTAATTGTTGAATTTTTTTTCTCTCCAATTAAACAGAAAGCTGTAAATGCTATTCTAGCTCTTAAAAGGATGGGAGCTACATTGGCTTTTTAATTGTTAACCAAATCATTAACACAATTTATGGTGAGTTTCTAATTATCCCAATCAATTAGTCTCAATTGTGATTAACTTTCATCTACTTTATCAATTGATTTTCAGGATAATTCATCAAATTTAATTTCAGTCTTTTTTTTTGTTGTTGTAAATAATCAATAATCTGAATAATCAATTTACCTTAATTTTGTTGTCTCTTAATTTTTTGCCTTTGCTATTAAATCAAATTAATACCCACTGATTGTGAATAATTTAGTTTTTGTTACGTTTCAATTGGAAACAAAAAATAATCAACTACAATTAAAAGTTTTAACAATTTACTTTAATCTTAGTTGAATTGTAATTATCAAAGTAATTAAATTTAAATGATAAATAATGAGGATAATAAGATTGATTGAAAATCTAATCGTCAAGATGAAGTTTTGATTGTGACGATTGATCAATGAAAATGAAGATTAAATTAACAGGACAATTAAAATTAAACCAGTGGTGAATTTTGTCTTTGATCAATCAAGTTGATTTAGTTGATCAACGAGTATAAATACAATGATAATTAGTTAATTAGCCCAATGAAAGAGGGAAAAGTTTTCAAGATATTTTACAATTGGAAAGTCATTGAATATATTGAATCATTTGCTGATATTGTAAAAATAGTTGACAGAAAATGATTTACTTGATTTAGATTATCTTTTTCACTAATCATCCAAATCTGTATAATAATTAACACTGATCTAATTTAAATAGATTAATTAATCAATCAACAAAGTATCAGAATCCAGTGTACCTCTCAGAGGAAGGATAATCTTCACGCCAAAGATTATAATCAATTTCAGGAAGTTCATCACAATCAATATCGACATTTGATTTACTTGGCATCTCGAATACATTTACTTGAATATGTGAATATTTGGTCGTTTTACAGATTAATCGAGCCAATGTTGTCGTTCGTCGAATATTGTTCAATTGATCTAAGTGGATTAAGAGAAAGAAGAGAGAGAGAGAGAGAGAGAGTTGATTTATGAAATTGTCGAATGAATAATTTGTTGGTTGGTTAATCTTCTTGAAGAAAAATTCTGAGAAAGAAACTTACCAATGGTGAATGATCCAGCTTCGTTTCCATGTTCGTACCAAAATCGATCACCGAACTTGGAATGATAGAATTGCATCCCATTGATACATGCGAATGTCGGTCCCATAGCTGAGCCTTTCATGCGTTTCTCGGAAATACCACCGACAAAAAGTTCCAAGTCTTCGAGATCCCTAAAAATGATCCAGAGAAAAAAGGAAAATGAGAAAGAGTCAGAAAGATGAACGATCATGAAGATGATTACAATTTAGAACTTTAAATGTTACTTAGTCTGATTGTCTTACTTGTAAATTGATTGTAATTTGTTAACTTGATTCTTGGGTATGTATTCATATAAATCGGTCCATGATTTGATCTTTTGACCGAAACAATATTCAACGAAATGGATATAACCAGGAATACCATGATCTCGCCCTCTCATTACATTTAATCCAACTAAGTCTAATCCCCCTGAACGATTTGGATGCTGATACATCCAATCTTTAACATCGGTGACAAAGTAAGGGTCAACCTCGAATGCTGGTTCTGTTATTAATCCTCGGACAATACCCTCGGTTTGACCTAAATGGATTAGCGACATTTCAAAGAAAACATCTTTCATCCTAAAGGTAAATGTTTCGTCTTCATTTTTAACATAATAAACATCGTTAACTTGTGAATGACCAAACCGACCAGCAGCAGTTGCCCATTCGGAGATTGACCGGACATCGGTTTCGGGCTCGTATTTGGAGAAACCATTTTCCAATGGGAGTAAACTGAAGTAGGAGAGGAACTTGTGGTCAAACAGGGAGGGTAAATACTCCGAGTAGGTGATGTGGTTATATTCAGCGGTGAGAAGACGCCGAGTTTCCCAATAGACCGTTTCATCTGACCATTGAGGGTTTACTTTGGCCAGAGCAGCGGCGTGTTGGTTGTGACGACGGAGAATCAAGGTTTGAGTGGCCATTAGAGCGGGATGTTGACTGGCTCGATTGCCGTCGCCAGAGGCGAAACATTTGAACTCTGGGAATCGAGGTGGCACATTACAGACTTGTAAGGTCAGTGGATCATAAAAACCATCAGCGGAGGGTAAAATTTCACCACCTTTGGCATCGTAAACACTTTTCAATTGACCTAAAGGGTTAGAAACCAGCAATCAGAATCATAGTATTATCATTACAATTAACTAATCACGATCTCGATTAAGTTAATCGAAGAGCTAGATTTACATCTTTCGATTGAGATTTGTGTTAATTTTTTTTCTCTTTGTTATGGTTTTAACAGTTTTCAATAGTTAATTGTAACAATCAACATTCACATCTTAATTGTTGGAAACTTTTTACTTTTCTTTTTATCATTAAATCAAATTTTGTTCAATATAATCCATTTAACCTTCAGCCTGTTACAATTAACTGATTGTTCATTGATCAGTGTGTTTGAAAACTACATTTTCTCACAATTAACTATGTAATTTACTGAATTAAATTTAATCTTATAATAATAATTCATTGAAATGTTGATTAAATGTCAAGTATTTATCAAAAATTGAATCATTAATTTCCCATAACCAATTAAACAAAATTATCTCTCTATTTTTAATTGTCTATCACAATTAGATGACAATTAGTTACTATTAATACTTTGCTTTCAATGATAAAAAAACACTAATTTGATACAATTTTAATTTAACTTGTATAATCAAATTGAAACAATCAAGATAAATGGTCAATTAATTGACCAACGGTCCGATTAATGTTTACTTAGTTTCCTAACAATTAAGATCCACTCATCGACTATCAAAAAAACATGAAGGTTTAATCAGAGCGACAATCAAATTTTAAAGACAAACAATCAAACTAATTAAATTTGCTTTAAGCTTAATTGTATCCGGTTTCGCAACTATATTATAATTAATCAGCTGATCTCATGATTAATCATGAAAATGTTAAATTCTTAATCGAATCTCTTATTTTTCGTTAATTGTAAATGAATGGAAGTTGACAATTAGTTAATTCTTACCCTTTTCCAAGGTTCGTCCTTTCAATGCATCGGCATAAGTGTAACCATAGACATTAGATAAATCCAGTGAATGAGATGCTGCATTTAATTGCTCTCGAGGTCCTGAAACAATTAAGAAACAATCAGTTGAATGTTAATAAGTAAATTGGAACTGATTGGAATCAGTTAATTGTGTTTTCGCTCCAAATCAATAATAAGATAACAATTCAATTAGTAGTGGGTTAACCGAGGCTCTTGTTGGTTAATTGAACAATTATCTAACCAGATGATTAACACTTCTCAACAATTAAATCAAATTAATCAACGTCCAGACTAATAATAACTTCCTACTTGTTATCAACGTGTTTTAATCAAGACAATTTGAATATTAAATCATCAGAAAGTTTAGCAACAATTTAAATTGTTTACAATTATCAAGTGAAAACAAAATGATCATGTTGATAATTAAATGGTTTTCCAAAATTAACCAAAATTAACCCAACAATTAACTTAACCATTCAGTGAATCACAAAGCAGTTGTAATCAAAGTTAATCATTTTAACAATTAACCAATTCTCAACTGATAATCAATGTTATTGACTTGAAATTTTTTTTTCTTGCATTTGAAATTAAATTATTGAAATTTAATCCAATTTTAAGACTAACAATTAAGTTTAATTGCTTTAAGTCAAGTAGATTATGATGATCAAGGTATTAATATTAATAATAATTGATTATCGTTGATAGTTAATCAGCAAACTGACACCAAAAGCAATCAACCTGAAAACCATAATTAATTTTGATTAAAAGATGAAAAAAAAAGTTTATTGGTCAATTTAAGATGACAATTAACTGATTTGATTAACTTTATATTTCCGGTACAACAATTAACACTCATCATAATAATCAAATGATTGTTAATTTTCAAGGATTAAATATTTTATTGACCCAAATCAACATTAATTATAACTGATTATTGAAATAGATTTGCTTTTTTTAATGTTGTTAATCAAATTAAATTGTTACTCGATCACTATATCAATCATGATAATACCAACAATCAACTGATTATTACTAAATATTAATGATTTGAGACAAAAATCAGAATCGGACAGAATTAAATTTTCAAATTGACCTTAACTTTTTGTTGATTGATTAAAATGAATCAACAACAATTGAAGACAATCAACTTTCATAATTTCAACACAACTCAATAAATAAATTGTTCAACTCTAATTGTAATAGTTAACTTGGAAATCAAACAAAAAAATCCCACTAATTGTTACCAAAATCAGTAGCAAATAAAACAGACGAAATGAGTTAACAACTTTGATGGAAATTGATTAGATTTGATTAGTAAATTACTCGCAATTAACAAGGAAATAAGAAAATTATTTAACTACAGAACGAATTTGAATCAATTTCGAATGTACAAAAATAAACTAATCGTTGGTGCTAATCGTTAATTGTTACTAACCTAATTTGCATGAAGGACAAGTTGTCGATCGGACGTTTCGTTGGCAAGTTTGATTCCATCTTTTGGTGAGCGAATCGCCCTCAGGGAAGGGAAAGATTGTCTCACATTCTGGATGATTGGAGGGTTTGGGTGGACAGCAGAGCGGAGCATTACCAAGAACCAGGGGAGTTCGAACCAGATCGTGAACAACGAACTGACCCCATTGCATATTCATTTGGGACAATTTCAACTCGGTCGCTGGAACATCGGGTGTTATTACATTGGATATAAGTCGGGCATTCGGCAAGGGTTCACCGGTCACCGAAGCTCGTAACTTTTCAACTCCATCCGCATAATCGGCGGGTAAAAGTCGCCGATGGCACGAATAAGACATTCCGACCGTTGGATGGTCCAAATTGTTACAAGTACCATCATAACTGGCATAGCGACTCTTCGGGTCGCAGTTAAGGTCAGCGGCATCTTTTCGAGGGGAACAACTTGTTGGTAAATAAGTTTCTCGAAGTGATCGCGATAAACCCGATCTTAGACTAACTTTCGGCAATTTAACTGCAGTTTCCATCTTATCGAGACAATATCTAATATCAACAATTAACCAAACCAAATCAACTTATTAGTTTCCCAATCAATTTATACCTACATTAATTGTGATACTTTTCAAATATCATAACAATCACATGAAAACAATTAAAGTATCATGTAAATCTTAATACTAATATTTAAGGTCAAGGTAAATTGTTACCGTTAACTGTATTTTTTATAGGGTGGACATGATAATTAATCATTAATTAACACAAACACACACACATATATATATACAATTTGAACTTTGACAATTAGTTAATTGTGTAAAATGAAATGTGTGTGTTGGTGAAAATTATCCAATCATATTAATATGATTGAATAATTGTTAGTGAATGTAAACATTTACTTTTTGTTTAGTTGATTGTTAACATAATTTAGGGTTGAGAATACTCACTCTTTGACTAATTGATTGGTGATTAAAGTTGACAATTTACTTTCATGTGCTAATTGTGCCACGAATCGACTTGCAAATTTAGCCATATCGATTGTATCGATAATCTCTTCGTCCGCCGCTTTGTAGGCCAATAAAGTTGGAATCGCTTTACGAATCGATTGTCTAATATCTTGGAATGAAACTGATGAAGCATCACCGTATCGTCCATGGCAATGGTCAAGATAATCATTAAATTGTGGCGATCCCATGTAATCATCTTCAACTTTAGCCATATAATCAGTTGACCATCGAGGTTCAGCCGCAGCGACATCAAGAGGATCCTTATTATTAATTATTACATGATCACAATTACGATTAATATTCAGATCACTTTTCAATGATGGACACAAACGGTCAGTTGGTCAAAATCGTTTTAATCTATTCGGTTAATCTTACCTTTAATCCGATCTCTGGATTACATTTGGTTCCATTGGGTGTTAATCCGTGTTCATTACATTGTTGTTGATTAACTGTTGATAATTTGGAATCAATGTTAATTGTTTTCAATTGATGATGATCAATATTAGTTATTGTTGATAAAACAAAAGGTAAAAGTGAAACAATTAAACTAATAGTAAATTGTAAAGTCAAAATATCCAATGATTTTTTGGAAATCATTTTGTCCCCGATTGATTAATGAAACGAAATCCAATCACAATTAACACTTTATGTTCAGATGGGATTATTATTGATTAAAATGAACTAAAAATTGATTGTTAACAATTGATTATCGATGTGGTCAGCTGGTGATGATTACACTTTATGAGATCACAATCAAATGGCTACTTGATTAAACCCATTCATTGGTTTATACGCGATTATCCCAAACAGTTACAATTAACAATTAACTCTCACTCTCTCTATCTCTCCCATTCAAGTTGTTAATCAACGTGATTTAAACAAGTTGTTGATTAGTTAATTTTTTGTTGTTGTTTTAAACACAATTTACTTTGATAACTTGAAACTTTTCTGTGTCTCTCTCATCACATCAGCAACGGGTAAACATAAACGAAACGTTGTAACGATGATGATGAAACAACAACAATTTAAAAGGAAAAGGTTAAATTGTGATTATATTAGTAGTTGTGTGAGTGATTTAAATTGTTGATTAACATTAAAGTGATAAATTAACGGTAAAAAAAAGGAGGGTAAAGGTAAGATAAAGGTGGAAGGTTGGAGATGGAGATGAAGGTGGGTTGGAATAAGTGAAAACCACTAATATCAAACTCTTTTTGATTGCATGTCACTTTCTCGTCTTGATTATGATTATTGTCACTCTATCATTATGATTAAATAATAATCTAATTAATTCTCACAGATTACAATTTAATCCGGTAAATTAAAATGCTCTAATTAATTCGCGTCTTTTTTAGTTTTTTCGTATCTTCGACTGCAACTTTTTTCTCTCAGCTCTTTATTATACCCTAAGGGCTTTTCTTTGCTCATAGAAAATGAAAATATCAACAATTAGCTTTTCGACTTAATTTTTTTTTTCTTATAATATATTTGATTAGTTAACTAATTCCTCTTGATTGTCCATCTTCCGGTTCTCAAAGGGGTGATTAAGGATATGACGAAAATTGGATTAATCAACTTGATGATGTTTTAATTATCAGGTAAGTAAATTGGTTAATCTTTTTCTCATATTAATTGTCTTTCTGATCATCAAATGATTTGTTTCAATTTTTACACTTAATTGTTATGCTTAAAGTTGATTATTAGCTGATTATGATTAGTTGATTAGATTGGATTTTGCTTTTTTAACTCAAAAAAAAACACTAATCATATTGTTAACTATTAATTAGTTTCTCTAATCACTTGATTGCTTATTAACTGTAATAATTTTTACTTTCATTGATTGAGTTTAAATTGGTACAATTTAAATTCCCATCGATTAATATTACAATTAACAGAGTAAAGGGAAAGTTAATCAATGAATTAAAGTCAATCAACAATTAGACCAGGATACAAATTTTTGTTTGATTAACTTTTGATTTAGTTTTAATTGTTGCAACTTAATGGATTTTTGTTAATTGTAGCAATTTATTAATCTAATTTGTTGGTTGATTAGTAGATTAACCGTTTTTTTCAAATCAACTTATCCATAATTGTAGATCTTTAATTCAGTAATTTAATTTTCCCCATGTTGTATCAACAGAGTAATTAACAAGTTGATTATCGTGAGGGAAACATTAACACTTAGAACAATTAATCATTAATCTATAACTAATTTAGTAAATTGTTACAATTTAATGTATCACAAGGCTCATTTATCTAGATTATTATTGATCCAACCAAATGATCCTTTGTTTAAATTAACAATCAATTAGACTGTTAATTGTTACAATTACAACTCGTTGATAACTTTTCATCATAATTTATATTCATTTTGACCTCTCATTTAATTGTAAGTAAATATTATAACAATTAACTGTTGAAAAAATTGAATTTTAAATGAAAAATTTACAATCTAATGGACATTTTCATTTTCGTCCAACAATTAACTTTAATCACGATATTAATTATGATTTTTTTGTTTTCTTTTCTCATTCAGATTAAAGTGATCAACCATGATTAAGATAATGATGACCGGTAATGATTAACAATCATTGTAAATGATTAACTAACTGAAAAACGGATCAAAGTTAATTTCATGAGATCACCTTAATCACCAGCATAATCAACAATCAAATTTGAATGATTAACTAATGATAATCCATGTTAACCCTTACCTGATATTATACAACAACAATTTATTGATTGCTGACAAATTAATTTTAATCATCATCACAAACATCTTGTTGATTGACGAGTTAATTTAATTGATTTGCTCAGTTAATTGTTTACATTTGGACCCTTGTATTTAAAAGTTAATCAAAAGTCAATCAACCATCAAATGAACAATTTAATTTAACGAAAGAAAAATCAAATTTATTATTATTAACAATTTAATTGTTGCAGTTTAATTTTGTTTTGTTTGTTTATTACTTGATTACAATTAAATCAATCAAGTTAAAGGTCAATCTGAACCGATTGATTGTTAATTGGGTTTCTCTTAATGGTTACAATTAATAATTTAAACCATTTTCCTGGTTTAATTGATTTCTCAATCAAGATTAACCTTGAATTGGGTGCGATTAACATGATGATTTTAATTGTTGAATAATTTTTAATCACAATTAATAAACAAATGATTAATTAAGCCAAAGGTAAGTTCAGGTTATAAGGTTGATCAATAATTAGGATAAATTGTTGATGGAATTAATTTTTTTTTTATTCTCAACAATTTAAATATCAAATTAGACATTTAATCATCTTTTCCTCTTAAATTTTGCACAATTAACAAATTGCTAACCAACATTCAGGTTCATCTTAATCGTAACAATTAAACTTTTTTCTGTTGATATCGTTCAACTTTCCATAAAAATTAACTGATTGTATTTTATTATTAGTTTAATCACTTGGAATCACTAACAATAATCAAATCAATTGAACTTTATTTTCAACATTCAATTTTCATTATCGACAATTAATAAATTGTTACCTTTATTTTCAGGTTAATTGAACAAAATAATTGACAAAGTAAATGGTTTACATATTTGATTGTTAACCAACAATTTAATTGTAATAAAATTAATCATTATCACTTTTTTATATACACAAGGAGTTTACGCTAATTAAAAAATTTAATTTTCCATAAATTGTTGATCAATTATCAATTTAACAATTAAATTTTTCTATTAAACCGATTCGTAAATTGTTTTCAGTCAAGTATTTGATTAACTAAATCCACAATTAGAGCTTAATCTGATGGCTTATTGTAAATCATTGATTACAGATGATTAACAATTAAGCAGATTTCTAATGTTAATCAATTGGTATAAAATGAACTGAAACAAAATCAAGTGTTGACAGTAATCACAATTAGCTTGATTGTTGGGTTCTAATTACTATGAGGACTGTTACCTTCGTGATTACGTTAATTGTAATTAACTTGATAATTTGGTTAAATTTTCACTTTTGATTATTACCTTTGATTTAAATTTTCGTCAACAATTAAAAGTAAATTCCGGAAGTTTGTAAGTTAATTGTTACTCTTCACTCACAGTTAATCATCAAAAAAGATGAACTAATTGACATTAAGGTTGATTAATATTATCACAATTTTCTCACCAAATGATAAACAATTAAGTTGATTAATTGTTATCATAATAACTCCAATAACTAAATGTTAATCGTTGACGAAAATTAAGATCATGAAAATTGATAAATTGTGGCAAATTACAATATTAGACTATTAACTTTTCGTTTCATTGATTACTTAATCTTAAACTCTTCGTTTTATTGTTATAATCAATTAATTATCTTGGAAACAATAACAATCCCTTTTCAATGGTTGGAATCTGATTGATTCACTTTTCTTAACAACTTGTAACCGTTTGATAATTCAAATGTGATTGAATAACTTTTGTATTCACAATGTGATTTATTAACTAAACCCTCTAATTATTATTATAATATTGATTCAAAAACTAATCTAATTGGTATTTGGCTCCTTGAAAAGTAGCACTTTTCGTGAGGAAAATCCCAAATCAGCAAATTCTTGCTTCTCAAATTTAATTCCAACGTTAGGATAAGCTGGATCTCCAGGAAGAACTCTTTCTCGAGCCGTCCAGATCATCGGCCATCCTGATCTACTTGAATCTTCCCAAGTTCGCTGTCGATATTTAAAAAGGTAGTATAACCATAAACCTGTGACATAAGTTGCAATTCCAACGGCAGTACATCGTCTTATGATATTGGCTCTTGCAGGACCCTAAAAATGAGAGAGAGAGAGAGAAAGAAAGATATGGAAAAAATTAGAATATAATTAATGATGAAAACAATAAGAGAATTAGAATGACGAGTAGATAGAGTGATTCCATTATATCGATTGATTGTTATTCTAAAGATTTACTTACAGTTATTTTAGCTACTTGTAGTTCAAACAAATTCAAAGGAACTCTCATAGCTCTTCTAATTGGGTTATAAAATTCATGTTCCAAAGCTTTAACATGTAAAGGTTCAGCTGGATGAAGAGTTTGATCCTTAATCCATTGAGCTCTCCAGTTTCTCCACTTTTGATTAAAATCTTCGCTCAATCTTTGCCTTTCCCATTGAAATTTACTCTGAATGGACATTGGCATATTACCACCTGAATATGATTGCGGAAAATTAGGGTATTCACGAGATTTAATTCCAGCAACTTTGGCAGAAATTTTCTCAATTGATTGTTCAGGCTTGACCTCTGTTGGTTTAGACATTTTATCTCCACCATAATTTGATCCAGTCGTTGGTTTAACCATTTTCACTACGTAACACAAAACCTAAACAAAGAATAATAGAAAACCATCAATTAAACGACAATTAAATGACCAAAAAATAGTAAAAAAAAATCCAAAATTATAAATTAATTGCCACAATTTAAACAGAATTAAAATCAAAACAATTACCTTAACCAAAGACCAAGTTCACAATTCAAATCGATATCAGATCCAAGTGGTTATCCGATATTCTAAATCGAATCGCAATTATTACATTTTCCCTCAACATATGATCAGAATTTGAATTTATTGGTGAGTAATTAATTGTTTTGATTGTTTTGTTTTATTAATTAATCAATCAATCAGAGTTTTTGATTGATTTATTGGTGGTTTTTGATTGTCTTTTTACTTGAATCTTTTTCGTTGATGTGATTTGTGGCTGAATGTGATGAATTTGGCTTACAATTAGGCGAAAGGTGATCAACTGAATTGTAAGTTAATTTGTTAGTCTCTTTTGATTGTTGATTAATATTTTCTGTTTTTCATTTGTTTAGTTTAATAATTTATTGAAAAATCTTTGTTGGTACATCTTCAGTTGTTGGATTATCTTTGAGGGATTGCTTGGAAATGAATCTAATCGCTTATTTGTTGACCTCAACGCCGGTTGCAAGTATTTTGGGTTTACTTGGGTTAATTGTTGTATCAATTATAATTTACTCATTATATTTGTCTAATTATCGGAGAAAACGTGATCAATCGTTTGTAAATACCTGTGTTATTCTTGGACCTGGTGGACATTGCAAAGAAATGCTCACATTATTGGAGAGAGTAAATTTTGTTTCCAAATATAAACCGGTAACTTTTATCATTGGAATTGAAGATAAATTGTCAACCGAGAAATTAAAGAATAGCAATTTACCAATTGACAAATCAAGAATACAATTCATCCGAAGGAGTCGACATGTTGGCCAGAGTTATTTCAGTTCCATCTTCACCACACTGATTTCCCTTTTCGATTCAATCAAAATCATGTACAATTATAAATGTGATCTTCTAATTTGCAATGGACCTGGAACTTGTATTCCTCCGATGATAATTGCTTATTTAATTCATCGACCAACAATTATCTTCGTTGAGAGTTTCTGTCGAGTTAAATCACTATCATTATCTGGTAGAATCGCCATTTACTTTGCTGATCATGTTCTTGTTCAATGGGAAGAATTAACCAAAAAATATCCTAAATGTAAATACATTGGATTGTTGGTATAAATCAAACATAATCCAAGGTAATTGACAAAATTAGTATTTAATTTTTTATTCTTTTTTTTAACCAAATTAACTAATCAATTTTTGTTATACACAAAATGACAAACAAATGTTAGTATAAAAAAATTACCATTCAAAATAAATACGATTTTGAATTGACTTTGAGTCAAAAAAAACATAGTGATGATATTAAGATGAATATGATCAGAGTTGGATGAGGAGTTTGATTAACATTAATGTGATGATTTTGTTTATAAGAAAAATATTGTTACGAAGTTATAGTTAATTCAACTTAACGACGACTATGTGTATCTCTGTGAAGGAGAGGACGACAGAGTTTAAGGCCCAATTGTGTAGTTAAACACTGAGATAAATCATGAAGATTGATTTCCTGATTGTTTCTTGATGAATTGATTGTACAAAGAAAAAAATTATTTATAATATATATAAATGTGTATATACTGTGTTTGGATATTCAATTGTAAAATAAAAGTCTTTTAAATGTTGATCTGAAATGTTGGTGCGATATTTGGGCTAGTGTTTAAGGCGTGTTTCGGATTTTCCTCCATTCAGCAGCACCGATTCGAGCGAGGAAACATAAAGAAATTAAATCTGAGATCATAACCATATAGAAAACATTATTCCAACCATTTTGAGAAACGATTCCAGCTATAAATGGACCAACGGCTGCTCCAATAGAACCCGTTCCGTCAATTATAGCAGTTACTGTGGCCAATGCTTTTGAAGTGGTCACTTTGTTTCCTAAATCGGCTGCGACTGCGGTTGTAATTAAAGCGTAAGGTCCATTGACAAAAAGACCAAGAATTGCTTGGAAAATTAGATTACTCCACTTGTTAAATGTTCCTAATAATTCATAGGCAATTAACTATAATAAATTAAGCAAAGAAATAGGAAGATAAAAATAGTTATCGATTAATAAGAAACAAAGATAATCAAGTCAATTATAATAATAATTTGAGTACGTTGTGAGAATCTGTTGTTTTTGTTTACTTTTTTAAAGGGTAATGTTTGTCTAGTAAATGTTTAACTTTCAGTTGAATATGATTAAGTTTTGTTATGTTGAGAAAGTTAATCATCTAAATAATGAATTCATAGAGCCTGTTAGGTAGTGATAAGAATTATCAAAAAGCTTAAAAGATTATGCGAATCTTAAGAAAAAGAGTAGATTTTGCTCTTATTTTCCCGGAACAATAATTAGACTTTTAATTAGAGTTTTTCTAACTTTCTTAGCGATTAATTAGTCAATCTTACCCCGGGTAATGTTAAAAATAACATGAAAATACAGGTAAGCCCTGGGGCACCAGTTCTATCGGCGATTATTCCAGCTCCAATCGCACCAATAGCTCCTCCAATATCAAAGGGTGTTGATGAATACGCTGATTCCATGGCTGATATTCCAGCTTGAAGATGGAAAAGAAAACAAAATTAGCAAATTGTAAACTGTCACATTATTTGGAGATTAATTGAAACTGATTATTTCATTCAATCATCTTTTAATTTCTCTTCTCAATTACATCAACCTGGAACAATACAATGTAATTACTATCATATAACTAATATAAAGTAATCATCAAATTACTCAAGTCATTAAATAACTAATGATAATCAAACAATTAAATTATTTCACCACAGAATTACAATAAAGTTAATCTTAATTAAATGATCATATGTTAATTGTTGATGAGTATGAAATACTTACTTGAATCGTCAAGATACTTTGGTAGCCAATAGAGGAAAGTGTAACTCACCAATTTACAGAAAAATAAACTCAGAGAAAATTCAATAACACCCTGAAGGAATAAATTAAGAATAGAAAATAGTTATATAAATAGAAAATAAATACAACGGAAAGAATTAATCAACTTACGGGAATTTTAAGAGCAGAGAGGAAAGACACAGCTCTATTGTCATTAATTTCTACCTCACCAATTAAGGGAACTTCTTCATCAATCTGTGCAAAGAGAGTAAAATGATTGTAATTAGATTACTCCAATTAAAACAATAAATTATTTCGTTACAAAATCAATCATTAAGTTTCTCATACATCAGAGTTTGAAATTGGCCGCTTTGTTTTACGTCGATGAGAATTAGTTTGGTCTTGATTGCTAACAGATCCTCTTTGATTGTTGTCCTGTTAAAGTATAACAATTAAAACAGATGATGGAAAAAGACATTGATTAGTAAATTGTTTAATGTATATTTTAATTTGATGATTTGTTAGGAAAATTCTGATTGAGTTGTCAATAAAAATAATAATATGGGAAAAAAGGTAGTCAACATTTTTTTAGGTAATAATAATCAAATTGAATGATGTAGATTGTTAAATAATGTCAGATAATAATCAACGATATTCAAGATACGATTGAAAGTAAATCAAAGCGGTAGATTAATTGATTGATGGTTGAAAAGACAATTACGTTGATACAAAACGTTTAACATTTGCTATTAATCAATGACAAATTAACAATTGTTTTAATCTAATTACTGTTGACTATCAATGAATGATTATCACTCCCATGGTGTTGATTGTTTGCATAATTGAATTGAATCAATGTCTAATTACCTGTAAACATGTGTAAATAAATTTACATTAAATTTAAAACACTAATCATCAAGATAATTACCAAAAGTTTTCATCATCTAATTCTAATCATTAAGTTAATCAAAAGAGTTACATTGACTATCAGTAGATTGAAGGTAACATATTATTAATACAAGTTTTGTATTGATAATTGAAAAAACAGGTAAATAATATACTTAAGATACTCAGGAAGCTGTTACTTTTTTACCCTCAGGGCGATTACGCAAATAACCGTCATTGACCTTACGATTGAAGATGGAAAAATTAAAATTTCCTGATAATAATAATGGAATTTGACTAATAATCTAATAGAGATTTACTTAGCTATCATCATATCAAATTAAGAGATTTTCTAATGCAAAGTAGACGGAAGAGGAGTATCAACAAATTTCACAATAATCAATTTAAAATACTCGAGATTTTCCCATAGCTAAGCTCAAATCAATAAGATGTTTATTACAAAAACTTCCGAGTCTTAAGTATTAATACAAATCTAGACTTTACTTGATTGTAAGAAACTAGGATTAGTGTTGATAATTAAATCTTTTAGCCCATAGTAACTAAACGAGTTAGCTTGAAAAAAAACTAGTTTATTTTTCAATGTCAAAATTTAAACCTCCTCCTAGTTGATTTAGGGATTTGTGAGAAACTAATCAGGACAAATGATTAAGAGATTAACTCAATAATTTTTCTTGAATGTCTGTTTCATAACTAACCTCAATGGATGTTGGTCTGTTTCCACTTTCAATTTCTATGTCAGCTGTGGTTAATCCAATTTCTTCAGGATCTATAAGTGTAAATTTGATAAAGATGATAGAGCGAGAGTAGATAATAATAAGAGGGAGATGGTAAAATAAGATAATTACTTGGATGAGCAAAATTAAATCTAATATGATGATGATGATAGTGAAATTTGACACTTACATGGTACTAAGAAAAGAAAATGTAAAAAACCAACACAGGCGATAATTAAACCAGGAACAATAAAAGATAATCCCCAATTATATTCGACAAAGGCACCAGCAATCACAGCACCTAAAATGTTACCAACATTTGTATGAGAATTCCAGATACCAAAAATAAGTCCTCTAGATGATTTTGGGAACCAATGACCCATCGCTGCGACAACCGCTGGCCATCCAGTGGTTTGACAAGCACCAGCAAGTATTTGTATCAAAATAAAATAGTAGATATTATGAATGTCAAAATAATATGCCAGTCCAAGTAGGTAAGTAAATATACCACTGAAAACCATGCCCAAGGCAAGGAAATACCTAAGGTGACAACGTTCTGCAATGAAACCACTTATAAACATAAATAGAGCATATGAGATGAGAAAAGAGGAATCAAGAAAGCCGAGTAATGAATTAGCATTATCTTTGTCAAAAGGTTTCCAGCAACACCAACAAGGATCACTTATATCGGTTCCAGGATCAGGTATAAGGCCAGTACAGTTACGATGTAAAACAGTTTTAACAATACTTAAGGGTCGTCTAGAAAGATGGTAACTCATGTAGGCCAAATAAGTTAACACCAAAACCGAGGCCTTATATCTTGTTGTTTGACTTAGAGAATCACAGGAAGGCCAAATGACACGTAGAATTTTTATACCAATTGGCAGAGAATGTGGAGATGAAGGCATAATGATGAATAAAGTACAAAAAAAAATATTAACACACAAAGAGCGAAAAAAAGAAGAAGAAAAAAAAACAGAAAGAAAAGAAAACCAATAAACACAAAACAAAAAGAATAGAAAATAATCAAATTCTTTTTGGAAGAAAAAAAAATTCTATTATCACAGAGAATAAAAAATAAATATATTTAAATCAGTTTCTAATTGATGGTAACACTTTTATCATTCAGCAACTGTTTAAACTTTCGTTTCTTAATTGTTATAAAAAAAAACGAAAAAATCGTTGAATGTTTAAATTAATAAGGAAAAATAGATTGTCACAATCAACTTATAAGTGAAAATGTTAACAAAAATAAAATCAAATTCAACTGATGTTGAAATTGATGAAAAAATGATGAACCTTTAGGCCTTTGGATTTTTCGACCGTAACTCCATCTGCTGGTCACCAATTCAACTAATTTTTTTCTTTTATTTTTTTCTTCCAAATGTAAACAATTAACTCTATTTCTTATTTGTTAATCTAATCTATTAATTGTCTCTCTTTAATCAATCAATGTTTAACATTTAATCTTTTTTTCTCTTATTATTTACAAAGTGTGTGTGTCTGTTTTTATCTATTTATCTCTTTATCTTTCATCATAATGTGTGTGTCTGTTTACTTAAAGGAGGTTTAATCAACTATCGACAATAGATTTTAATATTATAAATCCAACACGGGAACAATCAATGGTCGATAAATTACTGATTACTAATCAATTCTAAGATTGTTAGAAGAAGATTATCTTTTGATATTTTAAAAAACACAAAGAAAGGAACCAGAATTCATTTCATGAGAAACAAAAGTAAACAACAATCGGTGAGTACAAATTATATTTAACAATAATTTCCAATCTCAAAATTAGAAAATAAGAAAACAATTAACCATAATCTCTATCGCTAATTTTTGCATCACCTCTCAGCTTAACAGGTATTCAAGCAGTTGAAAATCAATCAAATTCTTGCGATGGATCAAAACCAATCAATCAAAATGAAAAAAAAAATCTATAAATTCAACTTTCTCTTTGTATTTGCCGGTCAAATTCCCGCCAGTCGATGAAGTTATTTTATCCCGAGAGATGGCGCTTACTTTTACTTACACGTTTTTGTTTACAAACAAGAAAATTTCTGAATGAAAATTGAACAATTAGCCGATTGGATTGAATAGAAATCAATTTTGTCTGTCTCGCAACAATTTGAATAATTTTGTTTATTTTAATAGCAAATTCTATTCTATTGACTAAGTAAATAGTCATAAGTAGTTTCATTGGATTGGTAACAAGACCATGTTGGAAGGAAGCACAGGCAATTTCAGGTAATCTTTTAAATCTTTACATTGTTTATTAGTAAACCGGTTAAACCGGCGATCTTAGAATTAAAAGAAAAAAATATTGTTCGGAAAATTTAGCCCCATTGATAGGGAAAGAGAGAGACTGAGAGAAAGAGACAATTTAATTAAATCTCATGATGAGATTTCTCATCATCCTCCTTCTCTCTTTCTCTCTCCAGCTTCCTCCCCCTATCTTCTTCTTCTTCTCTCTTCTTTATCTCTTTATCTCTTTCTTTCTTTCTCTCTCTCTCTTTCTTTCTTCTTCTTCTTCTCTCCATTAGTCACCTTCTTTATGTTTTTGTCTGCATTTCTGTCTATTTGTCTTCATCTTCATCCATCTTTCCCTTGACTATTTTTCTCTCAAACAGACCATCAATATTTAGAAAAAGAAAACAAAGTAAATCAAATTAATCTTCTTTCAATTAATTAATCTAATTGTGTTTTCTATATCTGTTTGTCTCTCTCTCTCTCTCTTTCTCACACTATTATTTTGATAAAAATCCTCCGTTTATTAGCATCAACATGATTAACCAACAAGAGCAACCATCACAACCTCAGCAACAACAACAACAACAATTATCTAATGGTAATAATGCTATTGCTTATCATTTCAATCCTAGTGCGACTCGAAATGTTTATGATTGGTACCAAACAAACACTCATGTCATTATTAATATTATGATTAAAAATCTAAAGGAAGCTGATGTAAAAGTTAAACTTATTGACGAGACACTCGATGTGACCTGTGACCTAGCCGATGGATCTATATTTAAACTTCATTTTAACCTATTTAAACCCATCTATGTACAGGACAGTAATTGGAGTGTGACACCTTCAAAGCTTGAAATTCAACTTAAAAAAACTGATCGGAAAAGATGGCAATCACTTGAATTGATACCAGAGAAAACTAAACAACGTAATAGTCATTCAAATCCTTCTCACCATCATCACCATAATCACCATCATAATCAACAACATCACCATCATTCACAACAATCAACCCAATCAACTCCAAAACATCAACCGCAACTACAACTTCAAACACAAATTGAACCCATACCACAATTAGAGACGGAGGATAAACAATCATTACAACAACAAACCGATCAACAATCTGAACCCAAAATCAATAATCCTGATGATCCTGAGGCTCAATCTAAATCTGAACCTGAGGTTCAATCTAATCCCGAGCTTCAATCTGAGTCTACAGTTGAACCAGAATCTGAGCTTCATTCCCAGGACCAAACCCAATTACAGTCTCCACCTCAATCTCATCAACAACCACAACCTCAACAACAACAGAATCAACAAGTTGTACCACAACAGCAAATTCAACAATTCAGCTTCACCAAATCATCTCCAGAAGAATTGGAATTTTTATCTAACTCAGTTGAATTGGGTTCCACATTAATTGAGCTTGATTACGTTTTATCTGTATGAAAACAAGAGATTGGATTTATTGTGAATAAATAAGTGACAAAAGTGATTTGTTTGTGATTGGCAAAAAATTTTTGATGATAATGATAATACAAATAAATAATTGGTGAATTGAGTGAATTTAAAAATGTAAATTAATTATTTGTATCCCTACTATGGAACCATAATTTAAGATTAAATGAATATTTACATTAATTGAGATGTAAAAGAAAATCATTCTTTTTTTCTCGCTGAAGACAAAAAGGGTAAAGGGAATTAAATCAACCAGAATTATCCTTTCTTGTTTTTTTTTCTCTCTCTCTTTTGCCTGAATTTCTAATGACAGGGAAGTTAAATTTTCACAATCAATTGAAATACAATGAACTCTCTCTCTTTTTCTCTCTTGTGGTTGTCTTAATTGTGTATGTTCATTGTTGTTTAGCAAACTTTGTTACATTGAACTCCAAATGATGAGCAGAAACATTTTTTACACGATGAGCTTAATTTGTCGATTGGTTGATCAACTTTGTAAAATGTACCATAAATATTACAACCGGAAACTCTTAATACATCCCATGGACTTGGGCCCATACCTGTGGCCGGACTTGGTAGATTATTGTTTTCCTCAGGTTTAATTGATTCTTTTGAATTAGATTCTTGTTTCGATCCGGTTTGAGCTAAAACATTTGCCAAGAATGGATCAATTATATTAGGAGAAGCAACTTCAATGGTTGGTGGTTTATCACTTGTTAATGAGATTTCAGGTTTAATTGTTGTAGACATAATTGTCGGCTGTGATGATGATGATGATGATGGTAATGGCTCTAATGTTGATGTTGATGAAGGAATGTTAAATGTTGATGATGGAGGTTGAATATCCTTTTCCGTTGTAGTCTTTGTTATCCTCAGGGAATCAAATGATGTACTTGAAATCGGGAGTTCGGGTCGAGCTGTTGGGAATCTATTGTTATCAATGATCGGCTTATTCTGTGGGTTGGTCGGTCGGATTTGTGGACCTATTGATGGCCAAGAGGGTTTTTTAGGACCCATTGACGGTTGACGATTAACGTTGACAATTGGTTGTTGACCATTATTGTTGAGGAGAGTTGATTGTTTGAAAATATGAGGCAGTAAATTTGGTAAACGACTCGGTAACATTGGGTTTCCTTGGGAAATTGACTCAGCAGTGATATTTTTATTGTTTATCATATCAGCTGGTTCTGGTTTTCCGATAGGAAAATGGATTCGATTCCTGCTTCCATTGCCATTTGGTGTAGCTTGATTTGTTACTAATTGTTGCTGAGGTGGTGATTGTGGTCCAGGTCGACTATTTGATAAAGGTAAATCGGTTGGTGGAATCAATGGTAAACCAGTTGTATTCAGTTTCTCTTTGGGCTGGAGATTTGGACGTTGATTAGTTGAGAAAATGTTCATTGGTGGAGGTACAACAGTTTCTTTGTGAATTTCAGATTCAGCAGGAATTGGTAATCCACTCAATGGTATGTAACCTAATTTGGGTGGTTGAACTGGAAGCATTTGATGAGGTTGATGAGGTTGTTGAGGTTGTTGAGATGAATTAGGTTTTTGGAAAGGCTGAAAACCAGGATTCATGGCAATGGCTGGATTTATGAGGCTTGTTTCATTAGGATTAACTGAAATGGAACAAAATTAAAATTAGAAATTAGAAAGTGTAAAATTGAAAAGAAAATACTATTAATTTAAACCAAACAACATTAATTATTCTAATGGTGAGAGATTTAACCAAATGGAACCAATTAACTCACTGCAAATGTATCTTGGACAACAAAATCCGGCAACGTATTCTAATTTGCAGTCCGAGGAGGGTGGGGTGAACATCGTTGTTGGTGACATAATTCGCGTCCATAGAAACATCGACAGGTCACACAGAGATTTTTCTGAGGTATTATCGCTCCATTGGTATACTCTTGATCATTTACACGACAAACTGCTATAATTGAGAATCAGATGAGAAAAAAAAGTTTAGATAAAAATATTATTCTCGTAAAATTATATTCGTTTTCTAGATCAATTGAATAGTTTGGTGAACTTTTTATGTTTCGAATAGTTAATTTTAGCAATTTTACTTCCAATTTTATCTTGATTTGAATGGTAATTAAACTTACGTATTTGTTTATGTTGATTTGTTGGTTTTCGATTTGTTGGCAATCGAATCGAGAAACTAGAATTCGGTTTATTGTGAGAGTGCGGAAAATTAGTAGAAACGTCACCAGGACCGAAAGACATGTAATTGTGATTATTTAGATAACCTGGTCCGGGATGGAGAGATGAGATGCCGGGAGATAGTTCAGAATCTGTCTCTGAACGTGATTTTTTGTCCAAATTATCGGTTGAATTAGATGTTATATCAAAATCTTCGGCGGCTCCGGTATCGTCAGATCGATATTTGTTACCAAAATGATCCTGGGAATTGGGATCATTTTTATAAGTAGGACGATGATTATGGTTAATTACTTTCCATTCATCATGACCAAAATTGTACATCATTAAAGGTTTAATAGAATCAAAATCGGTTTGATTGGTCAAGTTGACTGATGTTACAGTACCAAAGATCACATTTGTAATAGGTTTCGAAGTTGAATTGAGATTCTTTTTGTCAATTTCTTTAACGTCACCAGTTACAACTTTAAACGAAGATGAACTCAAATTGACCAATATTGAATCGGGTTGACCAATATCATGAAGGAAAGGAGTTGCTGCCGTAATTATCTCAACATTAGAAGGGTCTAAAGCAGATCCACTATGTTTTAAATGTTCATCAGCTTCCGGTTTGACAATCATAGTACCAACAACGGGTTTGTCAGAGTTAAGAGTTTCATTTAATGTTTGAGGTTCACTTTTGTTTAAAGTTAAACTACCGATATCATCATTTGCATTGGTCAAGCCATAGAAATCAGGTGATTGATTGGAAGGTTGATTTTTTTCGGTCAAGCTAAACAATTCATCTGCGGGTTTTTTTACTTTATTGAAATCGTTAAGAACAGTTTCTTTTTTGTCCAAAGGTAGTCGAGATTCGGCTGGTAGCGAGCTTTGAATTCTTCTTTCTAATGCTTCGATGATTCCACCAAGTAAAAGTCCAACACCATCTTGTTCACCTTGTCCGTCAAGTCTAAACCAGGAATTATTTGGTTTTTTAGTTGTAGTAATCGGTGGTGATGTTGGTTTAATTGTGGTAGATGAAGTTGTTGGTGTCGGTGTTGTGGTGGAACTGGAAGTGGAAGTGGGTGCTAAAGTTGTCGTTGTTGTTGTTGTTGTTATGTTTACCGTTGAAGATGGTGATTGGGATGAAACAGAGGATGGAGTTGAGGTCGTTGATGATGAACTTGCAATGGTTGTAGCAATATTATCAATTTCATCAGATAATTCTGTTGGATTATCATCAATTTCACTTCGAGCTTCAATAACGCTGTTTACCGAACCACTTTTTCCTGATTGTGTAGTTAAATCGATACGTTCATTAGATGAGACCGGTGAGAGTGATGAAGATGAATAAGATGGGATAGAATTGTGCTTTTCAATAGCTTTGCCAAATTCAACGGGTCGGTCGATTGAATCAAAAGATTTTCGTCCATCAGCTCCAGATAAATGTAAATCTTTAACCAGATCAGCAGATTTTAATACAGCACTAACAACACTTGTTGATTCAATTAAATCAGAATCATTTTGTTCAGTTGATATATCAATATCAGAAGAAGTGGTCAACCAAGCTTGAGATGTTGAATTAACGGAAGGTAATTCAGTGGTCATCGGTTCATCAGCAATTGGAATCTCTTTTTCAAGTGAAGTATCCACCCGAGCCTTAGTACCTCCTTCTATAAAAGAAACACACAATTAAATTCAATTAATTATCACGTCTCATGAAAGAAGGAGAGAGAGAAAAAAATAAAACAATAAGATCAGAAGATCAGAAGCAAAATGATTACGCTTTGGTTTATAAAAGTGCAATCAAATTAACAACCACCAACGACCGATTAGGATGGTTTGATTAACACTTACGGCATTTATATTCAGTGGGACAACAATGACCCTCAGGGATAATTGGAGTACAACCTTCCATTACAGGGGAACAATGAATTTTCTTACACCTCTTAACACCTCCATAGGAACAATAACAATTCTGACAAGTGATATCACTTGGAACATGATCTCCTAGTTGATAAATTATTCCATTAACCCGACAAACTGTAATTCCAAGATCCCATTTGGACAGGTAGAGAAAAGAAGAAAATAATTAAACAAAAAGAACAAAATTAACATCAACAATTAAGGTGGAAAATTGAACATTTCCCATGAAAGAAAAAAAAAGAAAACATTGACAACGGAGAAAAGAAGTTAAAACAACATAAACATTTACGTCATAGAAAAAGAAGAAAAAAAAAAGAAAACATTGACAACGGAGAAAAGAAGTTAAAACAACATAAACATTTACGTCATAGAAAAAGAAGAAAAAAAAATAAAAGAGAATAGAATTTTTTCCCTCATTTTTTGTTCTCTTCTTTTCTAATTACATCTAATCTGTTTTGATGATTTTCTCTTTTTTTTTCTTTTACAAAAAATGATAAAATTCTAATGTTTCATATAATCATTTGTATTTGTTTTTCGGTGAAAATGAATCTGCTTTGTTAACCAACCTTTACGAGAGAAAGCATAATCAGATGTTGATGTACTGGACATTAATGGTCGACTTGTTGATGTAACCATTGAAAATGGTGCTCTTGGTGTAGTTGTTGTTGTTGAGGTTGTTGTTGTTGTTCGGACTGTAGTTGTTGAAGTAGTAGTGGTAGTTGAAGGTGTCATGGTCAACAATTTAATCGGTGGTGTAAATCCTCCACCTCCTGCTGATAATAACGATGGTGACAAAGTCCTTTCATCCAGAGAAATGCTTGGATTAGGTGAGTTACCTTTTTGAATAGAAACATAATTAAGATGATTAATTTTTTTCTCTCTTTCTCTTTTGATTACACTTACCACAAACGTAACTTGTTGGACAACAAGCGTATTCACTTGTGTACCTTGGTATACACCCAAGAATAGCCAAGTGACACCGAGGGCGAATGCACATTTTTTTACCTCTTATACAGTAACAATATTCACAATAAGATGATGACATGACTGCGGATCCTTCAGCGTACAGGGTTGAATTTAGGTAACAATCTGTTGGCAATTAGATGGAAAATTGAACGAGATTAACGTTAATAGTACTTTGGAAATGGTTGCGGAGATTCATCTTCATGTTGGTGTTGCTTTTTTGGTGATTTTTGCTTAACTAACGGTTCAACCCACTAATCAGAAGGTCGTTGAATCACAATATTTACATTTCTTTTGTCTGGAAATTACCATGAGTGATTATCAAGGTGGAAAAAGCTCAAGAAATTGATGGTAAAGTTATTGATAGTCGATCAAGAAAAAAAAAGGTTATGGATTTTAAATCTTAATGAGATGGGCGATCCTGATGATTGACGGTTTTCTGTTTCCTTCTTCATCTCTCCTACACCTGAATAATTACCTGTTGATGTCCATCAGCTCATTACTAACAAAAATCTTCTGATGGTCAGTTTTTTTTCTTCTTCTTCTCCTTAGAACTGAGCTTATTCAGATCATATGAAAGCCTGTCTTTATTACGCCATCGTCATGAAAGTTTCCCTGGCTCTTTGTGTATTTCATTTGATAATTTTTGTTTTTTCTCTTTTCCTTTTATTTTCAGTTGTTCTTTTCTACAATTACTAGTTTTTACACAATTTTTTTCATGCTTCTGACGGAGAGAGAGAGAGAGTATTTAACAAGCCAAATGATTGATGGTTAGCAAACTGGGAGGAGATAAAGTGGTAATGATGGAGATGAAAGGTATGATGATAATGAAGATTGGACCATTTGAAGAAAGCAAAAACCTCCATAATAATAATATCTCATCTCCACTTAACCGCAAAGTTTATTAAGGAATCACCACCACCACCATCATCATCATCATTCAACATGAACAGTTAAACATCATCTTCAAGCTTTAGATTACAAAGGTTACTTTTCATCACCAAATTGTAATTTAAGAATCACCCTGGTTAATGGTTAGTTTTTCCACCTTTCAACATACTCTCAAATCAAAGACCTCTATGTAACCACCTCTACCTGATTAGTAGGAACAATTTAATTCCGTTATCATCTTTCACTTTTCTAATGGAGATTCTTGATTCCTTCATGGAGTAATTGTTGGAAAATATTATTACATTTGAATAACTTGATATATGAACACAAAAAAAGGGAATAGACTTGAAATGTGTTGAACTTCCGTATGACCTGATTAACTTGATCAACAATCCATTTTATTACTGACCACTAACCTTACAGAGAAAACTGTTAAATTGTTAATTCTTTTCCTTATTACTAATTTTCTATTTCTCAATTACAATTTTTATAGACAATTATTTCCCGTTACATGCTCATCATCACTTCCTCTCATTTTTACAATTCAGGAATTGTTACCGATTAAGAATTTTACTCATTCTATTAACAGACTAATCAAATTTCGTTGGCAAAGTTAATTAATTACTTTTCTCAACATTTTTCTTTCCAGATTAAATTGTTTTCCTGTGCCACAAATTGAAACTGATCACTGGAGTGAAGAGCTTGGTTTATACTAATTGTTGGAATTCTTGTGGATTCAATTGATGGAATAATTGGTTAATAACTCACCTCGATTAATTCTGTTCAAAATGGTTGGAAAATTGTCAATATCGTCTTTGGAATACGAATAATGTCCAGGAGATGATGTAACCAATTTCGGTGAATCGTGAAAAACTGTCGTTGGATTAGTTTGGAAAACAGTAACTTCGTCTCTATGGGTAACAACAATACGATTATTGTTACTATTACCTTTACCAACCAATTTCTTACGGAGAGATGAATCAGAATCATTTGATTCTAGAGGAAGAACAAGAAATAATTGTGTAAATATACATGATTTACTGAGCAATTAATCTGATCAATTATTCATAATTTAAAGTTGAATATCAACAATTATCAGGTTAAAAGTAAGGATGGTCAGTTATTATACAATTTTCAATTCATTTTCTTTTTACCTGAGGTTAGGGAATTGGCAACTTCCTGTGGTGTTGAATAAGGTGTTGTTTGTGAATCATGATCACCACCATTTCCACCTCCACCCATACCAAAAGCACCAGGAAAACCGCCGAAAACACCACCAGTACCACTTGGCTCTTCTCGTTCTTCTGACCATGAGGAGCCTGTTGGATCGGTGGTCAATGGGGCAGATCGACTTGTACATCTTACTGTTGGACAACATTGACCAGGTTCCCTGATTGTCTCACAATTTTCATCGACATGAAGGTGTATCAATGATGGACACACTCTTAGGAAACAAAGGAGTACCCCACGTTTACAGGTACAATTAAGACAGGGTTCACTTGTGATAACCTGTTCTCCATGAGGATATTTTTTTCCCTGATAAGTGCAACCTAATTAACAAAACAGCAAACGATTTAATTTAATTTATATATAAGAACTAATAATTTACCAACATTTACATTGGAATTGATAAATAATATTATACAGTTCAGGTTTACACAATACAATTGGCGGAAGTTATCAAACCAAACCCAATTTTCTTCAAGTTCAACAACAATTAACAACCAATTTTATCCCATGAAAACAACAATTAACTCATGTAGCTGATTAAACAATTATCATCATGAATACTTACTCAAAGGAGGACCAGTTGAAAGTAAACGAGCATATGAAATCCTTTCTGATGTTTTGGTATCTAAAAAATGAAAGACAAACACAATGGATAATCAAGTTAATAAGTTCGTTGGATAATTGATACAAATCAAGAATTACTGTTTAATTTTCCAATTCTGGTTATGACAATTAACATTGGAAATGATTAGTTCTTAATCGTTTTCTTTTCCTTATTTAATACTTTCATTTCCTTATCCATTTTTTTGCCCAAGTCTATCTACCTGATGAACATGATTATCATGGAGATAATCTGTTAATCTGATAAACTATTGGAATTGAATGATTAGACGGAGCGTTAAATTACTAAAAATTTGTCAGTTTTTTTTTCTACAATTTATATTTGATTTTAATCTGATTTTTTTTACTCTTTTTCAGTGATACAAATTAACTTCACCAATTCACCATTAAATTGATTCCAAATGAAGAGGAAAAGTAAAGACGATGAAGATGAAGATGAAGAAAGCATGAAAAGTAATCCCTTTTTTGATGGTTTCAATGTCAATGAAGCATCATCATCATTTGATATAACAATTTATTATCACAACTTTGTTGATCGCTGTTGATTTAATTGTTACCATTAATGTTGGATTATAATTATTAACCTATCTACTATATGTACAACTATAATCAAGTAACTATTTTCTTGACACTGATTGATTTAACACCTTTGGATTTGTTATGAGATAAACGCTGTTGCTTGATGATTGGAAACAAATTTTGTTAACCTTCATTGGAGATAATGAGTTAATATTATCAAGTTGAAACAATTTACTAATCATGACCACACAACGCTGACTGTTTATTATTATACATTAGCATCTAATGTCATTAAGATTGAATAAATCAACTGGGATTTAGCTGAAGGATTAAAATTGAAAATTTTGGACACCAATTTAAAGCTAATCTAAATGCTGAAGGATTATTTTCATCAAATGCTGATTGTCACTCCAATGGTGAAATCAAAACAACAACAATTAACCCAATCTGAGTATTAAAATGGTTTTTATCACTATTGTCCAATCATTACTGACAATTTAAGCTAACATTAATTTTCAATATTATCAAGTCAAGGCCAAAAGCAATCACACCACCATCACCATCACCATAATCATAATCATCATCATCACAATTTAATGATACCAATTGTGAACAAATTTCTTACCTTAGGTAATATAATAGTAGTCCTATTAATAGTAATCTCTTGTATCTCTTGTAAAGTATAATTATTGTTGTTTACCTTGAGAAATGATTGTTATTTTTTTTCTCATTTTCTATGATATTTATGAAATAGGTCAGTTGCAAGGTGAAATAACAAAGGTCATGGACTAAATCTGCAAGAAAGGAGGTTAAATTGGACCATTTTTGAGGTCAGTCATTTGGTCCATGGTCAAGTAAGTAAAATAAAAAGGACATGGAAACAGTTCAAGGGTAACAAAGTCCATAGACCTTAACATAATATTCAATACTTGTAATTACCATTTACAATCTAAAATAATTATCTCATTTGACCTAAAATAGAAACAATTAACTAGGTTAACTAAACCATTAATACCTTTGTAACAATTTAGCCCTAAAGGTAAATCACTTTCATCTCTTTCTCTTTCTCTCTTTCTTTTTCTAGATCAACAATTGAGGTCACCATTGGTCTCAACTGTTTCCTATCAATTGATTTCCAATATTGATCAACTTTTTTTTTGCTCTTCTCACGATTTTAAATCACGGAAGCTTAATTACTCTTGATGGTGATGATTAACTTGTTAATACCTTCCTGAATTGAGATGTTTATGATAATCAAGTTCATTAACAATCAACAATGAAAAAAAAACAATGATCATACTGTTTTCATTTACCGGAAATGATTAACGGTTAATGATAATGTTGTGAATTGTAATTGTGTTGAATTTGTTAATTAACTGGTTTCTATTATTGTATTGAAACAATAATAGTAACCCAATGATTTGAATTAAATTAACTGCTACCTGGTTAACTTTGATCTTGCAACAATTAACTTGGATAATCATGTTAACTATTAATTAAAAATTTTCATGTGTAAATATTTAATTTTTGGTCAATTTTTGATTGTCCAGTTGTTTTACTTCATCTTAATTTAATAATTAACCAAATCTCACAGTTAATTAAATCCAGTTCTCAGATTATAAAGTTTCCAATGATAATTAAAACTTGTGAATTGTTGTTGGTAAAACTAAATTAACTATGGGAAAAGATACAAAGACAATTAAATTAAATTTCCGGGTTGATACAATTATTTAAATTTCCAAGCTTAAATTGTATTAATTACTTGAAAATGATCAACAATTAACAGGAATCAGTTAATATTATTCACTAATTATCTTGATTGTTTTCAACACTAATTCAGGTGATGATAATCAACAAATTGCGAATCAATAATGAACATAATTTCATTGGTAATTGTCTATTAATTGTTACAACTGATTCTAAGTAATTTTCACCAATTTCAATTTAATTAAACGGAAGCAATTAAAGTGACTGGTCAAGGGCTAGAAAGTATCAAATGACCATAATCAAGTTAAGTTGTTGATTGCGAGATTTAAATTGTCACAATTTATTGTTATTACACAGGAAGAGGTGAAGAAATGAGAGAGAGAAAAAAATATTCACAATTAACAATTTAATTCTAATCATCATAATTACTATTATCATCTAATATGAGATTATGATGATGGTCATTTCCTTATTCATCCTTGACCATGAATCTTTCTGGTCACGGTGATTATATTTACAAACTGAAACTTTAATCACAATCAGTTAATTTCTTGTGGTCATTATAAGGTATTCATCGTTGAGTGAATTTTGTATTTTCATTCTCACTCAACAAACTATCACAATTAACTTTTTTTTCTGACAATTTAACATTTTCTCAGGTCATATTTACCTTGTGAAATATTAACTAACAATTTGTAAATTGTAATCATCAACGAAACATGATTAACTTTCACTATTAACAATAAAAAGCCGGCGAAAATTAATCGCAATCATTTCAATGATTTCTCACCAACAATAATCAAATTTAACTCTAATTTAATTTAGACATTAAATCGTTACATCGTAATTAACTAAGAGATGATACTGAAAATTAGTTAATTGTGATCAAGGATTCGTTGACCGTTGCATTTAAAATGATCAGTTGGATCATGATGGTTAATCAAATTAACTTTTTTTTCCTTAATTGTTTAACTAAACTAACGATATTACTTAACTAACTGTTATTTGTTTGATTGTTCAATTCAATTTCAATTTAATTTATTATCGATTCAATTTAATATTAATAATAACTTAATAAGATTACAATTCTTGAACTGATTGGCTTAATTTTCAATGATTGTCACCTGATGATGATCACAATTAAGCTGATAAATTGTTAATAACATTTTACTTATTTACAATTCGATCTGGTGGAAAAAAAATCCTTTCATTTAATCACTTTGATTGTAGCAATCAATCAATACCTTTGATTTGGTTGCTTAATTGTTTAACATTCGTGTATGCATAAGTATGATTGATTAATTAGCGTTCGTAATCAATCAGATTGTGCAAATTTGCACAAAATGACACCCGAAGATTTTACCAATTTGATGAATTATGATGAAGGAAAATGTAAATTGTTCCTGATCATCTGTGAATCGGGTGACAATTTAAATCGTTACAATCAGTTTACCTGAACAACAGCCAATGTCAAGGTATTGGTCAATTTTTGATCGAACCCTTGAATCGTAATAATTTATTTTAATTCTCTGTTTTATCAACTTAAATTGTGAACAGTTTAACACCAACAATATGCCCGCTTTAATCAACATAGCGCCCGATTGGTTTGATCCAGTACAATCAAGTGAATGGATTAAAACCAATTGGACAATTTGTTTACCGTTCGTTGTTATTTACTTAATTACTGTCTATGGACTTCAACATTGGATGACCAATCGAAAACCTTTCAATACTAAACGTTCATTGGTCATTTGGAATTCGTTATTGGCCATTTTCTCGACCGCCGGTGCGATCCAAGCAATTTACGATTCATATATGACCTTAAAGGTCCACGGATTAGCTAAAGGTCTTTGTGACAATTCATTTCTCAGTGATAAGTATGTTCTCTTCATCGGTTGGCTGTTTATCTGGTCAAAAATCGTTGAATTCGGTGACACAATATTCATTGTACTTCGTCGGAAACCATTACAGTTTCTTCAAGTTTATCATCATGCGACAACTTGTATCTGTTGCTTTTTCTATTACTCAACGGGAACGGCCATTTGCCGATGGACACTTTGTATGAACTTTACTGTCCACTCGTTCATGTATTCATATTTTGCCATCGTTGGAATGGGCTACCGAGTACCTCGACCTTTCGCCATGATATTGACCTCTGCCCAGTTGAGCCAAATGCTAATCGGAATGGGAATCAACATTTACCATATTAACCGACTACTCGCTGGGATTCCGTGTGCCTCGTCGATCGGTTTGGCCTCGTTCTCGATTACCGTTTACTGTTCATACGCGATTCTTTTTGCTCACATGTTCATGGTTAAATATTTTTCCACCAAATCGAAAATCAAATAATTATCATGACTAATTCTCAGCTGATTAACTTTGATCCGATCAACGATCGTTGCGACGATAATTTTGATTCATTTCGCTTTTAATTCACTAAAAATTTTTCGTTGAATCTTCTTAATTCACCTTCTAAACTTGCTCTTTGTTGTATAATCAATTAATACTCAGTGATTAGTACTATTAATATTAAATTATGAAGATTCGTTGATTGTTGTTGATACAATCAAAGTCTCAGGTTGTCCTTTTTTTCATTGAAAGTTTTTATTACTTGAATATTAAATTTTGTATTGAAAATTAACTTTATCGGTGGAAACAATTATCTCTCTACTTTTAACCAGATTAACTGGATTTACTAATTACATCAAGTAAATTATAATTGTGAAAGGATTACAATTAAATTAACATTGCTGTTGAATATAAAAAAAAAGTTATTCAACTCCAAGTTTTTCTTGATGATTTAACTTGACAGACAATTTCAAGCCATTAACCTTGCAATTATATGATATTATTGAGGATGAAAATGTGATTATCATGATGATGATGATGATGATAAAAAGGATGAGGAAGATGATAACTAATCTGATGGAGCATCATTTTCCGGATAATCTGAATATTGAATGTTAATCAATTTCGGTATTAACAATCATAATTGTTAACCAAAAGTTAATGTGAAAATTGTTTCAAAACTTTTAATCAATAACCACCGATAATGATAATAATAGTAACAGTTAACTAATTGCTGTCAAATTTTTAAGGTGAGACAAAGAGTGACAAGTTAATTATTATCATGAGATTATAATGATTAACTGGATTCCCATGTTTGTTTATCTTGAAAACTGAATAATCAAGTTTTCTGGTTCCAAGTTTCATAATTGTATTTATCTGACAGCAGATTATCAGATTAACAAGTTGACAGTAATCAAAGCGAGATAACAATTAGCTTAATTACTGTGAGTTAATTTGATTCAACAGGTAAAATAGAATCACAAATCTCCAGGTAAACAATTTTTTCTCGTTTTTTCTCTTTTCTTGTGTTGATTTGATTTGATTTTTTCCCTGAAAAAAAAAGTAACACTGAACTCGGAAGCAAATGCTACAGATTAACAGGTAGTTGTAATTTAATCTTAATCTGTAATCATCTCAATCATGGTTATCATGATTATCGTCAGAATTTTCTGGTGAAAATGATTCTCTCTATCTAATGGAATCTTCTGAGATCACTTTTCTTTTTTTTCGTTATTTACTTTTCCTCATCTTCTTTCCTACTCTCTCAACCTGAAGTTCCAGTCATCATCCTCATCTTCATCCTCATCTTCATGTTTATCTTCATCATTTATTATGTTTAATTGTAATTTGTTTACAATCTACTTGAGAAACTGAATTAACTAATCACGTTAAAAGGTTAAGGTTTCCCCATCTATTGGGATGAAATTGTTTGGTAATCAATTGATTACCTATGATTATCTGTGATTATTTATGATTTGTAATCAATAATTAAACTGTTAATCGTTTTGAAAATGATATAATAATAATTTACAATTTAATTTTTCTACACCAAAAAAGTTTAACAACTTTTACTAATCATAAATATTAGTTTAATTATCAACTTGATTTATTGGAAAATGGTTTTTTCTTAACAATATTGATAACGATCAATATCAAATTGATCAAGTTAATTGTTTGAAAACGTGATCAATATACAAATCTAATGATTAAGAATATGTATCTCATGATTGAAACTGAATCAGCTGGAAAGCATCACAATTAAGACGAAAATCAAGTTGACATTTTCATGGTAAATTAATTTACCAAAAAATGATAATCAACACCAATCATTTCAATTAGAGCAACAGTTAAGAAAAAACTATTGATTCTTTGATACAACTGAATTAAATCAAGGAAAAAAAGTTAATTGTTCTGAGAATTGGCAAAAATTAAACTGTCACATTGAGAGATCAATTAAAAAAAACTTACCATTACTAATTGTTGATGGTGTTGTTGTTGTTGTTGATGATGATGATAATGATGATATTGTCGTTGTTGAATCAATCTTATTTGGTAAGATGATTACAAGTGAAAATATGACAATTAACAAATGTAATTGAATTAAATATGATCCAGTTGATTCCATCGGGGAAGATTATTATTAATTGTATAAATATATCCACTGACAATCAACAGAAACTTAAATAGTGGTGAAAATAAATCACAAATCGACTTGAAATTGTTGAACTTTACAATTAAATCACTTGACGGTTAACAATGAACGATGAAAACAACAAAGTTTAAGGTAACATGTTATCATCAAGAGAAAGACATTCTGATTCTCATCTTCTTCTTATCTTCATCATCATCACCATCTCTCTCTCTCTCTCTCTCTCTCTCTCTCTCTCTCTCACCTTTTTTTCCACAGGGTGGACTCAGGGTAAAAGAGCGAAAGTTGGCCCTGGTACCCGCCCCTTAGAATCAAGTTTATCTTCCTCTCTTTCATTCATCTTTCTCCTCTTTCTACCTTTGTCTTACTTTATCATCATCATCTTCATCTTCATCTTCATCTTTCTCACCAAAAATAAAACCAGTCTCTTTCTTTACCTTGTCTTATTTTCCTCCCTCATTGATCATCTTCACCTCTTCACCCACCCTCATCTTCCTCCTCCATCTTCTTCCCATCATCATCACCATTTCTCTCTCTTCTCTCTTCTTCCTTCTTCATCTTTTCTTCTTCCTCTGAATTTATCTTCATCATCATCAGTCATTATCATCATCACATCCTTTGTATGATTTTCTGTGTGTGTGAAAACTTCATTGAGGAAAAAAAAAGTTTTTCTCATTATGATTCAAATATGAATTTGTAGTAACCTTTTTGTCTTGGATTTTATCAAATTGTTTCCATATAATTATTTTAGTCTGTTGATTAAATTTGATGAAAGCAATTTAGATACAAACCAGGAAATTGAATTAAAAGACAAAAACAATCAATTGATTAAATTGTTTCGTTAACTAAGAAAAAAAAAGCGCGAAGAGCAACAATTTATTTAATTGTTTACTGTACACGATTAACAATCAAATTGTTATTCATAAGATTCAATTTTCATATTCATAGACTTTTACACAATTTAATCAGTTAATCATCTTGTTAATTAACAACATTAATTTATTCATAAGCATCAGTAAAGCAAAAAGGTTGATTAACTAATTCAATGATTAATCAAATGATTAATAAACATAATTAGATGATCATTTAATTATATCAACCAAAGTGAGAGAAAAAAAAACTTCAACTTTGATTAAAAAACTCACAAACAATTAACCAATTATCATAATAATAATCAACACAATTGACAATAATCAGACTTAATTGTTGAATCAACTAATCATTAATTATGAATGAATCGGAAAGGTGAAAAAATTGTGATCAGTAATTGAAAACTTGAAACTAATCAAAATGTTGGAAAAAAATTATCAACAATTAAATTCAACTTAATGATAACATGTAACTATTACTAATTGTGATAATCAGAAAACTTTGATTAATATTAGCGATTTGATTAGAGGGACAATTTAAAAATTCAATGACAATCGATAAGAAAAAAGTTCTGATATTTGAAATCTTTTTTTTCACTCAGAATTTACCTCCGAGTATTCAGAATATTTTTTCGTAATTTTTTTTTCTCAATCACTTCCCTTTACCTGTTGATCGTATTAATAGTAAATTGTTGCTCTTTGTTGGTTTTTTTTTCACTATCTGTCAATGAATGAATACAAGATTGTCACAAATAATTTAGTTTGATTTTTTTTCCAAATCATTGCCAGAATTTCAATCAACTGTTAAGCCTCATTGAAACTTTTCCCACGCCCAACATTTCATCGGTGGATAAGGATAAACATCACTAAGGGTGGACGAAGTGTGTGTGTGTGTGTGGTGGATAGTATTACCCTCTCTCCTCCTCCTATTCCTCCGTTAAGGTTGTTGATAAATCGTTGGATTTGTTTGCAAATCAACAGGTAAACACAAAAAAAGTTGATGGATAAGGTTATCCGATTGTCTAACCTTCAATCAACTAATCACTGGTTTAATCAACTTTTGGTCATCTTTTTTTCTGGACAATAGATGGACAGTAATTGTTTGTTTACCTGTTGACAAGGTCTCAAGCTTTTAAATTGGTTAATTGTATTTTATTAAAAGGTAATTACAATTTTATTATTTAGGATTTTCACTTGATTTTCATTTGATTTTCATCTTGTTAAAATTATTGTCCCAATTGTCTTGATTGTTACTGTTTATGTGATTTGAAATGTATTTTTTTTTACATTGTAAAAGTTTCATTTGATTAGTTGATTCAATTAGTTGATTGTCTGATCAATTGTCAACCCTTTTAACTGATCATCCAATTCAATATTTTTTTATTAAGGTAAAAGGTCAAGGTCGATTGATGTGGACACGATGTCCAACTTGATGCTTGGGTTGATGGTTTTTTTGTTTGTTTGATTGTTTGATTGTGGATTAAGACAAACAAGATCACTGTTGGTAATGATGCTGTTTATTGTTGATTGTTGATTATAATGATAAGTTGATTCAATTGTTTAGCTTTTCCCATAAAGGGTTTCAGGCCGCTTTTGTTTCCTGTTAACCTCACAGTAAGGTGACAATTGAGCGGTAACAAGGTAAAATGAGCCTCGATTAACGGTCTCATTTGCATAGAATCCCATTCGAGCGGTCATTGTGTCAGGGTAGGAACAGTTACCATTGGAAAAGGTTTTCCAAGAGTCGCACTTTGAGGCCACATAGGTACATGGTTTGATCGACGACATGTAATAATAAATAGCGGAATGATGGTTACAAGATACATCAACCGTGTTCTTGGCACAACTTGGTTGATCTTGTCCACCATTTGGATAAAAGTCAATATGACCTAATGGACTAGAATGACCAAGATGACCAATGAACTGATCTTCAACATCACCACCATTGGTGTGAATCGCATCAACGAAAGTAGCATCAGCCGAGCTAAGCGACAATTTAGAGCCACCAATAAGAGGACCAGCTCCATCTAACGCTATGAAAAGAAAGAAGAAGAATCAGACAAAAAAAGTAGAAAAAAAATTAACAACAATTAAGATTTCGAAATTCTTTTAATTGTTATTCTTACCGGTGATTCGTCCAGCTTTAGCTCCCAATTTATCAGCTAACCAACGACCCGCGGCTCCTGCAACGTGAGCGCCCAAACTAAATCCAATTATGTAAATTTGATCAGGTGAAATGTCTCGATAATTAGACAACAATTTGATTAATTGTCCAGTTTCTCGGCCAACAAGGGCAGTATTTACAACCGATTGTGGATAAGAATCAACTGAAGCCCCTCTACGCCAATCGACAGCGACGATTGTATCATAACGATTGAACAAAGCGTTTCGTAGTTGAACATACATCAAGGAATCTGAATCAATCACCCAACCATGAACAATCAACACGATTGGTGATGATTTCTTAATCATCGATAACGTTGATACATTTCGATAGTGAATTGATTGTTTATAACGCCACGGATCGGGCTTAACGAATACCCGGAAGGACGTTGATACTTTTTCCGGTGATTCTGGAAAATAAGTCTTATTGAACATCGTTAATCCATCAAAACAATCAACTGAATCATAGCAAACAATTTCTTCATCAGCGAGAACAATTAACACTCCTTGTAACAGTATTAAGCTAATTGTGATGAAAAAGTTTCGCAAAATTAACATGTTACAATTAAGAAAACAAAAATAACAATCTATCAAATTGATCTAACTAATTGTTGGAAAATTAAACCTCTTCATTGGATTTAGTTTTGTTGATTGAGTCAATTTTTCTTGATCATAATTATGTTAATTGTTAGTTAGCAAAAGCGGATTATGTTAATCAACATCATTCTTGATCATTTGTTGATTAGTTAATTTAATTGTATACTCGAGAGGTGGTTGGACTTTTAATCAGTCTGGTTTTAATGTGAATTCATTTGGTAAACTGATTGTCACAATTAACCAGATACATTTACAGTTATAATGAATAAATTGTTGTTGAATTGATTTGGTTTGAGTCTGAGTTTTATTTCAATCGGTTTCTGGGATTAACTGATTACATTTTGGTGGAAATTAAATTGTTCATTACTGATTGTTGATGGTTAATTGTTGATTAGCCTCGTTTGTATTTACGATTATCACTAATTGCTCCATTAAATGATGGAGCTCGATCCTCGGAGCCAACAGTTACATCACCATTATAATTTGATTCCTTTGACCAATCATTTGAACAATAACATTGATTAATTGTCACTGAGAAAATTAAAAAAGTCACGAAAATTAAACCAATTAACTTCATGTTAGCAAATTGTTGATTAACTTAAGCAAACAAATATAAGAAACAGAAACTAATCAAATTTTCACATCACCTTTTATATCAAAACTAATTGTCACAATTAACAACACACAATAACCACGAAAAAAACAGAGCAATTAATTTAATCGTTCAAACAATCAATTAAATAACCTTTTCAATGAAATCGCCCATTAATTATTATGATTAATGTTTAATTATCTTTAGATCATTTAATTAACTATTAATTCACTTGGTTGTATATATAATGTATTACTAATCAATTGTTTGCTCAAACAATTAACTAATCAATCATTTAATCAATTGAATTAAAAACAACATTATAACAGATATTTGGATGTTGTTAATTGTTTTGGGAGTTGATCTTGATTGCTAATTAATCAAATTAATTCTAGTTCCAAGTAATCATTGTGAATATTGAATTAGAATTTTTTCAAACAATTAGATACTTTCAACCTTTAGATGTTAATTGTTTACTATTTACAAATTGTCATCATTTAAATTGTATCTAAATTCAATTACTTGATTGATTAGTTGGATAAATTGTTCACCGAGAAAGTGATTAACTAATTGTATTAGTGACCAAGTAAAACTTATGGGTTGATTATCAATTCAAACAAACCAGATTAGTCTGACAATTTAAATTTTTAATAGTTGATTGTTAGTAACAATTAACCGATAAGTTTAACTATATGAAATTAATCACAATTAAAGATTTTCATTAACTTTGAATACATTAAATGTAATGTTAATTGTAGTTAATTTCTAATTTTAATCATTTATTAATAATTAGATTGAAGCTCTAAGCTGATTTGTTGATTGCCAATAATTGGCTCGATTAAAATTAAAATCAAGATCCATTTAATTGTTGATAGAGTTAATTATAATCATCCGAAAATAATGAAACAAGTTTAGTAATTAGATTCCGATAAAATCTTATTGACTTGATTAACTTAATCATAAAATAACCGATAGATTTACAATTAATAAATGAAGACAATATTGATTAAGTAATTAAGGAAATGGTTTGATTGCAAGAAGAAAAAAAGTTTATTAATTTCTCGATAATTTAGTTGTTACATTTTAATTGTTGATTAAATCACAATCATTTTTTACCACATTTCTTTCTTAAATTAACAGTTGCTCCACTTTCAGCTTGACCACTGGATTGACCATTGGATTGACCATCAGATTGAACGTCAGTTGATTCAGAATTGGCTGAGGCTTCAACTGAAACTTCATCAGCGTAACTTTGATTGCTAAGAGTTACAACAATTAAGCAAACAAAAACGGAGAGTAACAATTTATTCATTATGATTAACTTGATTTTTTTTTATATCTGAACAACAATTGATAGGAAACAGAAAACAATTTAAAACTAACAATCAAACTGAATCAATCGTCTATTTATATACAAAATGCAACCGGTTATTAATTAACTTTCTTAATGATTAATTGTTTGGATACAAGTTTTGTCAAGATTAATCAATTAATTGTTGCAATACCAAATTCAATGATTAATAATAACCAATTGATTGAAAGGGTTACCATTGTTTTTGAATTAATTTTTTTATTTATCAATTAATTGATGAGCTCATTAATTAGCCAACTAATACTATCAAATAGAAAATAATAATCATCATAATTTAATTGATTAACGAGAACAATTTAAACGACAATTACAGATGAGAATAGTAATTGTAACAAATTGAATCTCAAGGAGAACGAAAATTACGAATTTCTTTGATTAGTCACAGAAATTTAGAAAAATATTAGAGAAAAACAATCCAATGATTAGAATTAATCATCGAAAGAAGTTAATTGTCGAATTAATCAAATTCAATCATGATAATCAAATTTGATTCTCCATCGAATTCCATTCAAATGAACCGCCAATTTTTCTTCGATTGTCGCCACCTGGTGAGTAACTTTTTCTTCTGTTCTTTTTAAATTTTTTTCTATTAACTGTTAAGTTGTTGATTTCTAATTAGTTGTCATTTCTATTTCCTTTCTTTTTTGATTCTTATTTATTTCACAATTAATTATGAAGTTAATCTGGTTTAATAGTGTTAATGATTATCTAAGGGAATAGAACTTTTAGTAACCACAATGTTTGTGCCTATGTTGTTTGTTCTTTGGGCGAGAAATTATGCTTCCTATGAATGTGGATCAAAGGTAATTGCAGCTAATTCTGAAGCTGAAGGAACACCAAGGATACTCAATGAGATGATGGATGAATATCTTTTAAACCCATGTAAAGCTCAGATTTGGTTTATTGTTGAGCTTTGTGAATCTATTCAACCATTGGGATTTGAATTGGCCAATTATGAGCTTTTCTCGTCCACACCCAAAGATTTTACCGTCTATGGTAGTGAAAACTATCCAACCCGTGAATGGATTAATTTAGGATCTTTTACTGCTCAAGATGTTCGAACCATCCAAAGGTTTGAGCTACAGTCACAGTCGCGTTTTTTTAAATATATGAAAGTAGAAATGAAATCACATTATGGTGCAGAACATTATTGTCCTCTTTCGGTGATAAGATTTTTTGGTACCTCAATGGTTGAAGAATTTGATGCCATAGAAAATGGTGGCTCGGTGGAAAAGAATCTTCTTTATACTGAAGTGGATAATCTTGCCTCATATGAATCATCACAATCAACTGTTTCTCCTACGTCATCTCAAAGTCATCCTGCTAACCTTATTGGAACAGCGAGAGAAGTTGTAATGAATATGGTTCGAAAAGCTGCCATGGCTTTATCTAAATTTCCATCTCAAGAATCAGAGAATTTCAATAAAAGTGAACCTGACCCGCTTACAGAGCAAAGAACATCAGATGTTTTACAATTGTCCTTGAGTTCAATTAAATTGATGCCCTGGTTGGATAAAATTCTAAAAAATTGTAACGACTGTGGTAGTATATTCGTTGAGACAATTAGTTCATCATCTTGTAGTGATTCAACTCCCAACCAGAGACTATGTGATTACATTAAAGTTCTTCTGGGTATTAAAACCTATGCCATTCTCTGTGAAGAGGTCAACAAGGAGCCAATGCTTCGTTTCCGATGTCCACTTCAATCATATTTTATCAATAGTACTAATCCTTTATTCCTAAATGGTGTTGGTCCTGATGAGATTCAATCTTCTGATAACTTGGTTCCATCCTATCTTACCAATATTTTATCTGACCCTTTTTCATCTTCATCTCAACAATCAAGTGAAAACAATTCCCAAAGTAAAGTTGTCTTAGATCAACCATCAACCCAACAGCAACCTTTCATTGTTGAAACGGTTTCTCCATCATCTGTCATTGAAGGATCTTTACTCTCCTCAATTACCAGTGTCCCATTTGAACCTAATTACAATGAAAGTGAAAATTTGAAACCAAGTGAACTAATTACCGATTTAGTCAATAATAATAATACAACCAACACACCCTCATTTGATCATGAGACTGATAAATTAGCTGGACAATCAATTGATTCCAGTTCTTCCTCTTCTACCGATACAAATAGGGAGAAAACTTTAGAGGAGACACCAACACTTTCTTCATCATCATCATCATACCAAACTTCATCCACTTTACAACCATCAACAGCATCTCAACAACCACCACAACCGTTAAATCATCAAGCACAACCTAATCAAGCTCAACAGCAACAACAAGCATCTTCATCGCCTGGAGCTACACAACCAATTGCTCCCACAAACACCGCTAATTGGGTTCCATTGAGTGCAAGTCAAGCTAAAGAATCGGTTTTCATAAGAATGAGCAACAAAATTAAAGCATTAGAAGTTAATCTAACTTTAAGCAATCAAATATTAGAAGATCTTAGCCAAAAATATAAGAAAAATTTAGAGGAAATGCAAAGAATTATGGACGAAACAATTAACAAATTAAATGAAACAGCAACTATGGCCATCGAAAAGGATAACAAGAAACAAGAATTAATTGATGATCTAATTAATCGATTAAGTTTAGCCGAAGATCAGCTTTCTCTTTTCATAGCAGAAAAGGAGAATATGCATTGGTCATTAATTGGAATCCATATTGTATTACTTGTAGTCGAGATAATTATCATATTTAGTATTGTTTCAATTTATCTTAAAAGAGCATCAGCTCGTCTATCCAACCAATATCGTGATCATGTAAATTCATTTCAAACCAAATATCAAAATGGATTAAGGTAAATATCAATATAATTCCTCATTAATCTCTTCTCATTGATTTCTCTTTACACCCTCATCTCATTTTCTTGATTCTTTTTACACAATTATCCTTGTGATTATAATAATTAATAATAATAATTTTCTTCTCTTTTCTTTTCCTCCATTTTAGAAATCACAATTCAAGTTCTATTTCCTTAAAAAGGCCAAAACTTTCTCCCTATGTATTTAAACCATCGGCTGCCAAAAGCAAACGAATCGAAGGTAGTTTTAAACGACAATATATTTCATTTTATATTCATTCATCTAAATTGCATCACGAGATTGATCCGACAATCTTAAAACTTAAAAGTCAACAAAACAACAATCAAGCAAACAAAGAAACGGATGAAAATACACCACCACCATCACCAAATAATCTCAAGCTTAATTTTCCTAAATCTAATTGTTGTTACTGTTTAATCTCATCAAGCATAACAAACAAATGAGCTTATCATTTAAGTTTGAAAATTTTCCCCATTCTTTTCTCTCTCTCTCACTCTCTCTCTCTCTCTCTTTCTCTCTCCTGTCATCAAAAGTCAAAATAACCTTGATAAATTATCAAGGATAACATGTAATTCAATAACATCATCATCATCATCATCCTCATCGTCATCATCATCACCAGTTATGTGAATATAAATATATACTATGTAATTTGCTAAATCAAGAAGCTTCATTATTGATTTTCCATAAATCACTTCATATAAATTGTCCCACAAATTGATTAATTGATGATTATTGATTAATACATAGCAAATAATACTTAACAAATACGTCTGATTATTAATTATCGTAAGATTTAATTGTTGGCTTAATAATCTTCCCTATGTATTAAGAAAAATTTTCCAATACAATTTAAGTCATTCGGTAACGATTAATGATCGTTAATTGATCAAGATTAATTAATCATTTTTATAAAGAAAAGGATTATGATGATTAACTTTTATTCACAAAGATAATTATTATTTTCTGATTACAATCTGTTGTAGTTAATTACCAACGAAAGAAATTAATCTTGATTGTTATTAATCATGCTCTTGATACACGTGGCTAATTGTAATTAGTTGATGATTAACAAAAACTAATTGAATTACTTTTAATTGTTTTGTCAAAAATGGATGAAATTTTTTTATACAAAACAAACAATTGAAAACAATTAATGAAGGGCAATTAATAACTCCCTGATTAACTAAATTGTGGTAAAATGAACACGTCTAATTGTATATTATTACCAAACAATTAGTTAATTGTTAATGAAAATTGATTCAAATAAATTATGACAAGATTTATAATTAGGTGGTTTCATTTAATTGTAGTTTTAATTACAATTTGAGTTGATACATTGACTTGACAAATTGTTCCCGATTTGTTGATCTGACAATTTAACAAAATTGACCAAGAGAAGGAGTTAATTGTTACAATTAGATGAAGACTATTACCTTAATTTTCAATCAATCAGAATATTGATAAGTAAACAAACGTAAACAATTAAAGCCTAATTGTTGAGCATGGAAATTATTGAGTTTAAATGGTTGAAAAAACGTTTAATTGCTGTCAATAATAAATTTCACTCTCTTATTAATCAACACTAACAATTAATTGTGAGTTTCTTGTTCACACCTCAATTTAAGCCTAACACAAACTTGTTAATTGAGATGACCAATTATTTACAGTAATTAAATTGTTGTGAAAGAGATCAGTCAATAAATAATAAAAAGGGATAGAAAATGAGATTAATTAAAATTGAAAATTCGGGAACTGGATTAACACATCCAATGGTCATAATATTGATCGGATTAAAATGATTTATCAAAGTTGATTAACTGATTCCCTTGGTTGATCATTTCAAACTTTCCAAAATCCTTGAATGATCAAAGGGATGTGTCCAAGTCGTCGGTTCATCGGTTGATCAACTGAATGACCTGAATCGTGAATCGCTCGGTTAATCACATGAACTACTCCGTTTTCGGCCATGTTATCACATTTCTTTACGGTGGACATTCCATCAGCTGATGGAGCCCAGAATTTAATGTTACCATGAACATCCCGATGAGCGTTGAGTGTTGACCCATCCATGACACGGAACCTTTGGAAACTGACCAAGAATGACGCTTGTCGAATCGATGAGCAACAGATCATTTCGGGTAGAATGTGTTTCTGAAGTAAACGCTCAATTCTCGAAGGATCGGAGGTCAATTTGGCCAATTCTTTTTCGGTGAACTGTTCGTTAAGAGAAGCATCGTCGACAGCGAGAACAGTGAATGGACCTGATTCGGTGGACAATTTGTTTTCGAAAGATGAATTTCGAATCAATTCTCGGAAAATTGCAAAACCTTCCATCGATTCCAGAGCGGTGATTATACTCGATTTACTTGGAGTTGGAATTGAATCGACCATGATAACTGCTCCGTTGCAAACATCTCGATTAAAGTGAACAATTCGAGCACATTGAATGGTCGCTCGAGAGACTAGTCCGGGAATCTCTTCGAAAACATTGAGACGAAGCTTTTGTCCATTTGCAGTTTCGATAATTTTATTGTTAAAGAAACTGGACTGAGAAATAAGATTTTTAGCAACATAAGAGCCGAGGTCAGTTGAATTGTCCAGGAGATTTTGTTCATTTTCACCGAGCTTTTTAAAAGCATTGTTAATCGGTGCGATGATTGTAATATTGTTCATCGAGTCCCAATCGTTAATTGCTCCAGATTCATTGGCTAATTTCAGGAAATGGGAAGTGAATCGATTCTCGAGATTGGCCGAAACGGGCTTGGCATTATCGGGAATCAAAACCTCGCCGATTGGATAAACGATTCCATTGGTACCAAGTAATTCGCTACCTTCAACTGGAACATCGTTAACGTACAATTTATTGTCCTCATTTCGAGTTAAAACAATTCTATTATTGGCCTGAGATCGATGCCAGTACATTGTTGTTATCGCGGAGGAGCAGATCACGGATGGAATGACGTGATTATCAAGGACCACATTGTAACATGAGCCACCATTTTGAAGTCTCTCCAAAACCGATGGGTCAAGTTTACGGAAAGCGTCATCGGTTGGTGCTAATATGGTCAAAGATTTCTCGGAATCAGAAAGTTCAACGGATAAGTTAGATTGACGAACGAGACTCATGAAGATTGAGAATCGAGGGTCGTTTTCAATTAAATTGAAAAGTTTCAATGTTGGTCGAGGGATAACTCGATTAACTAAATGAATTATTGCATTTGAAGCATAATTGTTTGGCATTATGATCGGTGCACAATTAGCGGTGATTATTTTCTCCGGATAATGATAAACATTGATACGAATTGTTGATTCATTGTTAATTGCTGGTAGAATCATATTATTGTGGAAATCGCCAGTTTTATATAAACCAGCAACGATATGATGAGAGACCATATCATTTGTATCGCTTTCTTTGGGCTCAACATCCTTGGAATCATCTCCGGAAGCCGGAATTTCATTCTGAATTTGAGTATGAAAAAAAGGGAACACAATTAAAAATCATTCTAACAATTAGTGGTTAACCTTTTTCCAGGTCAACAATTAACTTGTCTCAATAAAAAAAAACGACACCAAGATTACAAGGATAAGCATGAAAAGTTCAAGAACCTTGAAAATTTTGGTGGAAACTTTAATTGTAAGGTTAATTGTTGCTGATTAAGGATTAAGATTACGAACCATTTGTTTATTTTTATCATCTTCATAATCCATCATTTCCTCATCGGTGGGACTGAAAATCGTCACATTTTCTTGATTATTTGATCGTAAAAGAGGTAAAGTTGATCGGCTGAAAAGTGATTCCATTTTCGTTGCTCCGATTTCCTTTAAAGTAGCGGTGATATTTTTCAAATTGACCTCGACACATTCACCGGCGGGTTCAACGCGACGTGATCCATGGCAGCATTGGTACTTAATTGTTGATGTTTTTGACTCTTTTGGACTTCGGATTTTGGTCACACAAGAATAAGCGGTTTCACTTTCCATACACTGAGTTGATTGCAAAGTGAACGGGATTAGACTCGTTAATCCTTCAGTCTTATTAACGGAATCATTTGAATCAGGTGAATCCTCGGCCACTTCACGTTCAATACAAACATTGGGTCTAATTAATTGATTGTGAAAAAACAAAATTAGTTAATCGTGTTAAAGATACTCAAGATGAGGTCCAAACTCCTAAGATCTCCGTTATTAGTTAATCATTGTCGAGGTCGATAAAATTTCAATCCCAAAAATCATCAGGTAACAACAACTATAATTTACTAATAATCAATGAAGTGATCAATCAAATGCGAGACAGAGTTTTAATTACTAACATTTTAAAATGATTTGATAGAAACTCATTCTAAATGAATAGATGTCAATAGTAAATTACAACAATTAACTAACTCAAAATTTGAAAACAATTGTCTATTGTTATAAATATTGACTCAAGTTAATTGTCTATATGATGGTTGATTAATTATGAACAATCAACTATTGTGATAATGATCATCATCAGTAGATACTGGACTTACCCTTTCCACCAGGGACGACGAGGGATTAAGATTGAATCAATTCCCTTCCAAATCCATGGATTAGCGATTCCTTTGAAAGGCCAATTTGGATTAAGTGGTTCTCGTGGTGAATCAAATCCACCACCGATTACAGAGGGATTTTTATCGACCACAACAACGTCCGGATTAAATGATTCACTTTCCCCACCGCCGGTGTTTCCAATTGTCTCCGAAGCCGATGAATCTGAACTCGCTAAAGATTCACCTTCCTTTTCATATGTACCTCGAATCGGACCAGGATATTGTCTCGAAGTGAGAAGTTCATCTTTAAATCTAAATCGAAACAATTAGCGAAGAGAAAATCAATCATTAAATCATCATATTGATTAATCAACGAAAAGAAAATCAAATCAATAAATATCAACCCAAACAGTATAACAATTGTTGTATCAACAGAATCACAATTGTAATCAAAATCAATGGACAACAATTAACATGTTACATGACATAAATTGTTGCTCACCAATTGTTGTAATAATTGTCATGATAAATGTCACAATTAACAATCAATTGATTCAATAGCAATATCATTATTATTATTTACATGCAAATGATAAATTGTTAGGATGAATAACAAAAATATCATTTAGATTGTCACAATTTACCTTGACAAATATTAAATAATCAATGGTAATAAATTAACAGGTACAATTGTTGATCATGAAAGAAACAATTTACAATTTCATAATGAATTAAATTGTTAAATTAAATCATCGTAATTTAATTCAAGTGAATCCAAGTGATTAAATCTTAACATTTCTGGTGAAATTTTGTTCATATGAGTTTTATGAATGAGCTTTTCAATTGTAACAATTACAATTGAAATCAAATGAATTATTTTAATTGTCAATGGGATGGGAACAATTAACTAAATATCAGAGATTTTAATCTAACCTTGTCCTTGGGAAAGAAAAAGTTTTTTACAATTAAAATTAAATTGAAAGTGATTAAGTGAATTGGGTGGAATCACCTTAATCACTGAGTTAATTAATAAATCTCTTCATGTTATACAATAGCTGAAAATGATTAACTAATTGTTAAGGGTTAGTTGAACGGTTAATTGTTGCTATAATCATCGGTTGTTGATTTAAATTGTTGGATTATATTAAATGTGATCTAATTATGTCAATCATCAAAGTTTATCAATGATAATCATTGACCCTGTCCGAAAGTTTTATCACAATCAAGAATTAAATTGTTACTATTAATACATTTTAATTACTCTATTAGTGATTTATGCTTTACTACTAATTAATATTAATCATCTTAAAGTAATTTATGTCAAGTATATTTAAACAACACAATTTAAGGTTAAATGTTCAACCTGTTAATTGTATTAAAAAGTTTTTCTGATGAAAGATGATTAAGTTAATTGGTGTTAATGCCATTTAAATTGTTTACAATTTAATCCTAATCATTTGTGAAAAAAAATACAAATTGTTACGATGATTAAAATACAATTTGTTTATTTATGGTATTAACAATTTAGTAAATTCAGTGTTGATATGGTAAATTAAGTTCAGGTTAATTGTTGACTGAATGTTAATCATGATCATGTTAATTCAATTAGATTCTGACATGGAAGTTGTTTTTTTTTTGTTTGAACTGAAAGGGTTAAAATTGATTGTGATGGTTAATCATGTTGATCATTGCTCGATAGTGATCATCGGTGATTAGTTAATTGTATGTTTGATTGATTTCCAAGTAGAACGGAAAACTAATTACAAATGAACCAGAACTTAATTTGATTTGGTAAATTTTTACTACAATCAGATTGATTGTTGGAAGAATCTATTGAACCAAACAATTTGAATAGTAACAATTAACAATCATCATCATCTATGAGTTTATAATTATCTAATTCTGGTAACAAGTTATACTGGATAAGCATAACAAAAGATGATTAGTTAATTGTTATCTTCAGTTAATCAGAGTCTCAATTAGTATCCAAAAGATTAACGGACCAATTTAACTGCGATAGTTACACTTGGAGGGATTAAAAATTAACTCTTGATGATGAAGATACTAAAATAACGAGTGCCAACTGGATTAGATCAACAATTAACATAGACATGCAATTAATATCCGTGGATATGATTAGTAAATTGTTGTTAGCAACAACAAAAAATCAACCGTTTGAATTACTAACTAAAAACCTTCAAGATTTGATAATAACTACAAATTACTGTTGGGTTGGGTTACACAATCAAGACGGAAGTTAACAACATCAATAGTTATGCTTACAATCAACTACAATTAAAATTAGTAACAATTAATGGTGAACAATTAAGATTTAGACAAACGGGTACTTGAAATGAGCAAACAAAACACTAGAAAAATTCATGATGAAATTATATTGATGAGGAAGGAAAATATTAAGTAAAATGGTTGACAAGTCACAAATGATTAAACCCTCTCACAATTAAACACAATAACAATTAAGGAATCAAAGTAATCAAGGAAAAATCTAATTCAAGTAACAACCAAAAAAAAGGGAAAAAAACGTAAACAACAAGATTCAATCACTCGTATGAACAATCAGATTGTCCAAAGAGAAACATAATTAAGAAACGATTAACGACAATTAACAAGAACGAAGTTAAATCACTGGAATTAAATTAATTGAAGAAAAAAAAATCAAACAAATTGTTCCAATTGGAATGAGAAGAGAATTGGAATTGAGAAAATTCTGGAAAAATCTCGAGAAAAAGGAACAGCTGATTAAGAGAAGAAAGAGAAAAGAAAGAAAAACTTGAAAACCTCAAGCGAAGTAAATGAGTAAATTGTAAATTTAATTGTTCTAATTGCAATTAATTAACCACTTACCTGTCCAAAATTGTTGACCATCCACCAAGAAGACTGTCCAGTGATGGTTGTTGACCATCAACAAAGACCAATGGAGTTACAGTTACAATAATCAAATAAGAAACAATTGTTGATGTTAACCAATTCATCGTTGTTGTTGTTTTCATCAAACAATTAAAACTCAATTAAAAGTAACTTTTTTCTTTTCAATTAAATTTAGCTAATTAGATTGACTGATGAGAGAAAACAATTAACAGAGAGAATTAAAAAATATATTTAAGAGAAAAAGATAAACAAATAATAAGATGATTGTTGATTCGTTGACAAGTTTACTTTTAGTCTCCTTCACTTCAACTCAGAGCTTTTTATATTCACCATCATCATCATCTTCCCCCGCCGACTCTCATCTTCACTCATCCTTTTTTCCCCTTCGAAAGGTTGTTCTTCATCATCCTCTTTCTTTCTTCTCTTTCTTATCTTCATCATCATTCTAACCCCTTGTGAACATTGTTTTCAATATGGAAAACAATAACATTGACAATCTATTGTTTTCATCTTGAATTCATCATGGAACCGGTTGATTGAATTGTCTCCGGAATTGATTATCTTTACCTGAGATTTAATCATGTTTACCTTTAGTCTCTAATTATACCGATAATATCTGAGAGATTCACCTTTAATTGTTCAACTTATTGATTAGTTAATTGTGATTCGAGTTTGCGTTGATTTTCTTTCATGGTGAATATCTGATTTTCTTGAGTTTCTTTTTTTGGTTCTCAGAAAATTCTGGTTCCTTTGAAACGATTTTTTCTGATTACCTGATCCATGGAAATATTAATCATTTAATTAGAATCATGATTAACATAATTCTCTTGATAGTTACCTGTAAATACCCTGAGGTTATCAAAAAAAAAACTATTCCAATTGCTATTGATTGTGATCAATAATCAACTGGAATTGAAAGTTACTTTATTTTGATGAAATTGTTGATCAAGCAAAATCTTAATTCTGTTCTCAATCAGTTGTAACAATTAACTAGAGACTAACCAGTAAAGTACATTAATTGTGATCCTGGTTTACTATTATACTAGAAAGTACAATAATCAGTTGATTAAACTTGCTCTCTCTCGTCTTTAATTCAGTTCAGCCAACCAATCAATTAATTGTCCATTGGAAGCAATTAAAGGTTAACTGATTAGATAATAAATAGTTTGACATGATCAATTTGTTAGAAATGTACAATTAACTTTTAATTGTCTTTTAGTGTTGTAATATATTTAGTTAATTTGGTTTCTATTTCTAGGAATTAAGTTAATTACTATTGGTTACCTTAATTGTTTCGAACCACAATTCCTGTTGATCTAATTGTTGAACGATTATTTTAATTGCTCTAGTGTTTATTTTTCATCTAAAAACTTTATGATTTAGTTGATTACCTAATGTAAATTTCCTACAATTTAAATATCATTTCAATTTAATTGTTAACTTATTTTTAAAAGTAACAATCAACAATCAACTGCGACTTTGAACAAATCATTAAATTTGTTTCTATCGACAATTAATTTAATTCTTGATTACCATCAGTTGATTTGAATCAACAACGATAACAATTAATTTCACTCTCATCCTGTGAATCCTTCAACATGAACAATTAATTTTTGATTGTGATTAAATATGTTATTGTTATATCACAACAATTAACAAGAACCAGTTACATTAACTGTTGGTAACAGGAAATTGTTAATTGTATATTAAACAACATGATTAAAACAATATCTTAATCAAATTAAGACTAATTAATCTGATTGTTTGGTGATCAAAATCAAACCAAAAATCAACTAATTGTTACTTAGGGAAAGTTATTTTTAAAAACAATTAAGATGAAGATGAGTTGTTTCATATGATGATGGAATTTAATTTTTAATTATTGTCACATTTTCATCATCAACAATTAATAAATTGTCTTTTCAAATCCAATAACAATTAATCATTGACTCTTTGTTTCATCATTATTAATTATCTTGTTCACAATTGGAGTTAATGAAAACTGAATAGAATCACAAAAGCGTAACAATTAACAAGTGAATCTAAAATAATACCAAGAGAGATATAATTAGTAAATCATCATAGACAATTAAAAATAATCTAAATTACAAGGAGACAATTAAGGATAATTTAAATGATTCGTTATTCTCAGAACTAAATTAACTTTGATTGTGTGAAAACAAAGGAAAAAAAACAGAATAACAATTATCTGATTTAGAATTGAGTCGAAAATATTGGAGAAAATTAATTTCCATCTAGAAAATTAATCCGCAATTACAATTAACTCAATTAGAGAAAATTAATTTACCCGCGAAAAAATTTTCCTCAAAAGTGAAAACATAAACATATGATTTTGGAGAAAAAAAAATCAACTCGATTTGATTTCAATTCTTTTTCAAGGTTAATCACTTTTGATTCTATTTTTAATTGTCATCATTTGAATTGTTACTAAATTAAATATTCTCACCATGATTATTAATTGTTTCGTTGATTAAATCCTCTTATAACCTTTTTCTTAGATAAAGGTTAACATGTTTAAAGATTATGATTCAAGATTCTTACCAATTGGTTAACCTGGTTAAGTGTTTCTAATTTTAATTCTTAATCATGTTCATCTTCAGGTAAGTGTATTAACTAAATTATTATATGTCTGTGACTCGAGAATCTATCATTTGATTACCTTAATTAAATGGACCATTGAAAGAGTGACCATAACAATTAACCCAATCACTTGTGAACAAATCAAGAGAGAGAAATTGAAGCTTCATTTGATTTGGAAAAAATATTCTATTCTATTATGATTAACTAATTCTATTCTCTTTTTTATTCTTCTTCTTCTTCTTTATTAACTATTCTAGGTGGTATTGGTTGGAATGATGATCAATCTTGTCTCGAATTGAATTTCATGGTAATCAGTTTGTGTGTCAACATCTAATGAACCAAATGATTTGGTCAAAGATTATTGGAGATGATCAATGTTACACTATCATCAAAGTTGATTGTTGTTAAAATTGATGATCAATTTATGTCTGGTCAATTGTGATGAGATTAAATCGGAGAGTATTTTAAATTGTTAATTTATACACTTTAATATATCAAATCAACAAGCATGATGATGGATAATCTTACCTTTCTATTGTAATCATGTTGATGGCGATTTCCATGTTCCTGATTTTGGTTTATAATTTTTTTTTCTCAATCTCATTCAACCTTCAGGAAGCTTCAATTTTAACAAATGAGATTGTTGGTAACCTGATGATTTACCTTTAATTTATATTGTAAATCAAGTCTCAATCTTTAACCAGTCAAGGGCATCGACCGGACACTAAATAGACTTGATGTTTAAGGAGCTAATCATCATCATCAACATCATCATTAACTTAACAGCACAATACAAGTTTTAACTGTTGAACAAGAAGCAGATAAAAAAAACAACCAGCAACAAATAATATCAACTAATTAAAGGTGATGGGTTTTGCTGAGGTTAAACAGTGGCCCTAAATTGGACTCCTAATTGTTGGGGTATATCAACAACCATAATGGTCCAGGTCAACGGAACCATTTCAAGATTATCAATTTTTTTCTCCATCTCAATCCAATCTAATACTACAATTAACTTCTCATGTAATTTGTTGACCGTTTCATGTACACTTTGACTTGAGTGTTTATTTCCTTTGAATGTAATCAATGGTTAACCGAGGGTTAATTGTGAGATAATCAGGAAACCATAAACAAATATCTCTGTTTACAATTAGATGAAGCGAAAAGTTTTCAAAAACTTGAAACGTACAAATAAGTGATTAGATTGTGATTGGAAATCATCGTGATCGTTGACAATCAACTTGGAGAACGAAAAGAAAAGTTCAGATTTTGATTTTAATCAATGATAGATGGATTGGATTAATCAACGATTTCTCATGTTAAATCTATAAGAATTGATGATAATCGAAATTGAATTCGAGGTTAACAATTGGATTAAGAGATTGTACCTTTAGCTGAGTTTCTTTTGATCAAGTTGACAGAAAACAAGAGATGAAGTCAAGTTGATGTTATTCTCATATTCATCCTCTGATGATCAAATTGACGTTCTTCTTAATTGTTGGTTTAATTGATTTCAACTCATGTGTCTGCAATTATGATCTTATGTGAACCATTTGATTGCCGGTAAATTGCTGTTTTCGGTGATAAATTGTTGCTCTCACTTTCCATTCTCTAAGATTGACTGATTGTGTTGCAGAAACCGAAAGCTGATCGACTCGTAGCCAGTCGAGAATAAACTTAGTCGCCGACAAAACGACTGGCTTTGGTGTCTATTTGATTGTCAACGTTAACTATCAATTAACGTTTCCAATAAAGTGAAAACCTTTGAGTGAAAATAGTTAAATCAACTTAATTATGGATCAACCAAGTTCGGAGTCAACAAGAAGTGAGAATTCAAAGTTTACTCTTGAAATTTGTATCGATAATTGGGACTCCGCTAAGGCTGCAATCGATGGTGGGGCCAATCGTCTTGAAGTATGTTCTGCATTAGGTCTTGGTGGCTTAACCCCGACGAGAGGTTTACTGATCAAAATTCGAGACTATTTATCGCAAAAGCCAAAGACTGTCCATGTAGCCGCGATGATACGCTCACGGCCTGGTGATTTCGTTTATTCTTCCGATGAAATTGATCTTATGAAGATGGAGATTGAAACGCTTCATGATGTTTGTGATTCCTTTGTATTTGGATGTCTCAAAGTCACTGCTAACGGTGAGGTGACACTCGAGGAAAACCATTGTCGTATCCTGGTCACCGCTTGTGGTTCCAAACCTGCGACATTTCACCGAGCCATTGACGTTTGTTCCAATCCAGAGGTCACTTGTGTTGACATTATTTCATTGGGCTTCAAACGTATTCTTACTTCCGGTGGAGCGGCAACAGCACTTAAAGGGATCGAAATGATTAAATCATTACAAGCTTCATATGGAGATAAAATAACGATCATGGTTGGATCGGGTGTTAATGCTTCTAATGTCCCTCAGATTTATGAGGCCACTAAAGTTTTGGACTATCATTCATCGTGTAGCTCTGAACATGTTTCATCGATCGATTCTATTTGCGGGCAAATATTTCCTTCCGGTGTATCGAAGTGGCAAATCACCGATATCGAAAAGGTAATCGCAATGAAAAAGATAATTCAAGAGATTGAAAAACAAAACTGAACCAAATGATAATCGACACGATGAACAATTAACCATAACGCACACGATGACACAATTGATTAGTCTCTCTTTAATCTCGAACTTGTATTAAGTTGAACATTAAAGAAACGAAAAGAAATTAATAAAAAACAATTGCAATTCCTCAACAATTAAGAAAACTTTCGATTAATCAACCAAATATTTCTCATGAAAGTCATTCAGTCGAATGAATTTCTGACAGAATTCTCAACCAATGTTGAGATGATTCTTAAAGATCTTAATTCTCTACTTGAGTAATTAGTTTAATCTCTAATTAATGTTCACTGAAGTCAATCAATTCCAAAAGAATCAGTTGACTTTTTTTCTTCATTCTCTTTGTTTACTTTTTTCTCTTTCATGGCGAGAGTCACATTCTCTTGATTTTCTCTTGTTAATTCTCATTTATTTCTCTCTCTCACCAAGAAGATTCATTCTCCATTCTTATCATGTTCATCTGCAAATGAACTTCTCCATGTGAAGATAAAATCAGCTCGACCATCGATCTAATTAATCTTAATCACAATTCGCTTCCAATTCCTTGAGACATCAACTGTTTACTTCTGATTCTTTGCTTTATAAGCTCAGAAAACGAGAGAAAAAAGGTAAATATGATTTAATTTAATTTCTTTCGGCTATTTGATCATTGGACTATCATTCCAATCCCAGAGACGATTACAATTTAATCGTTACTAATCATTGACCTGAATTCCGTTAAAGATTACAAGGTATTCCTATTATGAGATTTACTAAATTTCCTCATCATTGTTAACATTGTTTACTTTCATCCCGTTAAAGGTTCAAAGACTTAAATGTATCCTCGAGATTGGAAAATTTAAATTCTGTCCAAATCGATGACAATTAAGTGTGATTGATTGACTTGTAACAATCAAATGGTAAGAAAAATGAATCTCAAAGTGTTTATCTGAACATTGGCAAAGAAACACTTTCATCATGATAACCTTGTTGTTATTGTTTTCCTTTAGGTTTGTTTACATTTTTACTTTGTTTGTTATTGAATTTTGATCAGTACAATTGACCATCAATGGATCGCTCCGTGATCAATATAAATGTTGGCCTTTTAGGTCACATTGATTGTGGTAAAACAAGTTTAGCTCGTACCTTAAGTAGTAAATTGTCCACCGCTTGTTTTGATAAACACCCTCAGAGTCAAGAACGAGGGATTACTTTGGATCTTGGTTTCTCTGCTTTCTTAATCTCTCCTCCGGATCATTTGGTGACAATTTATCCTTCATTGGAACAGCTTCAGGTCACTTTAGTTGATTGTCCTGGTCACGCATCTCTGATCAAAACAATCATCTCCGGTTCACAAATAATTGATCTCATGTTATTGGTTATCGATGTTACCAAAGGATTACAAACTCAAACTGGTGAATGTCTCATCATTGGTGAGATTACCTGTCAACAGATTATTGTCATTCTCAACAAAGTTGATCTAATACCCGAAGCTAATCGTCCACAGGCCATTCTTAAGGTAAGTAAATAGATAAACAATCAATTCTTAAATGTTATCTCATTTGTTTTTCTTTCAAATCTCTTTAGATGTCTAGAAGAATCAAGAAAACATTGGAGAAGACAAAATTTTCCTCTGCACCGATAATCCCGATTTCTGCTACCAAAGGAATCGATAAAGAGAATCACCATAATTGGGGAATCGATGAACTAATCAAAACAATTCGAGGTGAAATCAGATCAATTGAAAGAGACCCTAAAGGACCATTTATGTTTGCCATTGATCATTGTTTCTCAATTAAGGGTCAGGGGACAATTATGACTGGAACTGTAATCCAAGGATCAGTAAAGGTCAATGAGGTAAAAAAGTTAATCTCTCTCTCTCTCTCTTATATTAATCCAATTAAGCTCAAACTTTTTGTTTCTACTCTTAGACTATTGAAATCGCCTCATTGAAAACCCAAAAGAAAGTGAAAAGTATTCAAATGTTCAAGGAATCGATCGACGAAGCCATTCAAGGAGATCGAATTGGAATTTGTGTCACTCAATTTGATTCGAAAAGTTTAGAAAGAGGAATCGCATCTTCCCCTGGTTACTTAGAATCATGTTACATGCTAATTGTGAACATTGAACGAATTGCTTATTTCAAGGGAACAATCGAGAGTAAATCAAAATTCCATATCACGATTTTCCATGAGACAATATTGGCACGAATCGAACTATTTTCATCGACAAACAAATCACCGGAAAACGAAAAAAGTTTCAACCTAAATTGTGAATATTTATCGTTAAACAAATTAGACGATGAAACAAATTATTCTCATGATGATGATGAACCCAATTCACCAATTGAAAACAAATCAATCTATGGATTAATCTATTTGGAAAGACCAGTGATCGCTTCAATTGGCTCTCTTGTGATCGCATCTAAATTGGACACTTCGATCAATATGAATACCTGTCGATTGGCCTTTCACGGGAAAGTTTTACATAAAGTTACCGATAAAGATTTCGCTGATTCCTGGTTACCTTCATTGAAAATTTACAAAATTAAATCTAAAAAAGGGACAATTGAAAGGATTCCCAATGAATATGAAGCAATTGCAAATATCTTCAAAAAGGAAACAAATTTAAATATTTTCCAAGGATTTAAAGTAACTCTTTCCACCGGTGAAATTGGTTATATTGATGGTTCCTTTGGATTAAAGGGTAAAGTAAAGATTAGGATACCGGAAGGGATTAAGGATAAATCGTTGATCAGTAAAATTGGTAAAAAGGGTAAAAATAATACCGATAATCAGATAATTGTTACCATTACATTTAAACGTTACATTCATGATAAGGAGAAAAAGGTTGTACAATTATAATGACAATTTGATTTTGCATCTTTGTTTGCTTGTTCCAATACATTTTTATATAAATAACGTAATTATTTCAACAATCTAACTGTAATTGTGACAATTAAATTGTTAAAATAATATTTTTATTATTTTGTTTTGGCAAGAATAAAGTTTTACATGAAAAATAAATATAAGATTAACTCTATGATATTCTTGATGTAAACAGAGTTACTTTGATTGTGAAAACATCATATCGTTTACAGGGTGATTTGTTGATAATTATCATTATAAGGGTGTGGTAAAGGTTAGATAAAATATATATTTATATGTATATATATTGTTAATTTTACCGTTAGTGTGATTTGTTTGTTTTGTAAGAACGGTAATCAAAATCAACAGGTAATTAATTAGTTGAGCAACTTTTTGTCTATTGTTTTGTGTTTGTGTTTGTTAAGAAAATAGAATCCAATTGATTAAGATGCATAGAACTGTCAATTGTTACATCATTTGAAGACCCATGGAACTGTGAATTTTAAGTGAATTTTCCAGTTGAACTTTTTGAGCGGCTAAAGCAGCTAATGTAGAGCGAAGTTCATTGTTGACCGTTTCAAGTTCTTGCGTCTCCCGAGCTAATTTATTGGTGTATTCGATTCGTCGTTGTCGACATCGAGCGGCAGCTTGTTTGTTTCTTTCTCTTCGTTGTTTTTTTCTAGATTCATCATCTACTACCATCTGTAGATGATGTAAAAGAAAATGGAGAACGAGAGAGAGAGAGAGAGAGAAAATTTGACTCGATTAGTAAGGTGAGAAAGCAGAAAGAAAATGGAGATGATTGTCAAGTCTCCAAAATAATACAATTAAACTCTAATGAGAAATTATGATGACTCAATTGTATCGTTTGAGTTGTTAACTTACTTGAGAAGATGTTTGATCGGATCCATTGGGAACATTGTTGTTGTTCTCACGGTTGGTGTTGATATTTTGAGGTGATGCATCTCGAGAAATATCACCTTCGCTGTCAAATTGGGAGCAAGAAGAATCCGAAGCAATTGATGATGAATTAATGGCCGGTGGAATGAAACCAGCCTGATATTGATGGGTAAACATATGATCCATTTGACTTTGAATGGGAAAACAATCTTCAAGCAATTTTAAAGTAGTCGGTGTTAAGGTTGGAGTAGTGATTGTGGCAACAGTTGAATTGGTAAGAGGAAGTGATAGATTTTGTCGAGAATCAAATTGACGGGACATTTTTGATCGTAGAAACAAAGTGAAACGTTCAACGTACCAAATTGAACAAAGAAAGAGAAGAAGAGAAGAAAAAAGTGACCATAGAACAAAAGGACAAATAAAAACAAACGGAGACCGAAACAAATTCACGAAAATCAAAGAAAAGAAAAAAAATCTCCCCCACTTGTAGCTTTATAAGGCGAATTTTTTTTTTGGCGATTCACTTTAGAAAATGTTTCACTTTAGATTCTATTGGTGATGATGATGTAATCACTGTTGACATAAAGAAGAAAAGGCATAAAAAATCATCTTCAATATTCTGTCATCAATGAAGGTAGAAAAGAAATTACCATTAATTAGATTGTTTAAAACTGCGATGGCGAGAAAACATAAGTAAGAGTAAAGGAGAAAAAAAATTCAACACAAATGGCAAAGAAAAAGAAAATGAATTAAGTTAACTAGATTATAAATTCCATGAGAAAATGAAAGACAGTTAAGTTTTCTATATTTTCTATTAAAACACAATTAAAAAAGAGAGTAATTAAAAAAAAGAAGACAATTAAGGCTTAATCATCAACCTTTTGATCACAATTAAAGGCTTTTCCTTTCACTTAAATGTTTCTCTTATTACATCAGCCGATGAGTCATAGAAAAGAAAAGCGCCAAATTCAAACGTGGAAATTAAAATTGTGAAAATAAGTTAATCGAAACAAATTGCGAACAATTTGTTAATTTAATTGACTGATTTGTTAAAGTAAATTTATTTGTTCAATAGTTAACCTATTTTTCTTTAAATGAGTAAAAAAAATTCAATTCTTTTAAAGCCCCAATGGTTTTTCAATACAGATAAATGTTACAAGAGAAAAAAAGTTCATTCAAAGATAATTAAGTTTTCTAATTAGTTGATTGTATAAATAGTAATGATTAAAAGGAACATCAAATTAAGAGAAAAAAATGGAAACAGTTAAATTGTTTGTAACCTTTTTCGCTAACAATTAGAACAATAATTTGACAGGTTAACAATGATCGTTAATTTGTAACATTGGAAATCGAAACAAAATTTTGGAATGAGAATCAATTGTCAATAGTTAATTAAATCTGTCAAATACAATTAGAAATTAGTAATTACAATGTGTAATTAAGATGATTGTATGTGAACCTTGTTGTTTTTATCGTTAACTGTGAGAGTAGGTGGATGAGGAAATTGGATCAAAATTTCATGTTCTTCAAGGAGAAATTGATTAAAGTAGATGAAGATGATTATAATGATGATGATGATGATGATGATGATCTTGATGAGAGAGAATTGAGTTGATTAATTGATTGTGTTAACTTCTTAAACTCCTTTTGTTTGGCTTGTTAACTAGAAGAGCAAGTGATGATAGAGATCCTTGAGCTTTACTCAATTCCCACAATTTGATTGGTATCTTTGGATAATCAATTCTTTTCTCAATCAATTCACAACTATTAGGATATTCTGATCGATAAAGAAGTGTCCCATTGATAAAGGCCACATTAGCCGCTCCGTTGTCAGGTACCGTTAAAGTTGCATATCTAAAAGTTGCTTCTTGCTCCATTCTCTTTGGGTTTATAATTGGAAACAATCAAATCAATAAAACAGGTTAAATGGTTCATCATGATAATTATTATTAGAATTATATTGTTGTAATATAATAAAAAAAGAAGAGGGAAAGATGAGAGAGTGGGAAAAGGTAGAGAGAGAGAGAGAGGGAGGGAGGGAGATGGAAAATGTTAAATTAAGTTGATCAACCCACTCACCTTGAGGATCTCTCGAGCTTCTGGAGTTGAACTGATACAAATTATATCGGGTCCTGCCATCGACATACACGATTTAAGGTGAATCAGTTTACCTGGAACTCTAATAGGTGTAACTGGATATTCGGGAAACGCTGCTGCCAAGGCTCGAGCACCCGATTCATTGGTTCGACCGGAAATACCGACAAAAAATTCTTTACCAGTGAATAGAATGTCACCTCCATCGAGAGTCGCTTTTGGATCGGCTATTTGGATGATCGGTAATTCAAGCTCTTTAACAATTATCGCTCTAATTGTGTCAGTCTAATTGAATGAGATGAAGAGAAAAAAAAACCAATCAGATACGCAGAAATTAACACAATTAGAGATGATCAAATTTACATAAACACCAAAGAGACAAATATTATCAATAGAGATTGAAATCTAATCGGTGTAAGAGGATAAACACCAAGGTATATCCTCTTCAGAATTGTGAGTAATAATTAGAGATAAGATAATTCTAATCGATATAGAATAACAATCAAGGGTAACTACAATTATTAATTGATGAAAATTGAGACAATTAAAGTGTTTGTTGAGTGAAAAATGAGAAAATTTTAGAAAAGGAAGGAAAAAGTGACAACAAGAAAACGGATATTGTTTGGAAAAGAAAAGAGATTTTTGAATTTAGAATTTGAAAATTTACTTCTCTGACTCTGGCCGGATGACCTGGTCTACATATCAGGGCGATTCCATTGTAAACAGCGGCTGTATCTTCAACATAAGGTGAATCGGGGAGAGTTTCATCAGCTGGAAGTTCAATTACATCGACACCAAGGTTACGAAGGATCTTGGTGAGGTCAACATGTTCCCGACGAGCTTCAGAAAGATTGACCGTTTCAGAGAGACCAATGGCCGAGGAAAATGAATCAGGAACTCGTGAAACAATTGCGTAATTATAACGATTAAATGGTTTCGCCATAATGTCAACAGAAAGATGATTAGTTGATCAACAACAATTGAATCGTGAACAAAACAAAACTGAACAAAACAAAAACAAAGGAAAACAAAAAACAAAATGAATTCACTGGAAAACAATACAACCGATTTGTGAACCTTTCCAATTGAATTGAAGTAACCAAGTAACAGAAAATTTTATGATAAAATGATAACAACCAACTGATTCTCAGGTAACAGTAACATCATCTATCAGTTGAACGGTCAACTAACTACAGGGTAGTTCACCAAGTTTCGAACAACTTTTTCTTGAATAATCTTTGTATCTTTGGGAGTTTGGGCTCGATTACTCGGTTATTACATTTTAATATCAAGGTCAATTCGGTCATTCGGTTGTGTACCAAAGTTTCAAGGTCATTTCATGGTCAGCATCCGATTTTCAGCCAATGATGAAGCAGAGAATGACCTTGATATTAAACATGAGAACTGAATATCGGCCGAACTTGTATAACTCGAGTATTGGGTCTGAATACCCAAAGAAAAACGGATTTTGAGGAAAAATTTGTTGGAAACTTGGTGAATACCCTGTAGAAGAATCAATAAATTGTTACAATTTAGATTCTTGATTGTAGTCGATTTTTTTGATAATTTAATTATTCCGATAATCCAGTTTTTGTTATCCTTCAATTTGTTTACATCCAAATGATGAGTTGATTACTATTTACAATTTTAATCAGTTGATCAATTTTGTGTTTGAAGCAAATCATAAATTCAAATGAACAATTTAATGATGATGATGATGATTATTATTATTATTGTTATCATGATTTACTAATCATGTAATTCAAATCAATCTGGATTGTTATGGTTTCTTTTAAGCTTGGATGATTAAATTTGATACAATTTAAGGTTATTAACTTTTAAATTAAATCTTTTTCTTGTTGATCAATAATAATCAATAATCATGATAATTTGAATATAAAGATATTACTATTTGATTAAGAATCAATTTTTCGTGATCAAAATTGTTGAAATTAACTATGAAAAGCGAAACAATTTAATTGATGTTATGGAAAATATTATCATAAAGAAATAATCAAATAATCGCAATCATTTGCCATCAAATTAAATTAAATTTATTTTGAACAATTAGCAATCATGAAAGGTCCTTTTCTTTCATTAAGAATACACCTAATCCATAATGGAAATGATTCCTTACCATTGAATGGTATTGAAAGTGATTCGATTGTTACAATATAACTATGACCTCTGCCCTCGCCTTCATCGATTAAAATTTCATAATTTAACTTGTTGATTAGTTGATTGTCAGTAAATTCAATATTCCATGGTTTCTTCCAGGTTAATTTAAATTCAAATGGTTCACCATAAACACAATCAATGTTAATCACTGGACCAGGATAGAAAGGTGATCGTCTTGATTGACTTTGCTCGGAATGGCTTCTCAATTTTGGAACAATTAACTGATTAAATTGATTAATATCAACAATTGTATCTTGATAAATACGATATAACCAATTTGGATCATAACAGCAAAGATGTGGTTCCAATTGTTCATTTAAATCTTTGATTGAACTTTTAATTTCATCTGGAAGACTATTGATTCCACCTAATGAACTTGAATATTCAGGATGCTGAATGGAATTGGTTAAATTATGATTAACCCATGAAATATAATTAAGATCACGAATTGAAGATAATGTTTTATATGGAGTATAATGATCAGGATTAATTCCAAAGGGAAATATTTCCACAATAGATGAACCTGGAGGTAGAAAAAGGGATAAAGCTAATGAAGAACCATGAATTCCAATCAGTAGATTAGAACAATAAATTCTCTCAATTAATTGGACTAGATTATCATTAACGTTCATCTTAATTACTGGTTTAATGTTTTTACTCAATGATCTTATCAATTCGTCTTCGTTTAGAATCAATCGATTGAAAGTTCGAGAAAGGAAAACACCATTTCCACCCTTTGGACATTCGTTTGGTTTCAATATTGATCGTAATTGATTAGTTAATTTTCCAATGTTCACTTTTTGATTTTCCGTTATTGGTACAGCTCCTTGTGGCACTTTGAATCCATATTGGTACCAAATTGTTTCCCGATCAAGGCCAATATGAGCTTCCTGGAAGCAAATCAGTTTATTAGGATCCATTGATTTGGTGAAAAGTTGATTGAGATTAAATAGTTTCTTGTACAGATCATAATTTCCGGGTATTTCTTTAGGATGAGGCCAATCATCGTGAAGGAAAAAATTAACTAATTGTTTTGACCATCCAAGTCCATTTAAAGTCCATTTGACCGGTAAAATATCATCATGAAGTAAATGCATCAGATTATCGGGTTTAAATCGTCCAAAGATTAATGTTGAATCTTTAACAAATCGAACCTCCAATTTAGATGAAAATTGGTGAAAATATTGTGAATCAATGACAACATAATTTAAATAGAATTGATTATGTCCAGTAAGAGATGAAATTGATATTAAACCAGGACCAAAGGGATTTTCAGGTAGGCCACTTTCTATAGAATCTGGTCCATTTAGAAATATCCATGAACGATAATTACTTTGGTAACATAAATTAACAGCTCGACATTTACGATTATCAACATTATCACCTGAACACCAGATTGAAGATTGATAAGTTTGATTATTGTTGATTAAAGATGAATAATCTTTTTTGATTAGAAAATCAAGAACTTCAATAATGGAGATTGATAGAAATACAATTAGAATAAAATTTACCAGTCCACTTTCAATTCGAAAGTCCATCACCTTTACAACTAAACCCAAACAAAAAGATCAAAATCAATCACATTTCTAATTAATTGTGATCATCAAAATCTTCAAATATTCAAAGAAAGACAATAGAATTTGTATTCCAAGTAAAATCCTAATCTCCATCTCGCAACTATCAGACTTCAAACGTAAAACCGATTGACTGGAAACATCACCAACAATTAAAAAAAGTAAACTGGTTAATTAACATCGACAATTAATCAATTAGACAAGAAGAAAAAAAAAATTCGGTTCAAAAAGATAAACAAAAACAAATAGAAAACCAGTAACTATGGTAACCGAAAAGAGAAAAAAAAAATCTGAGTCAATCAGTTGTTAGAATCTTTTTGGCGCGATGGTTACATTTTACTCTCTGTTTATTTATTTATTTCTCTTCAATTAATTAAATTATCTAAATTGATCACATTGATTAGTGAGAATTTAATTGTGTCAAGTTACTTTGTAAAGGTTACCTGGTCTATTCTGTTAATTAAAGGTAAGTCTTAAAAGCGATTAATGTGTTTTGTTTTTCTCATCAGAGAGAAACATCAACAACATTTATGGAAAACCTTTTGTTTTAATTTTGTTTTATTTTCTCTTCCATCGTGATTAAACTAAATTGTTTAATTTATGTTACAGTGATACAATCAATTCTTCATCTAATTGTTCCACTTTTAATTATTTATCACAATTTAATGTCTATGAGTTAGACTTTGTCAATCATTGGCTAATTTTTTTCTCTCTCTATATTTTTTCATTTCTCTATCAGGTATCAATTTGTTTATTGTGTTTCTTACATTTGAATTGCAAATTACAATCTCAATTCTAATTGTCAACTGAGTGATTACTTTTAATTGTTCCAACTTTATTCACCTTTACAATGGTTTCTGTATTGTTTTCCCAATTCCAAGGTTACCCTTTGATTTCAAAATGACCCTCACAAATCCGATTGTTTAAATTAACCAGTTGATTAACAATTAATCAGGTTAATTTGTTGGTTAAATCAATCATTTTGACATTTGCAATTAATTTCTCAGGTTTGTTATTAGTTTTTAACTGTATATTTATAAATAATTTATAGAAATTGTAACAATATCATAACTTATATTGTTTCGGGTTTCAATCACATCTCAACATCAATATTTAAACTTTAACGTTGAAATTATTGACTTGATTAAACCCTAGATTAATTGTATTGTTTTGTTAATTGTCACAAATCAATACATTTGCCATATCAGGTGTAGTTATACACATAGAGTATAATTTAACTGCGTATAGTTGGCAAACAATAGTTTCAAATCAAATCTAATCATCAATCATTTACATTTCCACCACATTACAGTTTATCAGATGACCTCAAATACAAAACTGACCATTGGAAATTACCAACAAAGTAAGTAAACATGAATAAGATTAGTTAATCTAATCCCTTGACATAAATCCAATTCCTAAATTGAAAATCAGTAACAATTAAAATCTCAAGAGATAAAAATTCATTTTCTTTCTCAAGTTAACTCTCCAAGAATATGTAATAGAAAAGTTGAAATTATATTAATAACATAATTGTAACATATCAAATTCTATTAATCTTAATAATTCTTATTCTATTATCGTTATTATTACTATCCTAGGATTTATGTTGGTCATCCCCTGGTCATCTCTACTCTTATTTCAATCTGATATTCATCACATTTCAAGTATCACCAATGACTAAAAGATTCCAAGATAATTAAGGTGAGTTTCTGAATGTTCTGAATGAACAAATATTTTCACATTCGTTCATCGAATTGAGGAAAAAAATAGAGATGATAATTAGACAGAGGATAAAGACAGAGAAAGAGAGAGAGAGAGAGAGAGAGAGATGAAGACAGAATCAGACAGATCAACAGAATGGCCTCTTTTTATCATCACCATGATGATGAACATTATGATTACTATAACTACTCTTGCGCTATTCAAACCTCTCTGTTATTTTTTCCTCCAAAATCTTACTTCATTGGTTTAACATTGTGGAACTGAAAAAAACACTACGATCTTGAAAGAGAGAGAAAAAGACAGAGAAATAATCGAATCATCCAAACTAGAGAGACATAGAAATAAACAAAGACAAATTCGAGTCTTTCTCTTTCTCTATCTCTCTTTAGAATTTGTTTATTCCATTTTGTTTTTAATTAGATGAAGACTTTTTTGTTATTACCTTTTAATTTACCTTTTCTTTATTTATTATCCTCTTTTTGTCTTACAGGTAATTTTTTCATCTCCAACAAGTGAATTAAATGTAATCCAAGTGATCAACCATATAAAACTACAATATAAACAATACGTGATGTAATCCAGATTTTGGATCATCACCAAACCTTTACTGGTTGTTTGATTATATTTCCAACACCATCAACAAGATCAACAATCAACATCATGTCCACTGATGGGTCAAACAGTGGGATTGGTGGTGGTGGTGGAGGAGGAGGAGGAAGTGAAAGAGGTGCTAGTAATTTTGGTGCTAGTGGTCATGGTGGTTCCATGGTTTCTGTTGGTGGTTTTAATAGTAGCCATGGTGGTGGAGGAAATTCTGGTGGATCAAATGAGATTTCATCTCATCCATTTGAATCTCAAATTGCTAAGATGAAACGTTTCATCTCATCACCGTTAACACGACGTAAATCAACATCTCAGGCATCAACCGAATCAGCTCCTCCGATGATATCTTCATCAACTACCTCATCCTCATCATCATCATCTAAACATTTAACAGAAAATCATCATAAAATTTTTGGTACACCCATTGAAAAGTTAACCCATCAACGATCATTCAATGAAATGTCATCCTCATCAATATCTCATGGTAATTATGGTTCATCTTCAACATCATCATCTCATCATCTTTCCGCTTCATCATATTCTACCATGAGATCAATGTCCACCTCAGGTTTACCTGGAAGCTTCCTATTCTCATCGTCATCATCATCACCACCAACAACAACAACCTCATCATCAGCATCAACCCTGAATTTAGGCCATTCAAGTACCTTAGGACAAGGGACAGTGTTTTCCACCACCACCACCAACACAACCACGGGTACATCTTCCTCTAAGAAAGTGATCTATGATAAGGAGGCCACAGTTCCCTTTGTTATTACCCGATTGTGCCATTATATTGAAGATAGTCAAGGCTTAATGCAAGAAGGATTATTTCGAACCAGTGGAAATGCCAGATTAATCGAGAAATTAAAAACCTCTTTCGATTGTAATGGTGATGCTCCATTGGAAACTGAAGGTGATATTCCTTCAGCCGCTGCTCTACTTAAGTTGTTCCTTCGAGAGCTTCCGGTTCCCTTGATACCTCAATCAATTCATTGTTTATTTCTAGATACGGTTCAGGATACACTTAATCGTAAGTTAATTTAATTCCTTTATCCATTTGACAATTTTAATTCTATTATACAAATTAAATCCTCTCAGTGGGAAGGATTTTCTATTTCTTTATTATCACGATGATGATGATGAGGAGAAATTGTTAATTCTCTCAGTATGATAACTAATCAATTTTAATTGAATTCTGTTAATTGCCATTGACAATTTGATTCCTTAATCAATATTTAACCTTTTCTCCTCAATTCTGATCAACAAAACAAGTCAACAATTATCTTTATGTTTATCCTAATCGCTGATGATTTGGTTAATTGATTTTCAATGATTATGATTTGTGATTTATGTAAATTGAAATTGGTAACTTTTAACAATCAACTAATCAGTTTGTTTCAGCACAATGAAAGTTTAAATCAATTTTCATTCTAATGATTACCTTGAATCTTTTTAACAATTATTATTAATAGAAATGATTAATTTACATAATAGATTAATGATTTTTTTTTGTAACAACAATTAAACTGATCAGAGTCAAAGACAATCAACAGTTTTAATGATTTACTTTTAAAATCAATTAATTAACTTTGAAATGTTTTCTGATAATCAAAGGTAATAATTTAAAATTAACTGTTATAACAACGATAAAAGGTCATTTAACTTAATTGTGAAGTTTAAATGGGTTGAACAATTTATATTATGTAATGAAATTAGTGGAAACAATGATTACTATTATTATCTTGATTTATTTGATCATCACATGTAATCGGATAATCAACTAATTGTATTCATCACCTAACAACCAACTCTTTCCTCTTTGATGATCAAAATAACTAATTAATCGATTGATATTTTTCCCCAACAATTAAAAAGAAAATCAATCGCTTTCTTAATTACCACAAAAATCTTATATTAGACTTTAAATAATCTGATAAATTCTGATATGGATTAAGATTCAATCAATTTCCAATGTTATTTTTTTCCTACTCAATAGATATCAGATTAATCAACTAACCATTTCAATTAAATTGAAACGAATTTAGTTGAATCATGATTAATACAACAATTAACATGGATAATGATTTAATTATCACTATTTTTCAGATGATAATAACAATAGTTATCAATTGGAAATATATGTTTAATGATAAACTAGTGGTATTGATATTTTCTCATTGATAAATGATAATAATAATAAACTCAATGATTATTATTGTTTATCACAATTGAATAAAGAAAACATTGATTGAAATCTGATTGAATATCGTAATTCTGGTGATGAATGATGAATCTAATTCTGAATCAGGTTCAATTAGCGTTGAATCTGTAATCAAATAATATTTGATAAGAATGTAAACAATTTAATCAATAAATGTAATACCAAGAGTAATTAAAGGTTAATCTAATCAAGATAATTGTATATAAAAAAAAAGATATACATATAAGTATAACCATCGTATTAAAAACTAATCAATAAATGTTAACTCTGTAAACAACAAGTTCATGCTTCGTCTGAATGAATTGATAGTATGGTGATATAAACAATAACATGATGATGATGATGATGATGATGACAAAATTTTCATCATCATTTCTATCATGTTGATTATCTTGTCCATGTATTTTTGTGTTATTAATTTAATTGCTCATCTTTCTTGTCATATTTTCATTGTGACCTACTTCCGGTTATCCTTTAGCATCCTCATCCTACTTTTATCAGTTTCCTTTTATCCTCTTATCATTTTTCATTATTGCTACTTGGCATAAATATGTGTGTATATTTTATATACACAAAGTGCATTCTGAGTATTCATATCAATTGTTTGCTGATAATTTTCATATCACCACAAAATTTCATGATTAATTCATTCCAGTTGAATAATCTAACATTCAACTTTAAATATTACTTATTAAATTATCTGAATGATTATGATGATTATTTTTTTTCTGCTTTTCCAATTCAATAAAAAGCATAAGATTATCTGATTTATATTCACTTTTTTTCATGATGTTTGATTGAAGAATCACAATTGAATCTTTCAATCATTTCATGATTGCAGTTCATGAATTTTATCAGCATTTATAACTATTAACATTCATTTACTTGTGCTCAGTTTCTTGTATTAATATAATGTAATTATCATCATTTGGCTAATGATTGAGGTTGATTGTTGTTGATAAATTTGTGGATTTATTGATCTCTCTCTCTTTCTCTCTCTCACTCTGAATATTAATCGATGTTCATGTTTCTCTCATGGATTATGTTCAAAGGTCACGAGATTCATTTTGCTTTAATCTTTTCAAAGAAAATGACCTTCAATGACATTGAAGATAATCTGAGAAATAATTTCATCAGATTACGATGAGGATTAACATGATGTTTCAATTCTGAATTATTATCACTGGGAATGGATGATTAAGTAATAACGATTCCCTATAACCGAGGATAATGAAGAGAGCGAGAGAGAGAGAGATGATTGGGAAGAGTATTTGATGAAATGAAGATGACGAAGAAAAAAACTCCAATGATCAATGAATAATCTTGACCATTAATCCTTAATTACTTGATTACCTAATGACAATAATGATCAAATCTTTACAATTTATATCTGTCTTAATCTAGGCAATTGTTTTCAAACTGAATTAACAGTTATCTTAGTTGGTGGATTTTTTGTTAATATTATTGTTTACATGATAATTAGCTTAATCATTGATTTTGTTGATTTTTTTAACCGACTAGTCGGTTAACAATTTAATTATTGACTGATTGTAATCAACAACTGTCACACTTTATATATATTACAGTTAATTACAGGTTTTTATTATTATCTAATAACAGTTGAATTCAATGTAAATATCAGTTCATCATTGACAGTTTATCAACAATTACTTTCTGACAGTTAATTGTAAAACTAATCAATACATTTTATTGATTTCCATAATTTTTGTAATGATTAACCTGAGCCAAGAAAACTGTTTATTCATTTTATTATCAACAATTAACACAATTGATTAGCTTATTTTACCTGTTTAATTGTTGCAATGAAACATAAGAAATGTAATATTATCAACAATTAAATTAAATTAGCAATCTAACCTTGACATTGTCTAATTGTTGTTATTCAATCAACTAATTGTGACTCCAATTTTCAAGGTCTCAGTCTAAATCCAGTTAAATTTAAATTACTTCATGATCAGTATTTTTCATAATCATTTTCCTGGCATCGGATTGAAAACATGATTAGATTAGTCAATAGATGACATTGTATTTTTTATCCATTCATTTGTTGATTACAATTAATCATTTCAATCAAATACGAGTGTGAAGAAAATAATCTAACAGTAACAATTTAAATCCATGTTCCTAATCAACTAAATGAGAAATACGATTAGATTAATTTGTTTTTGTTTATTCCAATCAACGTGATACATTGTAACTTAAATATTATTGATTTTCACGTAATGATTGTGATTGATTCATTCGTAAAGATTAAGATTTTCAGTGTTGATTAACTTTGATCAACACAGTTTGATTAACTATTATGTATCTTGTGATTATTATTATTCCAATGATTGATAAATGAAATTGTGATTATCTGATTTCTAATATGTGCTAATACAATTGTTACAATTATTATCATTGGAAGAAGAAAACAAAATGAGGTTAATTCATCTTCTTATCATCATCTAGTAAATCATTATTTCTATCACAATGGTCAATTATAATCTCTTTTAATAATAGAAAATTAAATGTCACACTGACCATCACAGGTTAATCTCTTTTTCTATTGGTTAATAATCGCATGATGGACAATGGACAGAGTTAAGATTTCATCATCATCATCATCATCATCTCTCTCTCTCTCTCTCTCTCTCTCTCTCTCTCTCTTTCATTATCCTTTTAAATGTTATCATCATCCCCAAAGGAAATGTAAACACTAATAACATTTGAATTGCTTTTTTTTATTGATCAATATCCAATCAATAAATTGTCAACTCGTTGACGAATTGAGCATTTGAATGTCAATTCCTATTAAATTGTCATTATCAAATTAAAAGGTTGATTCTAATTGACTGGTTTCTAATTGTGACGCCTTAAGGTTTCTATTAGTTGATTATTACAATTTAGACTTGATTACTGTTAATGTTTTCTTTTTGTTTCACTTCTCAATTAATCTAATCCTTTCTCATCTTTTCCTTCTTGTTTTCTATTAAAAGGCGAATCATATGATAAAGATGCTTTTATCGGGCGGATTAAAGTTCTGGTTGAAAATCTACCTGATGAAAATTATTTTCTTCTCAAATATTTATCTCGATTCCTTTATCAAGTCGCTCGACATGAGACCTACAATCGGATGAATCCATCGTCACTTGGAATCATTTTTGGACCTAATATATTCAGGTAAGCTCAAGGATTCACTTTAATTTAGGTTAATTAGTTTAATTAGGTTAATCTCTAAGTAGATTATCATCTTTGTTATAATTGAAATGGCACTTTCACCATGGATTAAATTGAGATTCAACTCATTCCTTATCAGAATCACCATTCTCATGCATTTCAATTCCATAGGAATAAATCAAGAATAATCAAACATTTGAATTGTATTTCTTTTCCCAACAAGTTACGATTTAATTCATCTTGTAGATTGTTGTTGATGACAAAGTGATTAACTCATAGCGTATTAATCATTTTTTAGAAAAAAAGGAAAATGAATGATTCGGTTAGATAATCCAATCCTTTACTAATCTACGTGACGTTAATCCTTAACTAATCTTCATCCAAAACATTTAACCGATTGTGTTGAGAGTTAAATTGCTTTTCATTGGTAATCATGTGAGATTTACATTAATCATCCATCAGTATTTTAACCATGGTGGTGATGGTAAAGAAAATATAATCATAATTATCATGGATATGTGATGATTAAGAATTTTGATCTGATCATGGGATGGGCAAAGTATAAGAATCGTTTCCAAAATTAGAATTAGAACTTTTTTAAAAGCGAGATTTCCAACAAAGTTCAGTGAAAGAAAAGAAAATCCTTCACCAATAAGCTATAAAAAGCAATAAAATTCTCAGGGTTTCATAGTTTTCCATGCATGAAGCTCACCATCATGATGAATTCAGACTCTGAATCAATAGTTATTTGTTGTTTTTTTAATTTCCACTATTAAGAAATCGAAATTTTTTTCATCTTCCAAATATTGAATTTGTCTTTTTGTCTTGATTGATTTTCATAATGATCTTCATAAAGATAGTAACCAGAATTTATTCAGAAAATGAATATCATGCCAAATATCATGTAAATTTCGTGAAAAATAAATTCGAAATCCAAATTTGAATGAATGACAATCAGTTTGATTTCTTAATCTTTGCTCTTTTAGTAATTTCAAAGGATTCATTATATTTTTTCAATATTCTAAATGTAATAATAATTATTTAACAATCTTGTTTATCTCACTCAATCTCTCTGACGTTTTCATCATCATTATCATCATTCCCCTCCCCCTTTCTCTCCTTTGCTCACAATTTTCTCTCTCTCTCTCACTTTCTATTTCACTCTTTCTTTTTGTTTCCATCATCATCATCATCTCCTTCAAGAAATGAATATGTTTCAAGTTTATCTCATTTCATCCATATTCATGATAAACAATTAACTGTGACATCTTCCAACTGAATATAATAATTGAGCTCTTATCTATAAATTGATTAACTTGATTGTTATTATTTTCCATTGATTATAATGCTAATTAACTTGTAAAATTATTGATCTTTCAACTGTGAATAAGTTTAATTAAATTCAATTGTTGTTGTTACCTATTCTAGATTATCATCAATCTATTGTTTGTACTTTTTGTTTGTTAATTAATTTTCGTTTTCTTGTTTAATTAATGATTTAGAGTTGCTGCTGAAGATTATCGTGGATTACGTGAACAATCATTAACTAATCAAGTTGTTACCTTTTTCATTACGGATTACGAGACAATATTTGGTGCTGATTTATCACCAGATAACAACAACAATCAAGAATTAAATTTATCAACAACTAATCAACAATCAGTAACTGAAAATACTATTGATATTGGTGCTCAATGTAAAACTGTTAATCAATCCAAGGAAACGGAAACGATAAGAAAACTAGAAAATAGTAAAGGAAAAGTGATAATTGTTTCAATAGATTCTGTTTGTTGTAATAAATCAACACCAGATCAACACAAAGAATCAACAACAACAACACCAATGATGCTAAAGAAAGATGATATTGATGATGAGACTAAAGATTCAAATGAACTATCAGATGACCAACATTTTACTCCTTTACAAATTGATATACCACCGATAGATTGTGATCAATCTGATAGTTCATCTGTAAGTCCAACATTAGCCTGTTCCAGTATCTCACCTTGTCCAATTGACTCGAAAGATTATATCTTGACCATTGAATCTTTAACAGATGAAGCAACTACTTCACCTTTGACCACAGAAATTACCTCATCAAAAACTACGGTAGTTAAACAATCGAGTAACAATTTACCTCTATTTTTGGAGGGTATTGGTAAACGTAAGGATAGAAAGTATATTTTATCCTCATCTTCAAATGCGACGGTTCGATCAAGTTCAGAGGAGAGAAAACCTTTAGGTTCATCGACGAAACTTACCTCATGTACTGGTCAAACTGTTGACCAAGAGGTTCGAAGATGTAATTCTTACCAAGATGTTGCTAAAGGTGAACATTCAACTCGTAATTCTTATCGACAAGTAATTAAATCAAGTAATCTATCATCTGATAGTGTTAATCAGTCACCTGAACCCAAAAGAAGGGAAATTGATTCTTCAAGTAATACAATTAACAATAATCAAATTATTGGTAAAGGTAAATCTAAATTGTCACGATCAACTTTATCCTTTGAATCGAGACCTTGTTCACTTGATTTAACTGGTAAATCTCATCAATCAGCATCCGAATCAAAATCTGAACCAACCGTAAGGGGAAAAGTGCCTGTAGCACCTTCAGGATTATCTACAGACTCAAATTCACAATCAACTAGTGGTGAACATCATCATCATTATCACCATCATCAACCTTTATTATCTTCATTATCTTCATCTACTTATCTTTCGAGAAATACTCATTCGATAAGTTCTGAAGTCTCTGTTAACCATCCCAATGCTGAGAGTCGAGTAAAATCATCTGAATTATCTTCATCTTCATCTCAACAACAGAAAGTTCATTCAGTTTCTTCATCCAATTTAGTTAATAAAAAGGTTTCATCATCTTCCTCATCATTACCTCATATCGATTACAATGCCCTTCATAAAAATGCTGAAGGTGAATCGGCAATGGTATCAGATTTAAGGTACAGTTGGTCGTCGGTCAATGAATCGCAATCAGCTGAGAGTTTATTAGAGGAAGAGGAAGGAGTTAAAGGTGAAGGTTTTGGATATGAAGATGATGATAATTCTGTTACTCAGTCAGATTCTAGTAATCGTGATGGAGTTAAACCTACTGAGCCCGTTCAAAATGCCGCCGTTCAAATATTACGACGGAGAAACACCTATGAAGCACCTTTATCACCCAGTGCATATCGAGGTCTATTGGGTCAAAGAGCTCCACATCTTGATCATACTATACCTCCTTCACCTCCAGGGGAGCAGGAGCATCATTTTCATGGGAACAAGAGTGGATATAATCATGAATCGACTATTGTTAAAGAGGCCAAACGAAAGATACACAATTTAAAACGACGATTGAAACAATTTGAACGCGATTTTGAAAAGGAAAACGGTTATCGGCCTTCACACGAACAAAAAATGAAATCGGACGTTGCCCAACCTTTACTATTCGAGTTGAACAAATTTCGAAAAATGCTACGAGAATACAAAGAAGATGCTAGAGTTACTATTGAATTTTATGGTGAGTAAAATGTTTCTTTTCCATTTACAATTATCTTTAATTGTTGTTTCCAATTGTAACCTTTGAATTTTATTATTGTTACTTTTGGTCGAGTTTAGAAGGTGTTTTCAACGAGATGCAACGAAGTCTAAAAGAACGTCGATATTGTGTCGGAAGACCTGAGACAATCGCGGAAATGTCAATAGATCAAATATTCGATGAGAAATTAGATTTACAAAATCTCTTCTAAAATATGAAAGTGTTTTCGGTCGTCCCTGCCGTCGAGAAGATCGAACTGTAATGAAACCTTTATATGATCGTTATCGAACCATTCGTAATCTAGTGTCCAAAATACCGAAAAATAAAGATCTTACCGATCTACAGCCGATACTTGAACACGTGGCAATGAATTTTACTTCACCATCACATTCACCTAAAGGTTCATTAGATGCCAAAGATGAGGATGCTGACGAAGACAAAGGTAGAGGAAGAGGAAGTGTCTCTAATTGTGGGGATGATGATGATTATGATGATGACACCAGTAGCATAAACAGTAATAGAGTTAAAAAGTTACTACTCATGGACAAGGAAGGAGGAAATGATCGTGAAAATGACAGCAATAACGCCAATCATAATGATGCGAGTAATCAAAATGTTGACGATAATAATAATGAAACTAAATTGGATCTCAGTGATAATAATAATAACAATAATTATAACAATAATAATCTGCAAACTCAATCAACACCACCCAAGCTTGAGGCTATTTCACGGATTAAATTGAAAGAATCAAACACAAGGCATTTTATTAAAGGAATCAATGAAACAACAGCAATTAATCAACAATCATCATCTTCTTATAACAAGAATCTATGTCATAATCTTCATGAGCTTCCACCCAGTGAACTAATTAAAGAATTGGCCTTGGTCCGTCGAGAGAAAAGTGAACTAAGAGAGATAATTCGTTCGTTCGAAGATGATTTTATTCGTACCAATGGTCGGAAAGTTAACGAATTTGAAAAATCACAATTGGAATCAGTTTACACCAATTACAAGGTAAGAGAATCGAGAATATCAAAATAAGAGAAGAATAGAAAATAAAAATGTTCGATCCTCTTTTCTATTCTTAACCTTTTCCTGTTTTATTTCCATAATTATTATCATCCAATTTCAATAGAGAATCAGATGAGTGATTAAAATCTATATTTCCACCCAATTTACCATGATGATAATCACGATAATATTAATCACGAGAAAGCAAATTTCATATTCATCAATAGCATTAGTTTATTTCCGTATTCATAGTCTCAGCAATATCAACAAATTATCAATATATTCAAGTCAAGTTAATTTTGGTTAACATGATTAACTTTTTTTTTCTTGTTAATCAACTAAACTCTAATGGTTAAATAATCTTAATCATCACAACTTTGATTATTGATAGATAAACATGATGTTTCATTTGCAGTTTCATTTCCCTTTGTCTATGGAAAATGTTTCTTGAAATAGAATCAAAATTTCATCATGAATTCATGGTAATTCATGATGATGAAGATGATAAGTTGACTTGTTCTAAGGCCGATTGACTGATTACTTTGTTTTTCTCAACAACACAATCAAATTGTTAATTATTATTAGTTAACCTTGTTCTTGGTTCTTGATTTAACTCTTATTTTTGTCTTCCATTTCCAACAATTTATCTATCATCATGTTTAACAAAATTCATTACCAGTTAATCATCAGTTAATTGTTAATATCTGTTGGCAAACATTTACCTTTCAGTGTTTATCCTTCATCTTGTTAATTGCGTCATTTGTTTTTCTCTGATGATCTTTGATGCTAAATTATTATCATAACTTTTTATACTAATTTAAATCTACAAACTTGATTAACAATTAATAAATTTAATTTCTCTCTTTCCCCTAATTAGGCTTGTAAAAAGAAACTACGATTACTCGAAGTTTTCATTGAGAAATATGAAAAAAGGAGAATGGAGTCTTAATTGTTATCATCATCTTCGCAATCATCGTATACTTTTTTTCCATCATCAATTAATCAATCCAACACACGACTAATTAATATACATAAACACACACACTCACACACACAAAGAATTACTTAATGTTGATTATAATTAACTTTTCTTTAATCATTTTTTGTTTTGCCTCTAATTAGATTTAGCTTATTATCAACACGTTTGGATAGCAATATTGTTATCAATCATGTTTTTCGCAATTAACTAATTGATTTCCAAAAAAGTGACAATTTTTAATTATCAATTAGTCACATGATTTGATTATTTATTAACTATTGTAAATATCAACTGCTGAATCCAAGTGATGCTGATTTAATGGTACAAATGATATTTGGTGGAGAGAAAAAAAAAATTATTCTAATTGTTGAATCAAATTAATACTTTTAATCATGATAATTAATACAATTAACTGTTATTATTTTCAATTGGATGATCTCTATCATGGATATAATTTAAGTCGACACTCGAAAAATAATTGATTCTATTTCCGAACAATTAAAAAAAAAAGGAAACCAAAAAGGACTCAAGTTAATATTACAATAAATGGATGCTAAATATATGTGAAAATTTTAATTGTTGACGATTCCAAAAGATATTAATTTGTGTAAAAGGTGATTCTGATTTGTACAGAGAATTGAAATCGAATCAAAACATAATTGTATCTATTGATTATCACCTTAATATGCGAATGTGATGTTTTTTTTTCTTCTCCTTTTGATTGTAAACAAAGAAAAGAAATTGTAATATAAATTGATGAGAGAATTAAGAAAATGCAAAAATCTCAAATCGCATGATTTTTTTTCGATTGAGCAAATAATGTGCATATAAGACCATATACAACAATTAAAATGCTTCTATTATTAATTGTGATTTGTTTTGTCTTTTTTTTTGTCAATCCTTTTGCTTTGGTTATTATCCATTGGATTAATATATTGATCGGTCAAGAGTGAACTTTCTGTCTCTTGGGTTAAGTGGTTTATAATTAAAGCTTGATTGTAATTTCAAGTTGATTCACGATCAATTTGGGTCATTTTTTGGGTTTATTTTCTGCTCTTTTGCTCAATTTACTTGATTGAACACTTTTATCCGATCTTATAATCAATGGACAATCAATTAATCGTCCATGTCAAATTTTAATCGCTTAGCCATTGTTGAAATATTGTCTCCTTGTCTTTTACGTTCTAATCCTACTGTGGTTTTCTCTTCTTGTGTTTTAGTTCGGGGCATAAGATTAGCTGGAGTCGGGGCGGGTTTGTTTGAAAAATAGGGCATCTGAAGTGCTTGACTACAAGTGTGCCGATTGAGAGGGTCATAGGTTAACATCTTGTTCATCAAGTCGAGAAGGTCATCCGATGCTGCAGTGAATATATCACGTAAAGATGTTCCAATGCATGGTTTGAATGTTACGAAGTCTGGTAAATGTTCAACGTTCTGTTAAGATGATAAAAGAGAATCCAAATTATTAGTTAAGATTTTTTTGCTTTTCTTTTAATAATAATACTTACTCTCCAGTTACTTGAATTAGGTGTTCCTAGCACTTGGACAATTTTGTCTAATTGATCTAAATCTGTTTCTCCGGGTAGAAAAGGAACTCGTAATAAAAGTTCAGCCAATATACAACCAAGAGCCCAAATATCTACTCCAGTTCCATACATTCGTGAGCCGAAAAGTAGCTCTGGAGCTCGATACCAGCGAGTTACAACTTGATGAGTATAAAGTCGAGTAGGTGATCCAAAGCTTCGAGCAAGACCAAAATCACCAATCTTTAAGATACCATTTTCATCAATCAAAAGATTGTTTGGTTTCAAGTCCTTTTTTTGTGTCAATAAAACAAATCAAAATGATTACAATACAGTTTCCTTTTCAACAATCAACAGTCAACACAATACTTACACGATGTAAGATCCAATTCAAGTGTAGATATTCAAGACCCTTTAGAGTCATCAACATATAAGACTTAATGATCGCTGGAGTTAATATGATACTATTATCTTTGATTATAACCTCAAGATCAGTTTCCATAAAATCAAAGACCAGAGAAACATTTGATCGATGTCCAAACACATCAAGAAGCTACAGGAAACAAGAAAAGCAAAAAGAACCAAAATTTAAATAGTGCTTTTTTTCTCTACCAATGCAAATCAAATGAACAGATAATCGAGGAAAAAAAAATCATACACCGATAATATTCTCATGGTGAAGCTCTTGGAGTAACTTAATCTCCCTTAAAGCTGTTCTATTAATACCATCTCTGGCCTCGGCCCGTGTTCCTAATTTGATCTTTTAACAACCATGGCACCAGTTTTATTGTCACGAGCTTTATAGACAGTGGCAAACTAAACACAAACACATTGAGAAAGAAGAAAAAAAAACAAATCAATAATCAACAGAATAGCAAAGAAAAAGGAAATATAAAAACCAATCAACACAAAAGAATAGGTCAAAAGTGAAAATGACCAGACAAAAGATACACTTACTTGTCCTTCACCAAGATATTTAATCTTCTCATAGCGACTTTTAGTGCTTATTGATGATATCATAATTGAACGAAAGAAACAAAATAATAATTGGTAACAATTAACTTGAGAATCATCAACAAAATCCAACACAAAGAAGGTGAAGAAAAAAAGATTCCAATTGAAAACAATGAGAAAAAAACATTTAAAGGAAAAAGCAAAGAGTAAAAACCAAGAGAGATAAAAAAACTATGACAACAGCAAATACTAGTAGAAAAGAAATGAACTCAATGACTCAAATCTAATTGAATAATTTCAATTTATAAATTGTTAATTCTTAATGATGCTCTTCGTCACAATTTAAGACACTGATCAGTTAATTGTTACTGATCTTAAACAACAAAGTTCTTATAATCAAATCGTCGAATATTTAAGAACAATTAGTAAATAAGATCGGTAACAATAATCAATAATTGAAATATCTGATTCGAATTTTATTCAACTCAATCAATTAATGACGGTATTCAAATCAAATTAGATCTTTAAGATCATCAACAAAAATATATTCCAATTCAATTGATATATTATCTCAGTATAAATGTAAGAATGAAAAAGAATTCCACATAACTTATGAAATTCAATCACAACTGAGAAATTGAGACTCAATTAATTTAAAAGAAAAAAAACAATTAGATTTGATTCTGCATTTTAATGTTTCTCTTTCAAATCTACTAGTGGCTCCAGAAAAAATGTTAATAGCTGCAAAAAAGAAAAATAATTTTCCATTTAAACTTTCGCTCGAAAAAAGTGGTAACCATGACAACGCCCGCCAATTTCGAAAAAGAATAGAAAATAAATTTTTTCTATTTACCAAAATAAAGAAGAAACAATTTTCATCTTCTTCTCAAACAGTTGACAACATTTGATTTAATTCTTTACCCTCATTCAGCTGATAGATGTTGCAATTCTATCATCATCACCTTAACCATCATCTTCGCAATCATTACCAATACTTTAAACCGATGAAATTAAAATAAGTGAAACAAAATCAAATCTGTCAAATCTTTGTGACTGTCAACGTAACCATTAACATCTTCATTTTTAATTGTTTTCCCTTTTCTTTTATTTTTTTTGCCTTCACTCTTTTCCTTTGTTTAATTTTCTATCCATCATCATCCATTTACCTTTCCCATTAACTGTTCCAACTCACATTAACAAGTGTACAGAGATAATATTGTTATATTGGAACACATTTTCTTCTATTCTATTGATCATTTAGCTTTTTTTTTAGATTTTGTTCTATTCTTTTTTGTTTTGTTCTCTTACAGTATCCATCTCACTGATTATTTCTCGCCTTTACAATATAGTGCAAAGGATTATGATGAACAATTTGATGGGATGAAGGTTAATCTCGGTATCTGGTGTTTCCCGATTATTTAAGATAAACAAAACTGACAATCCAATGGCTAATTCTGATACAGAACCAGCCAGTCTTTTGGCTACATTAGCTGGTTTTGTGGCCTCCGTGGGTATGATTTTCGGAGGTATTATCCCTTATGTACCACAATATTTTGATATAAAACAGACCGAAAATGCTGATGGTTTCTCTCTATTCGTTTGTTTGGTCCTTCTAATTGCCAATATTCTTCGTATCTTCTTCTGGTTTGGTAAACAATTTGAAACACCATTGTTACTTCAGAGTATCTTCATGATCGTTGCTATGTTCGCCATGATTGAGATTTGTGTTCGTGTGAGATACAAAAATTTATCTCCTATTCGAAGTCGTCAGATGTTTGATGAAACAAATAGTACAATAATCAAGGATGTCGATTCACAATTAATCCACCGTTTCTGGGATTTTGATCCGAATTACTTTTGGGATTGGACAGATTTTACTTCCTATGTTGAATTTGTTGCCTCTTTTACTGTGATAATGGGACTTTTAATGTACATGATGATAGATAATCCAATTTTCGTTGAAGTTGTTGGCTATGCAGCTATGTTAACAGAAGCCTTTCTTGCCTCACCACAATTAATTCGTAATCATCAAAAAGGTTCAACTGAAGGATTAAGTAAACAAATGGTTCTACTTTGGACTCTCGGTGATTCTTATAAAACTGGTTACTTTGTTATTAAACAATCGCCCGTTCAATTCGTTGTTTGTGGTCTTCTCCAACTAACGATTGACTTTCTCGTTGCTCTTCAAATTTTGGTCTACAATTTACCAGGAATGCGAAATAAAACAATTACCCACCATATTAAATGAACAATCATCATCATCACCATAATATTTTCACTTGATTAATCAACTGCAAATTATTTTCTTCAAAATCACCAAATGAAACGATACCTGAACTTTTTTCTCTCTCTGCTCTTCATCATCAATTCTCATCTTTATTATAACTAATTAACACAGATTCTTATACCAAGGATGACTCAACATTAAGTCTCTCTCTCTCTTTCTAGAAACAATCATCTATCATAAACACCATCATAATCACCATGAAAAATTCTTATGCTTGTGGATCAGCATAATTTTTATTTTCCTTCATCTTGGATTGTGAAACCTACTGATTTGTGGAAGTCAAAAGAAACGAAAGAAAATCAAAAGATATATGCAACCAATTGAATGTTTTAAAGTTGACCAAAAAGAGAAACAATCAATCAAATTAATCAACAATCAACAATCAACCAAACGGCTTCTATATATTTTCAATCATAAAGCATTTTAAATGATTATCAATTTTGTGCCACTCACACCAAATAATAATTTGTGATCTCTCCTGTTTAGTAAAGTAAATCCCCGATTTCCTAATCAAACATTAATTTTAATCAACAGAAAATCAACAATTTAACTCAATTCCAGCACATGACCATAAAAAACGCTCTTAACAACTATATAAATTGCTATTAAATGCTTCAATAATACAATTCCTGTTAATCTTAATCATCCTTTCAACTACTAGATTGTTGATCTATTAATAATTAATCTTAATTATAATTGACAGACAATTTTGGTTAATTCAGTTGATTGTTCGTGATAGGAAACCTCAAATCCTCTGATTACAACTTTTCGATTTTCTTAATCAGTTTTTCATTTGATGAGAAAAAAAAACCAATCTAATTAATTTCCTCTTAATGAACTTGATTCAGTTTGAACCTTAATCATCTGCGTTAATTGATGTCACTTTGATTAGCTCTAATTAAGGTCTTGCAGTTTGATTGAACAGGTGTTTAAACTATTGATTCTATTACGTTTAATTGTTGATTATCAAGGTGATCTACCATTTGGTGACTAGAAATCAAGAAAATTAGTTGTTGCAAAAAATTGATTAATAGACAATCAATAACATAATAATTTAGATCTAATTTACTCAAGATTAACTTTTATTAAAATATTTGATTCTTTTTCCTAATTAAATCAAATATTATTGTTTCTATCTTATGTTTGATTTAATTTCTTCTTATCATCAGATTTTTCCTGCCAAATAACTAATCAACTAATTGTTTTCAATTAATCAACTCAATTAACAAAAAAGATTGAAAAGTTTACCAATATTTATTTTATCTAATCATCAACTAGTTTACTGTAGACTAATCAAACTATTGTGTAAAATATTTTATTAATTACCGGAAGATACAATTTGAATATCAATTTTGTTATCGAAAAATTAATTAATTTGGACAATTAAGAATTAAAAGTTTTTCGAGAAAATGAACTTTTCAAATTTCGCTCTCAAACCGCGTAACCATGACAACGACCGCTGAATATGAATTGTCCATGTGATCATTTTGTATTCAAGAAATTGTTGTTTTTGATTTTGTGTTGATTAATTGATTAGCTTTTTTAATTTAGTTCTATTAATATTTATTGTTTTTTATTTTATTTTTATAAATTGATATTCATGGATAAAAGTGGATCTCGTTGTATTGCTGCTGGAGATCATTTGTTTATCTTTATACATGCTAAACAAATGTATCCATTGAAAGTGGTAATTGGTGAAACTTTTCAAACAAAATTTGGACCAATTAAACATAGCGATTTAATTGGATTACGTTATGGGACAAAATTAACTCTTTCAAAGGGTTGGGTTTATGTTTTACAATTTACACCAGAGCTTTGGACATTAAATTTACCTCATCGGACTCAAATATTGTACTCGACCGACATCAGTATGATCACTTGTTACCTTAATCTAAAACCGGGATCAGTGGTCATTGAATCTGGAACTGGATCAGGAAGTTTATCCCATGCAATCATGAGAACCATAGCACCAAATGGTTACCTTTATACCTTTGATTTTCACTTGGCCCGTGCTGATGAGGCGAGAAAAGAGTTTCATGATCATGGTTTGTCCAAATTAGTTACCGTCGAGAATCGTGATGTTTGTTCAAATGGTTTCGGTCATCAAGGAATCGCCGATGCCCTTTTCCTTGACCTTCCCCGTCCATGGGATGCGATACCTTTTGCCCATGAAGCCATGAAGTCTAACGGTACCTTTCACCTTATCCATGTCATACTAATTGCACCTTTGATTTCTCGATACTTTTCAGACTAAAGGAGCAATTTCAATGAACAACAATCGTTTGTCTTTCTTTACGTTGATTCTAATTTATTTTTCTGATCTGTTTTTGATTCGCTTGGTCTCATAGGTTCACGGATATGCTGCTTTTCCCCATGTATTGAGCAAGTTCAAAAAACTATTCAAGCCCTGGAGTCATTTTGTTTTGTTGATATCGAAACAATTGAATTAGTTTTACGTCCTTATGAAGTTAAAACAGTTAAATTGGATAAGTTTAATTTCACTTTAGACCAAGTAAGATCATATTGATCAACTTTGCGTTCAGAATAACTAATAATTATAACTGTAACTCTTTTTATTTCTATTACGATAATAGGATAAAGATAAAAGCTCTTCGAGTAAAAATGATGATGGTGCCATCGTAAGCTCATCAGAAAGAAAGAGACTGACCAAGAAGAAGGCGATTCTTCAAGAGTGGACATTCAAGAGGGAGATTTAGCAATTGAAGTAGAAGTGGACACTAAAAATTGTAGGAAAAAAGGTGAAATGTTGAAAAGATTAGCTGATTGTACAGTTATTCCAACAATTCAAATAGCTGGACATACAGGATTCCTTACATTTGGTACCAAAATTTAACATTTTAACTGATTGACCGTTAATCAAATGTTTGGGAGGTATTATCTCTTATGAACAACAATATTTTGATATAAAACAGACCGAAAATGCTGGTGGTTTCTCTCTATCCGTTTGTTTGGTCCTTCTAATTGCCAATATTCTTCGTATCTTCCTTTGGTTTGGTAAACAATTTGAAGGTCGATTCACCGTTTCCGGGATTTGATCCAAATCACTTTTGTAATTGGAACGAGTTTTTTTCTTATTTTGAATTTGTTACCTCTTTTACTGTGATAATGGGACTTTTAATTTACACGACGATATTGTATCCAACCTGACAACGACCTGTAAATACTGAAAAGATAATCAATTTTATTCACAAACAAACGAGTTGATTGTTAACTCTTCATCTCTTGACGTTGCAATTAATTTTAACTCTCCAACTTGATGATATTGAACAACAAAAAATAATATTAGTAAAAGTCAATGTACATTATACAAGTGACATTATTTTGTGATCATTAACGAGTTTGAAATCTCAAAATGAATTAACACTCATTAATCATTTACTCTCTTGATTGTTTGTAATATTATGTTAACAGTAAGTAATAAACATGTAGGAGTTAATCTTGATTCCAGAAATGTTCATTAGTAAATTGATCAACTTACTCACTTTAATCTTCGTCTACATATTGATGATCCATTGTTTGTATTTTCCCTTGTCAGCTATTAATTTAGAATAGAATTAATCAGATTAGAGATTTAATTACCAACTAATTGCTTCTATGCTTAGTCAATAAACAATTAACTCATTTCTCTGAAAGAATCAACATCAAGTGAATTTCGAGTCCAATGATTGGATCATTCGGATAATCAGCTGTTCACTTTTATTTGTTTTCTATTTTCTTATTGTTTATCATTTTCTCTTATGATTATATAGTCGTTCCATTGTTTCCTGATTAGTGGTTCTTAATTAATCTAATAGATGTAATCAATTTCTCTCCAGAATTAACCCATTCTGTGTTCATCTTATCTCATGAAAGATAAATAACCAATTCTTCAGGTAAGTAAGTGTTTACCTTTAGTAAGTTTGCCAAGTCAATCGTTTTCTTATTTTCTAAATTAACTGATTTTTTCTTCTTTAATTCAGAATTTTAATCCAATGGAAGCAAGTGCCTCAGAAGTTAATCCTTCTTTAGGATCTAAGAAAAAAGAGAAAAGGAAAAAAGGGTCAAGACCTCGTTTCGAAGAGCCGACCGAACCTGGATCATCAAAAGGTTGGTACTAATCTATTAACTCTGTTGTTGATCGTTCTTAATATGTTACAACCACAATTAACTTGATTCTTTTGTAAGAATTGTCCATTTAGACTCATTAGTTTAATCATGTTTACTCAATTTCTCAACTGTGTCATTTGTTTATGTCAACATAGTTTTCGTTTTCTAGTTACCACATTGTCGCAATTGTGATTAATTGTTGATCTTATTTTCTTTCGACTATTGATTTATCCTTATAGAAACTCCTTATTCTGGTGATGATCCGAGAGGATATGGATTAGTAGACGAAAAGCCACCGCCCTATTCGTATGAAGATCCAAGACCAACTGCCCCACCGCTTCCGTCAACACCAGCGACGGACATACGATTGTCCATCCCCGAAGATCCCATTCTGAAAAGCAAGAAACTATTGATTCGTCAATCATATGGACTTCTTGCCGGACAATGGACACTTTTTTCCGGCCTAACGCTACTTCTTGTTGAAATGTAATAACTTTTTCCAAACCCAATCAGATTAACTAAGATGATTTTCTTTTCCATCTATCAGACCACATTTACGAAAGATTATTCGTAAAAATTTCTTCGACAAACTTTTCCTCACATCTTCGTTCGGGTAATTATCACAATTAAGGTCAACAAATTTTTCACTCAAAACTGATGATCTTTTTTACTCTATTAACTTAGATTTCCATTGGCGATACTTATGATTCTGCTTATGATATTTCCTGCTCTTCGACGGCAATTTGCATGGCTCACTTTACTTATTCTTGTGAGGAAATTTAATCACCATGAATCAATCAATTACTAATTAGATTTTCTCTCTCTTTTAGACTGTTTCAATGAGCTTATTATTAGCATATGTTGTCAGCGTTGAAAGCGCTCTGGCAATGTTTTACACCACTTTGGGTGCTGATGTTTCGTGTCTTGGTGTAGTTGGGACTACGTTTATCCCTCGTTTTGACATATCATCATCTTCACCGGCTCTTCTTGGTCTTCCTGTTCTTATGCTATCGTCCAGTGCTACAGTTTCATCTTTGACCCATATCAAGGTATCGAAATGGTTACCAGCATCGTCGGTTGTCACTCTTTTAATGTGTCACCTTGCCTACAACACGAGGTCAATTTTCAAAGACAATCGACTTGACCTTAAACCAAACGAATATGCATTTGCTGCCTCTAATTTATACTTTAATTGTGATCTAGTTAAATGGATTAAAGGTCGGTCTCGTCGTCGTGATTATCGTCCAATACCCGAAATATGAGCAATTAATTGTCATATACACATTTGAAACTAATATGATTTACTTAAATGATAACTTTTCATATTTAATCATATTTAATTTACTAATTAGATATTTTCTCAAAATTGTTGTCCAACCAAATCAAACACAAATCTATTGATTACCTTTGTTACAATTCAATTTATTTTAGTCAATTGTTTATAATTGATACTTACTATGTAATAATACAATTGAATTTAGCATTTAAATTAGTTAATCGCTAATTCCCATGATTGTTTTTAGGTTTTACTTTTTTATTCTTGTTGATTTTACTTATGATAATGATGATCATCTCCGTGGCCTAGCGACCTTTAATCGTGAAGTTCGTGAGCATTGAACCCGAAAAGAAGCAGAAAAATTACCAAGTAGCTTAACTAACAAATGGAGAGGGGGTGATGTCCAACTACTGGATTTACCGGTCATTTACAGTTAGATGATCATGTTGTTTGTGATCGAGATGAGCGTGTGATGATTAAAGATGAAGATGAAAGTAGTGAGTGAGTGAGAGAGAGAGAGAAAATCATGAAGAAGTGGGAGGAAGGTAAATACATGCAGAATTGTATCCAGAGTACATGAGACACGCGCTCGTGTTGACCGTGAAAATGGTTCTCTCTCATCACCTTATCATCTCTCATTTGCCTGATGATGATTATCTTCCAGTGTCCAATATTCAGTGAGAAATATTAAATCGTGAATCATTTCTCTCTCTCTCTACTCTCTCCATGAGATCAAAACTCACGGACTAACCATCTATGTATTTTGTTAGATGAGTTAAATTCTCGTTTGTCTTCATGATAATTGTGTATAATATTGAATAATCCTTTTCTTTTCTCATAAAATTCTGATAATCAATTTTCTCAGAAAAAAAAGTGATGACAAAAACAAACCACCGATTGGAAAGTAAAAGTTTTTATCATGACGGAAACGATTTGAATCGATAATTGATTGTGGGCGAAAAAGAGAAGCTACTATAAATGAGCCACGAAAAATCATGACCAGAAGACATGAAGAATAAAATATTCTAAGAATATGTAAAAAAAAAGAAGTACCGTTAAGTTATCAAGTTCATTTCTTAAATTGTTCACAATTAAGTTCGTGATTTCAATCGACACCTATGAACAAATTCCAGTAGTTTTCTCACTACTTCTCTCCAAACCAAACAATCTCATGAACCCTTTCAATCATCAAGTCAATTATTCACTTAACCACTAATCAAAATTGGAAAATTAATTCACACTCATTAAGAATCAAAGTTAATTACAATGTAATTGTTTTCTAATGTTAAAAGTTTTCAACGTAACCATGAAAAGACCGCGAAATTTAAATTTCCCATGTGATCATTTTCATTTTCATCTTTTTGTTTTTCGTTTAAATTGATTTGGTTTGAGAGTTTAAAATGAAAGTAAAAGTATTTAAATCATTTAAGATTCAAAGTCTAACTTGTTTACACTATGGATGAGAAATTAGAAGTGAGAAAAGTCCGTTATAACGATTTGCACGAGTTTTATCACGAAAAGTCATGATTACGTTTCAATGGCTTACCAAGCTTGAAGATATTATTTTCCATCCTCATCTTTGACTCAAAAATCTAAACAATTTCATTCATAAATTCGTGAACTAAAATCTAAACACTCTCACACTAACCACTAGTTTTACACAATCAGCTGACCACAATAGTTAACCTCTCATTGACCAGTTCGAGGGTGAATTTGATTCGTAGCCTTTTGAGTTTCTTTTTTTCTAAATTTTTTTCCAATAAAAAAATTCTGCCAGGAAATTATGCTCAACTTTTCATGTAGAAAAGATTAGTTACTTTCACCTTTTCATGAATAATTTTCGACTTTTTTTTTCCTGAAATTTCAGTTCTACTTCCTGATTGTATTAACCTTGAATCTTGACACCAACAGATAATCACGGAAATTAGTGGTCATCATTTACTCATCATCTTGACCACTACAAGAATAGGCAACTTCTTTCAATGTCAAGCCAACTCGTGAAATGTTCATCACGTGTTGTAATATTCAATTGAATGCATCAATTGTACACCAATCTAATTGTTATCAACTTATCATGTAGTTTAATCAACTCTCAATTTGAATGTTAAATTGTCTCTTATCAGATTGAATTTTGTTTTCCTTCTCATTTCCTTCTCATTTCTTACTCATCATCATCATGTAACTTATTGCAATTGAATTGATGAAACATGTTTCAAGAATTTGTTAACAATTTGTTAATCATAATTCTTAGCTCAATATCAACATGATCGCGATTATCATGATGATTATCATCATGTTTGTATTCAGTGTCATTGAAATGTCAGAATTTGTTTTCTCTCAAACGAAATGAAAACAAAATTAACAAAAAGAGAGGGAAAGTAACCAGATGATGATAAAGATGAAGATGAAGACATTACTCAGATGATAGAAATTCTTGTCGACCTCATGTTGATATTGGAAATATAAATTTCAAGGGATCAGATGATTAAGATTAAGATGATGAGTATGATGATTCCAATCGGATTTACTTTACCTTCATCATCATTTTCATCCTCATCCTCATCTTCATCTGCATAATCATAAATATCATCAGATTATCAATTATATCCTTTTCTTGATTGAAATTTATCTTTTCCATTAAAATCTCTCATTGTTAATTTTCACAGTGAAAGAGTTTGAAAAAGTTAATTGATTGATCATCTTTATTATTATCACTATAAATCAATTGTTGTCACAATAGTTACGATCATAAACTAATCAGACCTAAAGTTCAATAATCAATATAATCAACGGTAGTAAATTGTTAATCTATTAATGGTTTGTTGTCAACTTCTGGTTGGTTGTAATCAATTGATATAATTTCTGTGTATGTGTGTAAATCATTGCTAATTGTTGAACAATTAGTTTTTTATACTTAATCAATGGCAATTAAACTGGGAAATCGTTGCAAATTGTTGATCAAATTGATTTTCTGGATATTATCAACCGCTGGATTAGTTTGGCAAGTTGAAAAAATATCTAAAGTTTATTTCAAATATGAAACTCAAGTTGATATAACAGTTGAACAACAATCTACTATATCAATGCCTGGATTAACAATTTGCCTTAAAATTGAAACTAATTTAACTTATCTGAAGACAATTTATCCACAATCAATATCACTAATGGATTGGTCAGAGAAACAGAAAATTAGTCACTCCATTTACCGTTATATTCCGATAAATATATTATCCCGTTTACCGGCACAATATGTCAACACTATTTGTAGATCACCATTTCCAGAATTAACTCCAATTAGTAAGAAATTTAATTCATCTAAACCTGAGATGTGTGAAGATTATTCACCAATTATAACAACGATTCAGTTCAATTATCATGATGATGAATTTTATCGCTGTTCAACTTATTTCTATTCACCTTATCAACCATCAAATTTCAGGGTAAATACTCGGGATGATAAAGATTTTTTCAAGTTATCCATCTATTCAAGGGAGATTAGTAAATCTAATCCATCAAAGGTCATCCTTTATCCTCATAATCCTTTTGAAATACCTTTTACTCCAGAAGCAGATTCATTTTATTTCCACATAGAGGAAAAGGAAAAGATAATCTTGACCACAACCAAACTGGTCACTCGTTTGTTACCTTATCCCTATCACACTGAGTGTAGCAACTATTCAGGAATACCTTATGGACGAACCGGGTGCATATATAAATGTCGGCAAGATCGAGTTGAAAACGAATGTCCTGGTCTCTTGGCCTGGGCAGTTCCAGTGAATATCGATCATAATAAGACTTTTTCCTCACTTGAAAAACCTTGTGTTCTGAGAGAGAAGCATAAATGTTTCAGAAAAGAAAAGTGTCCATCTCAATGTATCAACTATTGGTACAGTTCTTCGTTAATTGTCAATCAAGAGAAACGAACAGCCTCGAATTTGACCCAACTTTATATTCGTCGACCCTCAGGCGCTGAGATAATTTACACTCATGTTCCTCGAATGCAGGGTATTGAATTTCTCTGTTATGTTGCTTCTTGTTTCGGTATTTGGTTTGGAATCTCGTTCCTTGATTCGTGTAAATTGTTTTCTCGACTTTTCGATAAATGGACAATTCAACAAGAGCATCGAGTTTTCGTTCTAAACCAATCCAATCTTCACCATTCGAAGCAAAGTAAACTTAGACCTCGAGCTCCATGCTCCATGTATCAATGATTATCTCTCTCTCTCTCTCTCTCTCTCTCTCTCTCTCTCTCTCTCTCTCTCTCTCTCTCATTGGATTTTTTGATCATATTTTTAATCTGAATTAAGTTCTTTACTCATTTTTACAATTTCAATTTAATTTGATTCAGATTTTGTTCACCATGTGGTAACATGTTTACAACAAGCGTGTTGATTGACAGCAACTTAATTTGAATTATTTCAAACAAGATAATCATCAATATGAATCCATGATGATGATGCTTCTTATCCTGTCAGTAATACTAATCTGGTCTCTCCTCATGTATTAACATTGATTATCTTTGAACTTTTTCTGGAAAAAAAATTATATTAAATTTTCATCTTGTTTGCCTGTGATTTCAATGAAAATAATATGAAAATTTAAATCTCTGAATAGTAAACGATTTAAATTGTTACAATCAAGTTTGAATTGCTTTCATGTATTTTGCTAATACTTGGAAATTGCAATTGGATTGAAAGTAAATTGTTGCAATAATAATTTGACAATCATCGAAATCTATGAAAATAAAACTACATGTACATCTTTGATTTAATGTTAATTTCTTGACACTTTTCTGATTAAGGGAGTAATTTGAATTGGTCTACAATTAAATTTGGAATCTAATGAAAACTTATATTTTCATGATTTTGAGATATTGATGTGATTTCAATTGGATTGATCATCATTAAAGTACATCTTTGATTACCAATCATTTGTCACTAATCTAATTGTTAATGACAATTGTTAATTGTAGCTATTGCTATTCTTTGATTGTTCAAGGTGAATTAACTAATTGGAAACAATTAAAAACAAAATTAGAACACAATTTATCGTGATGTGTCAACTTTCAGGATTGAACAAAGATTCAGTTATAATGAAAAGTGCAAAACTATGAAAATGATGATGAGGATCGAGATGAAGATGAAGATGCTGAGAGAGAGGGGGGATAAAATGATAACCACGAATCCATTTTTTTTTTCTTTGGTTAATCACGTCTGACCCTAACCCTT